CACAACTCTTTGGCGACTACTTTCTCCAAAATCTTAGAGAGGAACGGGAGGTTAGAAATCGGTCTATAGTTGGCTAAAACCCCTGGGTCAAGAGTAGACTTTTTAAGAAGGGGTTTAATTACAGCTACTTTGAAGGACTGTGGTACATATCCTGATAATAAAGAAAGATTAATCATATCCAGTAAAGAAGTGCCAATTAAGGGAACAACTTCTTTAAGCAGCCTAGTTGGGATCGGGTCTAACAGACAGGTTGATGGCTTCGATGAAGAAATTATTGAAGTTAACTGATGAAGATCGATAGCAGAAAAACAGTCTAAATATACATCTAAGTTTACATTGACAGAAGTCCCTGAACTTGGAGAGCCACTGATAACCGTTGATGGCAGTTGGTGATTAATTTTTTCTCTAATAGTAATAATTTTATTATAGAAGAAGCTCATGAAGTCATTGCTACTTAAGTTTATGGGGATATGTGGCTCGATAGAGCTGTGACTCTCTGTCAGCCTGGCTACAGTGCTGAAGAGGAACCTAGGGTTGTTCTTATTTTCTTCTATTAGTGCTGAGTAATAGGCTCCTCTGGCATTACGGAGGGCCTTTCTATAAATCTTAAGATCATCTTGCCAATTTGAGCGATATTCTGATAATTTGGAAGAGCGCCATTTCCTTTCAGATTTCCTAGCTATTTGCTTTAACTGGCGGGTTTGGTGGTTATACCAAGGTGCTAGTCTCCTATGTTTTAATAATTTCCTTTTTATAGGAGCGATAGAGTCTAATGTTGATCGTAGTGAGCCTGTAGCACTATCGACAAGATTATCAATTTCAGAGGGACTAAAGTTGTTATAGGACTCTGTTAAATTCAGACATGGCATTGAATTAAACACTGAAGGAATCTCCTCCTTAAATTTAGCTACAGCACTGTCAGATAGACATCTGCTGTAGGAAGTTTTGCCTAATGGCTTATAATCTAATAGTATGAATTCAAAAGTTACTAAATAATGGTCAGATAGGAAAGGATTATGTGGGAAGACTATTAAATGTTCAATATCAATGCCATATGATAAAACAAGGTCAAGAGTGTGATTAAAACAATGAGTTGGTTTATTTACACTCTGACAGAAGCCAATTGAGTCTATTAATGATATAAATGCATTACTAAGGCTGTCATTGTCAACATCCACATGAATATTAAAATCACCTACAATAATTACTTTATCTGATTTAAGGACTAAGCTTGATAGAAACTCTGAAAATTCAGATATAAAATCAGAGTACGGTCCAGGAGCGCGGTACACTATAACAAATAGAACTGGCTGCAGTGTTTTCCAGTTTGGGTGAGAAAGGCTAAGAACAAGGCTTTCAAATGAATTATAATTTAGTTTAGGTTTAGGGTCCATTAAAACGCTCGAATCATATATAGCTGCTACTCCACCTCCTCGGCCTGTGCCTCGAGGAATGTGAGTATTAATATGACTGGGTGGGGTGGATTCATTTAGGCTAACATACTCCTCGTGGGACAACCAGGTCTCAGTAAGACAAAATAAATCAATATCATAATCTGATATTAATTAATTCACTAAAACAGCTTTAGAGGACAGAGACCTGATATTTAACAGCCCACATTTCATTCTCTTATTTTGTGCTACTGAGGAGTTGGTTTTAATTTTTATTAGATTTTTATGTTGAACTCCTCTTGTTTTTATTTCTTTAAATAGTTTAGGTGTTCGGGGGACAGACACAGTCTCTATGGGGTTTTGGGTGGGTGACTGTTCTAAAGAAAGCGCAGAGAAGTGTGTAAGACAGCAGCTCTGCTTCCTGGTCCTAACTCTGGACTGTCAGGTTTTAGAGATAAACTTCGCCATATTTCTAGATAAGAGAGCCGCTCCATCCAAAGTGGGATGGATGCCGTCTCTCCTAATCAGACCAGGTTTTCCCCAAAAAGGCTTCCAGTTATCAATGAAGCCCACATCGTTTGCTGGACACCACCTCGACAGCCAGTGGTGGAATGACGACATGCGGCTATACATGTCATCACTGGTCACATTGGGGAGGGGTCCAGAGAAAACTACGGTGTCCGACATTGTCTTAGCATAGTTACACACCGACTCCACATTAATCTTAGTGACCTCCGATTGGCGTGGTGTCATTACCGCCGACGTGGATAACAGTCTTACTGTATTTACGTTTACCTTTAGCCAGCAGTTTTAAATTTGATTCAATGTCGCCCGCTCTGGCCCCAGGGATACATTTAACTATGGCCGCTGGCTTCGCTAACTTCACGTTTCTGACTATGGAGCTGCCAATAACCAGAGTTGGTTCCTCAGCGGGTGTATCGCTGAGTGGGGAAAATGTATTAGAAACGTGAAGCGGTTGGTGGTGACCTGTGGGCTTCGCCGTTCTAGTCTTCCTTCGCTCAGTCACCCAGCCTCCCTGTCTTCCCGGCTGCTCGGGAACTACCGGGGGATCTACAGAGCTAACAGAAGCTACCTTCGGTCGGACCGCACCGGCTAATGGGGGCTGGCTAACTATAGCGGCTAAAGATATCTCAGTGGTGCGGTGCCGTTCCTCTAACTCACTAAGCCTCGCCTCCAGCGCAGTAAATAAACTACATTTAATACAGGTACCATTATCTTTAAAGGAGGCAGAGGAATAACTGAACATCTGACACACTGAGCAGGACAGAGGAGAGGGAGAGGGAGAAGCCATAGCTAACTGCTAATGCTAATGAAACTAGAGTGTATGAAAAACTTTGAAAGTAGTGAAAAGTCCCTAAAAGAGGGAGAAACTCCAAGTGCCCAAGCAGAACCAGTCCACGCCCAAATGCCAAGCGGGTAAATAACCGCTGCAACGAGCAAAACTAATTTATATTTAGCATTCACTGACAGAGTTACAGCACCAAACAGTGTACACAGAGCAGGAAGTAAACCGGAAGTGAGTCAGTACGCTTACCGTAGCACGTCCAACCAATCCGAAGCAATGTTAAAGAGTTCGGTCTAGACCTGCTCTATTTGAAAAGTGTCCTGAGATAACTTCTGTTATGAATTGGCGCTATACAAATAAAATTGAATTGAATTGAATTGAACTGCCATGGGCAAAAAATTTGCACCAGCTTATGGTAACATTTTCGTGGCTGAATGGGAGACCTCCGCCCTGGCATCCTGTAACAAAAAGCCATTCCATTACCATAGATATCTGGATGTTATCTGGGGGGTCTGGCCCCACTCTAAGGAGGACTTTGAGCAGTTTGCACTTACCTTGAACAATCACAATCCGTCCATTACACTGAAGTTCACCACCAGCACCACGTCTGTCAACTTCCTCGACACCACCACCTATAAAGGAACAAATTTCAAACAGACAAACAAATTGGATATTAAAGTTTTCTTCAAAGAAACAGACACCCATGCTCTGCTCTATAAAAACAGTCACCACCCAAAACATACATACAGTGGCCTACTGAAATTACAATGACTTTGTTTCCACAGAATCTGCACTCACAAGAGTGATTTCATGGCGGCCACAAAGATGCTCTTCAGAGCTCTTGCCACCAGGGGGTATTCACGCTCCTTCCGGCGAAAGGCCCTCAGCACCTTCCTGGAAACAAGGCCATTAGACATGGCTGAGGTTCTCCCCTTTGTGACCACCTATTCCAGGCCAGCAGTCACCCTGTGTAGGAAAATCAAACACAATTTCCACCAAAAAGTCATCAAGCCAGGACACCTGAAAAACCACAGGTTTATAGCGGCCTTTAGAAAGAACAAGAACCTCTAGGATTACCTGGTCTCGGCCAAAATTAAGTCCCTAATGACCTCTGCACCCAGAGGCCACGGCCAATTTTTCAAACATGCCATGTGGATACGCAGCCACTCTAATAAAACGGTCTATAAGACTGTGGCATGTGGAAATCCCCACTCCAAAAATTGTATTTACCTTATTTCATGTCTCTCTTGTGGCTTGCAGGATGTTGGGGAGACCAAAAATACGCTTTTACAGCGGTTCACCCAACACCGCTATAACATCCAGAGACGGAGGGAAACCCACACACCTCTGGTCAGCCATTTTCTGGCCCATGGATGGTCGTCTGTCCGGGCCACGATCATCTCATCTCTCTCTTTCTGCACTCATTCATGTCCCATTAATGCATGTTACTAACTTCACTTCTTCCCCGGAGTTCTTGTGCTTTCTCATCTCGCAGGTTCTTGTCGATCCTGGTGGAGCCTCCTGCCATGGTCCTGCTAGATTGCCATTGCCAATACTGTTGTTGCTGTGCACCTGTCTGTCTGTCTGTCTGTCTCTCGCTCTCTCTCTCTCTGCCTCTCTCTCTCTCTCTCTCTCACCCCAACTGGTCGAGACAGACGACCACCCACCTAGAGCCGGAGGATCTGTCCTAGGTTTCTGCCTTTTAACAGGCAGTTTTTCCTTGCCCTTGTCGCCAAGTGCTTGCTCATGGTGGTACTGTTGGGTCTCTGTAATTAATGTTTTAAAGAGTTCGGTCTAGACCTGCTCTATTTGAAAAGTGTCCTGAGATAATTCTGTTATGAATTGGCGCTATACAAATAAAATTGAATTGAATTGAATTGAATTGAATCCAGATGGACCCCAGCTGGAACGCCACACAGAGAACCCGAGCTGAAAGGACATGGATAGGAAAATTAGAAACAATACACCCCAAAGGCCTCAACCTTAAATAAGAGCTTTCCTGATCTGGAGCAGGATGGCCCGTGCATGGAGCCTTGACACCGCTACGCGGTGCCGAGACTCATCCACTTTCTCTATCCTAACCCTTATCATTGAGGTTGTATCTGTTACATATACAGGTACCTCAGTGCCTAAGTACCAAGTTGAATTAAGTGGAATTTTCCAAAGGAGCTTTCTTAACTATTTTGACTCTTTACTTTGAATGAATGCTCGCTCTCTCTCTCTCTCTCTCTCTCTCTCTCTCTCTCTCTCTCATTGACAAGGACAGCCTCAGGCTAGGTTTCTCTCAGGTGTGCTGTTACTTGCCCAGATGTGTTTATTCTTTCAGTGTGGCAGCAGAAGCAGGTAGGGCCTCAATCAACTCTCTTTTATACGTTTTTTATATATCAAAGATCGATGCTATTGGTGAACTTGTGGTGATTGATGTTGTTCATGCCTTCTGATATAAAGTCATTCTAGATTCATTATTGACTAGTGTTATTATCTTTAATGTCTGTATTAGCCAGACATGTTAAGTGTATTGCTCTGTAATGTCTACCAGAAAATTCATATTTATGGCATGCTATATAAATATTTTACATTTTAATATCTCCCTCATTGGAAGAGGTTTGTTATTGCATTAGTAATGCAGTAATATTGTAGGTCATATTAAAGGGAGTCAGCAAATTCTAACTGTGAAAGAGAGAAATTATGTGATAAAGGGTGAATTAATAAAATATGTTACGACTGACATTTTATCATACAAAACCCTCAAACATGCAGTTAAATACAACCCTGGAAAAGATGAAGCTTCTGTCTGTGTTGATTGCTGAGCTGCACTCTCATTTTCTGTCTGAAACATCTTACAGGGAAAACTGCTAATTATACATTAAATCGGTTTTAAGTCTGTAGAGCTTTCATTGTTTGAAAAAAACAACAACTCAGCAATGCTAGCTGACAGGAAGACTTCTTAATTTCATCAACACATTCAGCTCAGGGCCCTCAGTGGTTCTTGATGAGATTTGATTGGTTGCTGATGAGGTACCAGTGGTTGTTGATGAAGGTCCAAAGAACATCAGACAGAAATGCAGTAATTTTTCAGATCCTTACTTGTGTGAATCAAAGATGTTAGTTACATGTTAGGATATTGTTATAGCTTGAAGGCTTAGTTAAATTGTTAGTAACACAATCTCATAGTATCTATGTCATGTATGTAGTATGAGAGTAGGTGGGGTCATCACAGTGGAACAATGACTTCAGACAATAGTTGAAGGCACATTTGTTAACACAAAAAAACGTAAAAGAGATTTCTATGTAGAATATATTTATAATTAATAAATTCCCAGATTAAACAGGATGAATTAAAATAACTATGTAATGAGTTCAAAATGACAAACACCGCTGTAAAGTTCTATGCAGTGTAAACTATGTTAACGTGTGTATCTCTGAGCATTTAAAGTTTTAGAAAACTGTATTCGATTTTATATATCCAGCTTAAAACTGAACCTACGTATTTTTGTTGGTATTTATTGTAGTGAGTTAGTTCTCATCAGAGCTGTTTGAAGTTCTCATAATGACAGTACATTCATAATAATCCACATATACTTTCAGAATATCTGTGGAATATGAATTAGAAAACAGAGAAAGTTTAAGTTCTTTATTTAACTATTACATATATATATTATTAGAAAGAAACATATCTATAAAAACAAAATGCAAAAATACACAAGGTTAATTAATTTTTTATTTTACAACACAGGGTTTTATAATAAAACACAAGTGGTCTGTTATTATCTTTAGCAAGAGTGGCTGTGTCAAGTCAGAATCACTTTTATTGGCCAGGTATGTGTGCACATACAAGGAAATTGACTCCAGTTTTATTCAATTCAATTCAATTTTATTTGTACAGCGCCAATTCATAACAGAAGTTATCTCAGGACACTTTTCAAATAGAGCAGGTCTAGACCGAACTCTTTAAAACATTAATTACAGAGACCCAACAGTACCACCATGACCAAGCACTTGGCAACAAGGGCAAGGAAACACTGCCTGTTAAAAGGAAGAAACCTAGGACAGATCCTCCGGCTCTAGGTGGGTGGTCGTCTGTCTTGACCAGTTGGGGTGAGAGAGAGAGAGAGAGAGAGAGGCAGAGAGCGAGAGAGCGAGAGACAGACAGATAGGTGCACAGCAACAACAGTATTGGCAATGGCAATCTAGCAGGACCATGGCAGGAGGCTCCACCAGGATCGACAAGAACCTGCGAGACGAGAAAGCACAAGAACTCCGGGGAAGAAGTGAAGTTAGTAACATGCATTAATGGGACATGAATGAGTGCAGAAAGAGAGAGGAAGGGAGGAGCTCAGTGCACCATGGGAAATCCCCCGATAGTCTAGGCCTATAGCAGCATAACTAAGGGATGCTTCAGGACTCACCTGATCCAGCCCTAACTATAAGCTTTATCAAAGAGGAATGTCTTAAGCCTACTCTTGAATGTGGTGAGGGTGTCTGCCTCCCGAACCACAAATGGAAGCTGGTTCCACAGGAGAGGAGCTTGGTAACTGAAGGCTCTGGCTCCTGTTCTACTTTTAGAGACTATAGGAACCACAAGTAGCCCAGCATTCAGAGAACGTAGTGTTCTAGAGGGGTAATAGGGTACTATGAGCTCTTTAAGATATGAAGGGGCCTGACCATGAAGAGCTTTATAGGTGAGGAGGAGGATTTTAAATTCTATTCTACATTTTACAGGGAGCCAATGCAGAGAAGCTAGTACAGGAGAGATGTGATCTCTTTTTCTAGTTCCTGTCAGTACTCGTGCTGCAGCGTTCTCAATTAATTGGAGCGTTTAAATGGACTTATTGGGGCAACCTGATAATAAAGAGTTGCAGTAATCCAGCCTTAAAGTAACAAATGCATGGATTAGTTTTTCTGCATCTGTCTGTGATAGTATGTGTCTATTTTCTTCTAATATTACGTAAATGAAAGAAGGCAGTCCTAGAGGTCTGCTTTATGTTGGAGTTAAATGACAAATCCTGATCAAAGATAACTCCACGATTCCTGACAGTGGTGCTAGAGGCCAAGTTAATGCCATCTAGAGTAACTATATCTTAAGACAGTGAGTCTCTAAGGTTTTTGGGGCCAAGAACAAGAATTTCGTTTTTTTCTGAGTTTAACATCAGAAAATTGCAGGTCATCCAGGAATTGAATGTCCTTAAGACATGTTTGTAATTTAGATAATTCGATTAATTTCATTTGGCTTGATTGATAGATAGAACTGCGTATCATCTGCATAACAGTGAAAGTTAATGGAGTGATTCCTAATAATGTTGCCTAAAGGGAGCATATATAAAGTAAATAGTATTGGTCCAAGTACAGAACCTTGTGGAACTCCATGACTAACTGTAGTATTTACTGAAGATTCATCGTTGACATGTACAAACTGCGAGCGATATGATAAATATGACTTAAACCAGCTTAGTGCGGTTCCTTTAATGCCAATTTGATGCTCAAGTCTCTGTAAAAGAATATTATGGTCAATGGTGTCAAATGCAGCACTAAGATCTAATAATACAAGTACAGAGACAAGTCCATTGTCAGAAGCAGTCATAAGGTCATTATTAACTTTAACCAGAGCTGTCTCTGTGCTATGATGAACTCTAAATCCTGACTGAAAATCCTCAAATAAACTATTGTTATGTAGAAAGTCACACAACTCTTTGGCGACTACTTTCTCCAGAATCTTAGAGAGGAAGGGGAGGTTAGAAATCGGTCTATAGTTGGCTAAAACCCCTGGGTCAAGAGTAGACTTTTTAAGAAGGGGTTTAATTACAGCTACTTTAAAGGACTGTGGTACATATCCTGATAATAAAGAAAGATTAATCATATCCAGTAAAGAAGTGCCAATTAAGGTTGATGGCTTCGATGAAGAAATGATTGAAGTTAACTGATGAAGATCGATAGCAGAAAAACAGTCTAAATATATATCTAAGATTACATTGACAGAAGTCCCTGAACTTGGAGAGCCACTGATAGTTTTATGTTAATCTCAATGTACAAACACAGACTAACAGCATAAATAAGCAGAACAAGTTCAACAAAAAGACAGACTTAAATGTACAGTTATACATATATATAAATAAACATTTGTAGACAGTAGACAATAAGTAGAGCAGGTCATCTACTTATCAGAAGGTTGGTAGTTCGATCACTGTCTCCTCCCGTTGCATATGGGTTAGGATTATTTTTATTCTTAAGGTTAGGGTTCTAAATTTTAGTTTAATGTATGTAATGTATGTTTTGTATTTTGTATGCTACTGGATATTTGAATTTCCCTCGGCATAAAAAAGTATCTATCTATATTGAAGTGTCCTTGAGCAAGATACTGAACTATTGTGCATTGGTATAAGAAGGTGTGTGCATGAATTCGTCTCTGTGATGGCCTTTGCCATCACTGTATGAATGTGTGAATGGGTGAATGTGGCATGTAGTTTAAAGTGTTTTGAGGTTCCAGCTGTTGACTAAAAAGGAGCTATATATGGACAGTCATTACCCAGCCAGTTTGTGATGTGTCCAGACAGAAAAAAATTTCCTCTGTAAAGGTTACCAAGAACTTGGAACAGGAATTTTGCTTTCTTAAGTTTCATAAAGAAACACAGTCGTCTGCGTGTTCTATTAACCAGGGTGGGGATGTGACATGACCACCAAAGATTCTCTGTGATGTTGATTCCCAGGAACCTAAAACCGTTCACCTGCTACGCCTCAGTTTCACTGATGTAAACAGGGGAATAAAATATAATATGAAATATAATATAGTCTGCAGGTGTACAGTGAATAAACAGTAATGTACACAGAATTTGCAGTAATGGAGTAAACCAATATGATTTTTGAGGACAGGGTATGGACAGATAATAAACAAATATACATACTGTAATGTTTAAAGCTTATACACAGTAGTGATATATATATGTATACTGCAATGTGTGCAGGTATTAGCAGGTAAAATATATAATATGTACGCAACAAGTAGTACCACTGAATAATAGTATACAGGTAAAGTGTCCTTCTTCTTTGAAAATTCAAGGAAGAAAGACCCTTTAGGGTCTCACCGTCTTTGTGATGTAGTCAAAGTGGTGTAGTCCTACAGAATTTAGTCTCAGCTATCAGTTTGTCAAACTGCACCTTTGAAATGAAGGTGAGCTTCCTGACATGTTTCCTATTCTGTCTTCCACAGAGATAATGATATTAGTTATATCTATGTGTCCACTTAACAAACTTACCAAGATCCAACATTCAATCTACCAAACCATATACACATACATAACATTTCATAGCAATGTTTATAATAATAATAATAATAATAATAATAATATTTATTTGTGTAGATTTTTTTTTTTACATGTTTGTGTCCATTCCCCTTGACATGTTTCCTGTACTGGTGTAACACTGGTCAACACTTCAATAAAGTTAAGAGGAATAAAACATTAACATTAACATCTGTTATCAACTAACACAACTGTTTGCATTTTTTTAAATGTCAGAACAGTTTAAATGGAATAGTTCAGTCAATCCCCACAATTACTGCTAAGGCCCAAACATTCCCATTAAAGTTCATCAGTCCCTTCAGGGTTCACAATTTACTGCTGTGTGGGGGGAAGTGGCAGCAAAGTACACAAGCTGGATTCATAGTGAACCTAAAGAGCCGAAACCAACTAGACATACTTTTGAAACCTTTTAAAAGACAGTGACTCAAGATCGAATAAAAAACCAGGAGCCACCTCAAAACATTCATCATTTCAGGTCTGGAAGTATGGGGGTCTTTATGTCTGAGGGTCTGGCTCCTGCTGTTTCATAATGTGTCTGTGATCTGTGTTATCTGTTACAGTTTGTTGTTGAGCCGTGATTTAATGTTATTGTTAATGATATTCACTGCTCTCTGTTAGCACTCCACCTCCAATGTTTCGTTATATATATGACATATAGTTTATATGTATGATGACATATATGTTTTTATATATCTATCAGAATGGTCATCAAAAAAATAAATACAAATACAAATGTTTCTAATCAATTAACATATGTTCTCATCAGGCTGTTAGCTGTTAGCCATGTGCTAACACTGTCAATAAAAAATCAGGTTGTTTGAATGTTAAAGGTTTGTCAGCAGCTTAATGGTTTCATAAAACTGACGTACACACATTAAAAAAAAAGGTGAATTTTTATTTAAAGTCAAGGTTTAGGGTTTAAGGTTTAAAGGTCAGTATTGGGGTTTATGGGTTAGGGTTAGGGTTGTGTAAGTTATCTTGATGATCCCCCTGGACCATCAATTTGCCAGTTGAAGGTTTAAGATTAAGCTCCAAGTTTACAATTGTCTGTTTGTTTTTTTTACTTGAGGGGATAAAACTTGTGGTGAGATCTGAACTCAGATCAGATTCCCACGAGACCAGAGTCCACCTGCAAGCATTTCAACACAACATGATCTTCATTATCTTCATCGGTGAGTTGAAAGGAAGGAGGGTGTAAGGATTCAGGTAGGGCACATGAGGTGTAGTGACTACACAGAATATTTTATGTTTTTTATTTCAAAATTGACAATATTTCTACTGAGTTATTTATATATCTAATGAAATTATGTAGTGTCAACACTGAGGGAATGCAGGATGTAAGGAAACTGGTCTATAAGATTTTACAGTCTTTAGTCTAAAATCCACAAAGGCTTGACAGAGATTTGAAGTCTCCACTAGAATCTGACCCATCTATAACCCATCTATCCATCTGCAGTTTTATTCCCACCAGCTCAGCTCCAGGACTCCCGGGACTTCCAGGTCTTCCAGGAGCTCCAGGACCCCCAGGACCTCCAGTGCTCTGGCGGCTCTTGTAACCCACAGCTCGGCGACCTGATGGTGGGTCGAGTGGCTCAGCTATCAGCCTCATCCACCTGCGGTCTGAATGGACCCCAGAACTACTGTATCATTGGATACCTGGAGGTCAGAGGTCACATTATAAAACATTTATGTAGTATGAGCAGTATATAACACACACACAGTGCAGTGAACTGTGTTTTCTGTCTGATTGACGTGTTCCTGGCTCGCCTGCTGACTTTCATACTCAAACATGTTCTGATCTGTCACTTTATCTTTCACTGTTCTCTCCACCCTCAGGAATTAATTCTTTTCCTCATTCCTGCATGTCTCTTCCCTTTCATCTCTGCAGTCTTTACAATCTGTATTCTCTCACAGAAATCTTTCATACAGAATAAAAACCTTTTTCTCAACATTCCTTTAAATACATACAATTCAGATTCAAGTTTTGTTCATTATTATACTTTTCTGACAAGTGACAGTTCAGATACTAATATTATGTATTGGCCCACTGTATGTACACATACACAGAATAGGACTATTGCATTTTTCATTGCTTTCCCATGTGAAAAACCTACCAAAGAAGGACAACTCCATCATGTCAGACTCTACACCACCTGCACTTAAAATTGAAGTTCCTGCCTCGACAACTTACACACATAAATCATTTCTCTGCTCAACTCTGTGAGGTATTCTGGTGTTCTATCAGCACATCCAACCAATTACTGTCCGTTTCTCATTTCCTTTTACTAATATTTTCATTGTGTTCTTCATCTTTTACTCCAGCTTGTTTTACTATGTGTAGTTTTTATGTGTCTTTCTAATCTTGTATCTGTGTGTCTGTGAGTCAGAGGCTGCTAAAGAAATGTTACTTCATGATCAATAATGATTGATGAATTACTGGTGATTATTGATCACTTGGATTTCATGTGTCATCATCCAGGAGGAGCAGAAATGTTTCACATGTGACTCACGGCTGCCGTACAATCACTATGGTAACCCCAACAGCCACCGCATTCAGAACGTCATCACGACCTTTGACCCTGACAGGAAAATGAAGTGGTGGCAGTCTGAGAACGGTGAGTTTAAAACATGATCACCTAAACTGAAGTTTTTTCATAGCATTCATTTTGTTTTAATGATTTAAAAAATGTCCACAGTGTAATTTGGAAATTTCATTTAAAGTAGCTGAGTAAGCTACTTTTCTTAACCTTTTATTTTTGGGAATTTTTTGCATTTAATTGATATTGACAGCTGAAGAGTGACAGGAAAAGGGAGGAGAGAGAGAGAGAGGGGATGACACGCAGCAAAGGGCCGCAGGTCAGATTGCAACCCTGGGCCGCTGCAGCAAGGACTCTGCCTTGGTACATGGACCCTTTTTGATACAGAAATAACTGTATCTTTACACAGCTATAAAGAGTTTAATTCAATTCAATTTTATTTGTATAGTGCCAATTCATAAAAGAAGTTATCTCAGGACACTTTTCAAATAGAGCAGGTCTAGACTGAACTCGTTATAACATTTACAGAGACCCAACAGTACCACCATGAGCAAGCACTTAGCAACGGGGGCAAGGAAAAACTGCCTATTAAGAGGCAGAAACCTAGGACAGACCCTTCGGCTCTAGGTGGGTGGTCGTCTGCCTCGACCAGTTGGGGTGAAAAAAAAAGAGGAACAGTAAGACAACAACAGTAGCAACAACTACACTAATAGTAGATGATGACACGACAACAACAGCAACGATGAGGGACAACAAGCAGTGACAATAGTAATACTAGTAGCTGTAGTAATAATAATATTAATAATATTAATAATAATAATAATAATAACAGTAATATCAGTAATATTAGCAATGGCAGTCAAGCAGGACCATGGCAGGAGGCACCACCAGGATCCATGAATGAGAACCTGCAAGACGAAAAGCACAAGAACTCTGGGGAAGAAGTGAAGTTAGTAACATGCATTAATGGAACATGATTGAGTGCAGAAAAAGAGAGAGAGAGAGGAGCTCAGTGCACCATGGGAAATCCCCGATAGTCTAGGCCTATAGCAGAATAACTAAGGGATGGTTCAGGACTCACCTGATCCAGTCCTAACTATAAGCTTTATCAAAGAGGAATGTCTTAAGCCTACTCTGAATGTGGGAGGGTGTCTGCCCCCGAACCACAACTGGAAGCTGGTTCCACAGGAGAGGAGCTTGGTAACTGAAGGCTCTGGCTCCTGCCTACTTTAGAGACTATAGGAACCACAAGTAGCCCTGCATTCAGAGAACGAGTGTATAGAGAGGTAATAGGGTACTATGAGCTCTTTAAGGAGTTAGAGGAACGGCACCGCACCACTGAGATATCTTTAGCCGCTATAGTTAGCCAGCCCCCAGTAGCCGGTGCGGTCCGACTGAAGGTAGCTTCTGTTAGCTCTGTAGATCCCCGGTAGTTCCCGAGCAGCCGGGAAGACAGGGAACTGGGTGACTGAGCGAAGGAAACTAAAACGGCGAAGCCCACAGGTCACCACCAACCCCTTCACGTTTCTAATACATTTTCCCCACTCAGCGACACACCCGCTGAGGAACCAACTCTGATAATTGGCAGCTCCATAGTCAGAAACGTGAAGTTAGCGAAGCCAGCGGCCATAGTTAAATGTATCCCTGGGGCCAGAGCGGGCGACATTGAATCAAATTTAAAACTGCTGGCTAAACGTAAACGTAAATACAGTAAGATTGTTATCAACGTCGGCGGTAATGACACCCGTTTACGCCAATCGGAGGTCACTAAGATTAATGTGGAGTCGGTGTGTAGTTTTCTCGGACCCCTCCCCAATGTGACCAGTGATGACATGTATAGCCGCATGTCGTCATTCCACCGCGGCTGTCGAGGTGGCGTCCAGAAAACGATGTGGGCTTCATTGATAACTGGAAGCCTTTTGGGGAAAACCTGGTCTGATTAGGAGAGACGGCATCCATCCCACTTTGTATGGAGCGGCTCTCTTATCTAGCAACATGGCGAAGTTTATTTCTAAAACCTGACAGTCCAGAGTTGGGACCAGGAAGCAGAGCTGCTGTCTCACACACCCTCTGCGCTTTCTTTACAACAGTCACCCACCCAAAACCCCATAGAGACTGTGTCTGTCCCCGAACACCTAAATTATTTAAAGAAATAAAAACAGGCGCTCAACATAAAAATCTAATAAAAATTAAAACTAACTCCTCAGTAGCACAAAATAAGAGAATGAAATGTGGGCTGTTAAATATCAGGTCTCTGTCCTCTAAAGCTGTTTTAGTGAAAGAATCAATATCAGACTATGATATTGATTTACTTTGTCTCACTGAGACCTGGTTGTCCCACGAGGAGTATGTTAGCCTAAATGAATCCACCCCCAGTCATACAATACTCCCACTCCTCGAGGCACAGGCCGAGAGGTGGAGTAGCAGCCACATATGATTCGAGCGTTTTAATGGACCCTAAACCTAAACTAAATATAATCATTGAAAGCCTTGTTCTAGTCTTTCTCACCCAAACTGGAAAACACTCAGCCAGTTCTTTTTTTAGTGTACCGCGCTCCTGGACCGTACTCTGATTTTATATCTGAATTTTCAGAGTTTCTATCAAGTTTAGTCCTTAAATCGGATAAAGTAATTATTGTAGGTGATTTTAATATTCATGTGGATGTTGACAATGACAGCCTTAGTAATGCATTTATATCATTAATAGACTCAATTGGCTTCTGTCAGAGTGTAAATAAACCAACTCATTGTTTTAATCACACTCTTGACCTTGTTTTATCATATGGCATTAGTATGAATTCAAAAGTTACTAAATAATGGTCAGATAGGAAAGGATTATGTGGGAAGACTATTAAATGTTCAATATCAATGCCATATGATAAAACAAGGTCAAGAGTGTGATTAAAACAATGAGTTGGTTTATTTACACTCTGACATAAGCCAATTGAGTCTATTAATGATATAAATGCATTACTAAGGCTGTCATTGTCAACATCCACATGAATATTAAAACCACCTACAATAATTACTTTATCTGATTTAAGGACTAAGCTTGAGTACGGTCCAGGAGCACGGTACACTATAACAAATAGAACTGGCTGCAGTGTTTTCCAGATTGGGTGAGAAAGACTAAGAACAAGGCTTTCAAATGAATTATAATTTAGTTTAGGTTTAGGGTCCATTAAAACGCTCGAATCATATATGGCTGCTACCCCCGCCAGGGCATTCGAGGGTGGAGTATTAATAACGGGGGGATTCATTGCTAACATACTCATCGTGGGACAACCAGGTCTCAGTAAGACAAAGTAAATCAATATTATAATCTGATATTAATTCATTCACTAAAACAGCTTTAGAGGACAGAGACCTGATATTTAACAGCCCACATTTCATTCTCTTATTTTATGCTACTAAGGAGTTGTTTTTAATTTTATTAGGTTTTTGTGTTTAACTCCTCTTGTTTTTATTTCTTTAAATAATTTAGGTGGTCGGGGGACAGACACAGTCTCTATGGGGTTTTGGGTGGGTGACTTTACTAATGGAAGAGCAGAGAAATGTGTAAGACAGCAGCTCCGCGTCCCAAATCTGTACTGTCAGGTTTTAGCAATAAACTTTGCCATATTGCTAGATAAGAGAGCCACTCCATCCAAAGAGGGATGGATGCTGTCTCTACTAATCAGTTCTATCTAATGTACCATTGAATTCAGAAAACCTTCAATGTCAATAGTATATTTTATCCAGTATTAATCTGATATTATATTATATGAATACATATTTATTAAAAATGTTAATTAATGTTACATTTATTTTGTGATTATTTGTGCTTTTATAAGAAAATGTACTGTAACCCAGTAAGAACAACACTTAATTGACTACTGTACTCAGGTTCAACTCAAGGAGTGTAAAAGGTAAACACAGGGATGTTTATTTTCAAAATCTACAAAAAGTAGAATCACAGTTCAGATTCAAATACGCAATATATAAAAGAAATAAAAGAACTCTTTAAATAAAGTGTCTCTTTACAGCTTATTGCTGTCTGATATCAATGTTCGTCAAAGTCCAGTCCAAAAAGCTTAGTTTGTATCCATGTCCGTCCAAGTGTATTCAATGTGTATGTGCTACCCGGGTAGAATGTGTGTGTTTGTCTGTACGTTTGCTGCACGCAGCTTAGATCTTATCTGCTCCAGGCATGAATCTTCAGGAAGATGATGAGGATGGAGAATTCCAGATACTCTCTAACCCTGCCTCGCGTCCGACAGTAAACCTGGTTGGAATCTATGCTGTCCCAGAATGTAGATCCAGCAACTCAAAAAACCAATCTGCCATAGCAGGAAATAAAATTAATTATCATCAATTACTGTACAGTATCATATCTCTCTTTAACTAAAGTGTAACTTATAATACTGAACACAAAAGCAATGATGAACTATATCCTGAGACCTTAAAACCTTAGACATCATTGTGTTTTTTTCCTTTTTTAACAGTATTAATAAATCATGATACACAACTTATCTCTTACCTCTAATCAATCATGTCTCTCATTCATATTCACCCTTATGTATTTTTAATCATCTCAACATGAACTGTAACACATTATTTATATCAGGAAAAACCCATATGTATACTAATCATGAGCATTAGCCCATGTATAGCATATTTTTAACTCTCCAACACTGAACATGGCGCCCAGAAATGACGCGGTAACACTAAAAATAAATGCATTTCTAAAACACAACTCAACATATTAATTCATTTCAGTGTCTCCATAACATTTACAGTTGACTCCAATTGTTGTTTGTTGATAAGAAAATTGCTTAATCATAACCACACAGAAAAGTTACATGTCCGCTAGCAATGTAGCATGCTAACTAGCACACTCACGTCCGCTAGCAATGTAGCATGCTGACTAGTACACTCACCGGAGTCCTCAATCATATAAAACAAAAGAAAGCCAATCTTCCGGTCGCAGCGGTCTGGAACCCTCTGGCAACAACTTCGGTCCAGTACAGACTCATAAACATGAGAACAAACAGTATTTCTTCCATAAAATGGAATTAACTAACTTCACTCGTGGCTGTATCGTGAGTTGTTAGGGCTTAGCTGAGGTGTTTTTTATCCCAGCATGCAACGCTCACGTCCACTGGATTTACTACATATCACATACATAGTGCGCCCTCTAGCGGCTATTTTAGGCAACTACAGTCATCTTGAAACACAGTTTCCCTCATAAATTTAGATATTAAAATGAAACTTATTAACTATGAGGCCAAACAAACAAATATTAGTCAGTTAACCCAAAGCTGTACTTTCATAGGGGTTACAGTACCTTTTCCAAAAGGCACAATAAACATCTGGAATTAAACTTTTTGTAATGTTGTAATTCTCACATCAGATTGATTCCCACTTCTAACAGAAAAAATTCTGTCGTGCTTTCTCTTGAACATACTCAATGTAGTTAGTAAACTGAATTTTACAGTAAAGAGAAGCAGGAGATCTGTTATCTATTAGTGACAATGAGCATCTTAACTGCTGTTTAATTAATTGAATCTTCTGTAATCTGGTCCACAGATTTTATATAATCAGCTTTGGGTGGATGACACTGTTAGCATAGCAGCTATTGGCTGCTAATTTAGCAGAGGTAAAGGTCTCTGAACACACAGTGCTCACTGTGAATTCTGGGAAGGAACAATATAACAGGTTGGAACATCAGTGTAAACAGGAGAACATTTAAAATGTTTTCGGTAAGCTTAAAAATAGCATCGTATTAATTAGTACTAATAATAACTCACCTGTGTAACTCTGCAGGAGTTCATCAGGTCAGCATCAGGCTGGATCTGGAGACCGTGTTCCAGTTCAGTCATCTGGTCCTCACCTTCAAGGTAAACACTGACATATATATTGAAATGTGTTATACTTTTTATAACACTTGTTCAGAGGAATTATTAATGATCACAGGCAGTGACTCTGATTGGCTGATGTGATGTCATACAGATTTAGTTTATTTGGTGTATGACTGAACTTTTTTATTACAAGCTGAACTTCCTGATCATGTGAAATCTCATTTCTGTGGAATATTTAAAACCTGAAGGTCACCAAAATTCCCACTAAAATATGTATAACATATCTGTATCACATTTGTAATCACGTCACAATGCAGACAAGTGTCGTTTACATTGATTTCCAGGTTTTATTTGTGGCGGTAAACAAAAACAAAAATCTGTTAGGATTCAGTTTGCAGTCCGGCAGCCAAATAAGCCCAAGAGTGGTCTGAATCTGGGATGAGTCTGATTCTGGGTGCAGACATTGTCCTGAACTTGAGTGCTGCTGACTGAAGCTCAAAATACAACCAGACCCGACAGCTGAATCTGAGCCAACTCACATCTGGTACTCTGAAGCAAGAACACAGGGGTGGTGGTCAGTTGAGTTCAATTTGGCGGCTGTGGCTCAGAGGAGGAGTGGGTCATGCACTAATTAGAAGGTTGTTGGTTCGATCCCAGGCTCCACCTGCCACATGTCGAAGTATCCTTGAGCAAGATACTGAACCCTAAGTTGCTACCGATGCTATGCATCGGTGTGTGAATGTGTATGAATTGTCAGGGATAGTGTTATGGCTGGACCCAGGAGCAGACACATAGACTGGATGAAGGGTTTTAAGGGGCTTTATTAACAAACACTGGGAGGGATTAGGGGCGGCCTCAGCCGGAATGGGCTGGAGAATCGGCAGGGAGACCGAAGACACGGAAGCACTGGGGAGCCGACTCGGGGAACCGACCAGCATGGGAGGCTGATGAACCGGCGGAGTGACTGAAGACACAGAGACACAGGAGAGCTGACTCTGGAACCTGAACTGTAGGAGAGTGATCCCTGAAACTCTGGAGAGATAGATCCCTGAAACTCTGGAGCGATAGGATCCCAGGGGAGAGCAGGTACAGGAAAACCACATGGAACTAGCTACTCACTGAGAGGAGGCATGGGAGTACCACCAAGTCTGCTGACTAACAATCTGGCCCCGAATGAAGGGGAGACCGGGGTTTTTGAGGGCTGAGACTAATGAATGATTGAGAGCATGTGAGACAGCGCACAGTTGAGGTGAATGGAGGCCGCACCCTAATTAGACACACACACACACACACACAGGGAAGGAGGAGGAGCAAAAGGAGCAGGAGAGGAGCAGAGCCATGACATGAATGAGTTAGTTTCTGTTTGATGGGCTTGCCATCACTGAGTGAATGTCTGTGAAAGGGTGAATGTGGAATGTAATGTAAAAGCGCTTTGAGTGGTTGGAAGACTAGAAAGGCGCTATACAAGTACAGGTCCATTTGCCATTTGACTTATTTTTAGCCATCCTCCCATAGAGGAGAATTCTTGAAGTTCTTGTTGTGCACCAGTCTCCACTCTTAGTCACTGAACTCCTACAAAGTGATTGTTGGATTGTTGGTGGCTTCCCTCACATGTCTTCTTACTCGGACGCTGAGTTTTGAGGGACGGCTTGTTGAGGCAGAACCTGGATGGTATGATCCATTTCGTAATTTTTGGTCTGAGAGTGCTTACTGGGATATCCACTATCCACTCGTCAGTTTGTGTCTATTACTTTATTTCTAAGTTTAACTCTCTTCATTTCCATAGCTCTGTTTCAGAGTAAAAGTCTGACCATTTTAATGTTTCATAGGTGGAGGCCAATCCTAACCTTGTTAGGTTGATATCTCTAATCTGCTTAATAGGTCATTTGGTTGACTTTTGGTCTTTTCAAAATAAAATATTACACAGAAATAATGTATCATTTGTAATTCAGACAAATAATCTGTATACTTTTTACAAGCCATTGTGTGTACATATGTACATGGCACAGGGTCAATGCTCGTCATATGAATGGTCCACTGATGTAATTTCCCACTCTACAGAGTTTCCGTCCGGCAGCCATGTTGGTGGAGCGTTCAAAGGATTTCGGACGGAGTTGGAAAGTTTTTCGTTACTTTGCAGAAGATTGTTCACTTAATTTCCCTTCAGTGTCCGACCAGCCAGCCAACAACATTGATGACATCATCTGTGACAGCAGATACTCCGGATCAGAGCCATCCACTGACGGAGAGGTAATGCATTCAATTTACTTTATTTATACACAGAGACTAACTCAAATTCAAAAAAAGAAAGATGATGTCACAGAATTTTTCAGTTCAATTCAATTTTATTTGTATAGCGCCAATTCATAACGGAAGTTATCTCAGGACACTTTTAAAATAGAGTAGGTCTAGACCGAACTCCTTAAAAAATTATTTACAGAGACCCAACAGTACCACCATGAGCAAGCACTTGGCGACAAGGGCAAGGAAAAACTGCCTGTTAAAAGGCAGAAACCTAGGACAGATCCTTCGGCTCTAGGTGGGTGGTCGTCTGCCTCGACCAGTTGGGGTGAGAGAGAGAGAGAGAGAGACAGACAGACAGGTGCACAGCAACAACAGTATTGGCAATGGCAATCTAGCAGGACCATGGCAGGAGCCTCCACCAGGATCGATAAGAACCTGCGAGACGAGAAAGCACAAGAACTCCAGGAAAGAAGTGAAGTTAGTAACATGCATTAATGGAACATGAATGAGTGCAGAAAGAGAGAGGAAGAGAGGAGCTCAGTGCACCATGGGAAATCCCCCGATAGTCTAGGCCTATAGCAGCATAACTAAGGGATGGTTCAGGACTCACCTGATCCAGCCCTAACTATAAGCTTTATCAAAGAGGAATGTCTTAAGCCTACTCTTGAATGTGGAGAGGTAAGACAGAAGTAAAACAATATAATTGAAAAATAGGTAAACTAATCTATATTTTCTTTTCATGTTTGCTTTGTGTTATATATCATGTGTGCTGTGTTAAGTATGAGAGCTCCACTGAAGCAGTAAAAAAAACAAGGAGGAAAACTCAAGCAACCATCAGCTGTTAAAGTGTAAGGCCGAGCTAACAGTGTGGATGTCAGACTAGCTATTAAAACTACAGTATTTTTATTATTAGTATTATTATTTTTAAGGATTTTTACCCGACACTGCTCCTCCCAGAAACGAAAGATGAATGTATGTCAATCATCATAATCAAACATCAAGGTAATCAATAATAATCTTGTTCAGAGGTCCACAATCAGTCTGAAGGGTCACGTGATGACAATGAGACAAAAAACAAGAATATCTTTTTTCTGTTTACGAAGACAAAATTAGACAAACATACATTAATATCTTCAGGTTTTTATAAATCTTAACGATAAATCAGGAAATTTTCATTCACATTCAGTCACAAAAAGGTTTGAGCTGATCCAGTTCCTGATAAACCAAGATTAGTTTATATAGTTTCATTCTTTTTTATGCACACATTTATGTTTTTATATGTTTATAAATCTGTTTTATTATATTCTATTTGTCCACCAGGTGGTGCTGAAAGCTTTGGATCCCATCTTTGAAATAGAAAACCCATATGCGGCCAACATCCAAGGTGACATTAACACCAGACTATCCGCCTCTCTGATTGGATTTGGGCTGTGTGTTAAAATCATGTGTTAAATGGTTAAGCAATGTTTTCAATCAGAGACAAGGTGCATTAACCTGCAGGTAACAATAGATACAGGACTGATGATTTAACTGTCATGTGAAACTAAATTAACCCGGAGCTAACCATGGATGTGCTTTCAGAATCACTACCCCTGAGTCTACAGTGTATCATGTCCACCGTGTTTACTTGTGTGATGTACTGCAGTACTTACACTGAAGCTATAACAAACTCTCAGAAACAAGAACATTTAAACTTGTTTTCTAACTGTTATCCTCAGATCTGATCACCTTGACAAATATCCGTGTTAACTTCACTCGTCTCTTCACTTTGGGCGACACTCTGCTGTCTCGGAAACGTAGAAACCCTCAGGAGAAATATTACTACGCTCTTTACAACATGGTGGTCCGAGGCAGCTGTTTCTGTCATGGACATGCTAGCCAGTGTACACCTGTGGACCCAAGACGAGGGGACGTCTTCACCCAGACTGGCATGGTACAGACCACAACTGGTGCACATCAGTTCTGAACAGTTTTTAACAGTCTGTGTTGGCATCATGTGACAGTTTGTGTTCTGTTGCCTTCACAAATACAAAATACAGATTAGTTTACTGACATTCCTGAATTAAACACATTTCCTTATTATTGTATAAAAATCACTTTTGGGTCGGTGTGGGTCTGGCGTCGGTTGCTTCGTGGTGTTGGCTGATTTGGTGATTTATAAACGGTAAATGAATATTAACATTGTTCTAAATAGGATTGTCATTAATTTATTGTATTTATAAGTTTGAGGTCTCTCCATATTTCACTGTAAATTTCCTCCACATATTGTACTTTATTCTCAGACATAAATCAAAACACAAATTAAACTCTTGTTGGAACAGTTCAGAGACGAGGACTGATTGAAAATATCTGAACAAATGTGTGCAGTGAGTTTGTCAGGTATTTTCTGCAGGTAAAGATGTTTTCTATTATTCAGGTTCATGGTCGATGTCTTTGCCAGCACAACACGGCCGGAGAGAATTGTGAGAGATGTCAGGACTTTCACCACGACTCCCCCTGGAGGCCTGGAGGAGAAAATACAGACGACATCTGCAGGAGTAAAACAAATTCTTGAATCTTTATGTTGTTTAAAACATAAACCAGGTGGTTCGCTCTGTTGGATCTGATTAAAATAGAAAGAGTACAGTCTAAAAGTGAGATTATTTCTGTTATGATTGGGTGCTATACAAATAAAAATTTGAATGAGACAGTTAAGTTTCATTTTTTCTACAGCTTTTTTACATATTGAATAACTTTTATTCATTATATTTTTTTACACTGAATCACTGACTGACTTTTGTTGTTAGTCTTAAATTATATTTGTTTTTTAAGAATGAATTTATCCTGTTTTTAGTTTGTGATTGCGTGTTGTTTTGTGTCTCTTTCAGGATGTAACTGTCACGGTCACACGGACTCATGTCACTTTGATGTTGCTCGTTTTGACGCGACTGGTGGCGTAAGTGGCGGAGTGTGTGATGACTGCCACCATGGAAGGATGGGGCCTCAGTGTGAACAATGTCGACCTTTTCTGTATCAGGACCCACAGAGAGCGGTGGACGACCCACACGCCTGCATTCGTATGCTGTATTTACTTTTATTCATCTTCATGATCATGCACATTTTCTCTCTTTGTATTATTCGTTTTTAAATTAAAAAGTTGAAACTAACTGAGATTGAGGAACAGTTATAATAAACAGTTATGATGTAGTCTGTGTTATAGATTCAAGCACTGTTTTCCTTGTAGTTGTAATATTGTTGTTGGACAGGCACCTGAATGCAGCTGTAAACCATAGACCCAACAGTAACACCTGTACTTCATTACTAAGTAATCATGGTTCCAGTTTTATAGAATAACTTTATTGATCCCATATCTGGAAATACATGATAAGATTGTGTTACTGTAACTGAGAACGCAGAGACAGAAAACTTGTGAATCTACAACAATGAGACAAAAAGATCAAACCAGTGAGGTTTAAGATTCACAGCAGCGTCCATCACAGATTCTTCTGGTTATCCACTCAGAAAACCAGATAAGCAGACATTTTTTTGGAAAAAGGAAAAGTTTGTGTTTTTCTGTGTATAAATATGACCTTCAGATAGTTATGCCTGACATGATGATGTACATTATTTTATGAGATCATCAAACGTTTGTCTTGTGAGAACCATGTATCTCTACAAAGTCAGAAGAAACCCTGTTTTTTAGCATTTTCATTGCAAAAAGTACACCCAAACACATCACAACATTCATCAGAAATATTTTATAAAAGCTGCACTGAAATCGGCCTTCTAGGCCAAAACAATCCAAACACTACATTTTTAAGTTAGATGTCACCTTTTTAATGCCAGTAAGCATTTCTGTCCTGACAATGTGGATTCCTCCAGTCCTTGAACCCTTTTGGTTTGAGTAAGCATATTTAGACTGTAGCTAAGCTCACACTGAGGCGATCAGAGGAGAACTGATCCTGATTGATCATTCTGTTTAAACTGTAGTGACAAACAGATTGAGGTCAAATGAATTGCAGTTACATTGTAGAGTTACAGTGGGTACGGAAAGTATTCAGACCCCTTTAAAATTTTCACTCTTTGTTTCATTGCAGCCATTTGCTAAAATCAAAAAAGTTCATTTTATTTCTCATTAATGTACACTCAGCACCCCATCTTGACAGAAAAAAACAGAAATGTAGAAATTTTTGCAAATTTATTAAAAAAGAAAAACTGAAATATCACATGGTCATAAGTATTCAGACCCTTTGCTGTGGCACTCATATTTAACTCACATGCTGTCCATTTCTTCTGATCCTCCTTGAGATGGTCCTGCTCCTTCATTGGAGTCTAGCTGTGTTTAATTAAACTGATTGGACTTGATTAGGAAAGGCACACACCTGTCTATATAAGACCTTACAGCTCACAGTGCATGTCAGAGCAAATGAGAATCATGAGGTCGAAGGAACTGCCCAAGGAGCTCAGAGACAGAATTGTGGCAAGGCACAGATCTGGCCAAGGTTACAAAATAATTTCTGCAGCACTCAAGGTTCCTAAGAGCACAGTGGCCTCCATAATCCTTAAATGGAAGAAGTTTGGGACGACCAGAACTCTTCCTAGACCTGGCCGTCCAGCCAAACTGAGCAATCGTGGGAGAAGAGCCTTGGTGAGAGAGGTAAAGAAGAACCCAAAGATCACTGTGGCTGAGCTCCAGAGATGCAGTAGGGAGATGGGAGAAAGTTCCACAAAGTCAACTATCACTGCAGCCCTGCACCAGTCGGGGCTTTATGGCAGAGTGGCCCGACGGAAGCCTCTCCTCAGTGCAAGACATATGAAAGCCCGCATAGAGTTTGCCAAAAAACACATGAAGGACTCCCAGACTATGAGAAATAAGATTCTCTGGTCTGATGAGACCAAGATTTAACTTTTTGGCGTTAATTCTAAGCGGTATGTGTGGAGAAAACCAGGCACTGCTCATCACCTGCCCAATACAATCCCAACAGTGAAACATGGTGGTGGCAGCATCAGGCTATGGGGATGTTTTTCAGCTGCAGGGACAGGACAACTGGTTGCAATTGAAGGAAAGATGAATGCGGCCAAGTACAGAGATATCCTGGAAGAAAACCTCTTCCAGAGTGCTCAGGACCTCAGACTGGGCCGAAGGTTCACCTTCCAACAAGACAATAACCCTAAGCACACAGCTAAAATAACAAAGGAGTGGCTTCGGAACAACTCTGTGACCATTCTTGACTGGCCCAGCCAGAGCCCCGACCTAAACCCAATTGAGCATCTCCGGAGAGATCTGAAAATGGCTGTCCACCAACGTTCACCATCCAACCTGACAGAACTGGAGAGGATCTGCAAGGAAGAATGGCAGAGGATCCCCAAATCCAGGTGTGAAAAACTTGTTGCATCATTCCCAAGAAGACTCATGGCTGTAGTAGCTCAAAAGGGTGCTTCTACTCAATACTGAGCAAAGGGTCTGAATACTTATGACCATGTGATATTTCAGTTTTTCTTTTTTAATAAATTTGCAAAAATTTCTACATTTCTGTTTTTTTTCTGTCAAGATGGGGTGCTGAGTGTACATTAATGAGAAATAAAATGAACTTTTTTGATTTTAGCAAATGGCTGCAATGAAACAAAGAGTGAAAAATTTAAAGGGGTCTGAATACTTTCCGTACCCACTGTACATTCATTTCTTACATTTTTCTGTTTTAGCATGTGACTGCAACCCGGCTGGTTCTCAAGGTGGCGGTCTGTGTGACCCTCTGAGTGGTCAATGTTTCTGTAAAGAAAATGTGGATGGTCAACACTGCGATCGCTGCAAACATGGCTTCTTCAATCTGAGACAGGATGACTCAGCCGGCTGTCAGGGTGGGAAACCATTTATTTTTATTTAATTTTGCTTTATTTTTATAGACATGATAAACAAACAGTACCTTCATATTTACTGCTAAAGTTTCTATGATGACAAATATGAGATGAAGCTGCTGCATTGATTCTTAAATCATGTGTATATGTGTGTTGTGTTTTTCAGCATGCAGGTGTCATGTTTTGGGAAGTGTCGGGTCATGTGATCAGCTGACAGGAAGTTGTGAATGTGACCATTTGGCAAGTGGACCACTGTGTGACCGCTGTGTGGTAGGTTTCATCTTAAAGAATTAATTTATTGCGGCAGAATCACCGGCTCTTCCGCCAGCACTCTTTTGCAGGGCTGGGCCAGCAGCATCTCTGTCAGTGGCGGCTCCTGACAAATTTCTCAGGGGGGGTGGGCAACTGTTGCAATGATGGCTAAGATGACCCGTTCAATGGGTCAAATAAAAATAAATAAAAGTCAGATAGCTAACTTGACAGTGTTACATTGCATTGTTTAATTTGGTTTTCCTGTCCAACCACTAGATGGCAACATCAGACATGAATTATACATACTGTACAGTATTTTTGTAAAGCTATATCAATTTAAATGTCTCAAATACAATAAATTTGGTTCCACAATAAAACACTTCCACCGTGGCCATCAACAGATACATTGTCATCTACTAGTTTGCCCATAAGATCACTGAGAGAGACAGAGAGAGAGAGAGAGAGAGCGCGAGACAGACAGACAGACAGGTGCACAGCAACAACAGTTTTGGCAATGGCAATCTAGCAGGACCATGGCAGGAGGCTCCACCAGGATCGACAAGAACCTGCGAGATGAGAAAGCACAAGAACTCCGGGGAAGAAGTGAAGTTAGTAACATGCATTAATGGAACATGAATGAGTGCAGAAAGAGAGAGGAAGGGAGGAGCTCAGTGCACCATGGGAAATCCCCCGATAATCTAGGCCTATAGCAGCATAACTAAGGGATGGTTCAGGACTCACCTGATCCAGCCCTAACTATAAGCTTTATCAAAGAGGAATGTCTTAAGCCTACTCTTGAAACCCAAACTGTAAAACATTGCAGCCAGTTCTATTTGTTATAGTGTACCGCGCTCCTGGACCGTACTCTGATTTTATATCTGAATTCTCAGAGTTTCTATCAAGTTTAGCCCTAAATCAGATAAAGTAATTATTGTAGGTGATTTTAATATTCATGTGGATGTTGACAATGACAGCCTTAGTAATGCATTTATATCATTAATAGACTCAATTGGCTTCTGTCAGAGTGTAAATAAACCAACTCATTGTTTTAATCACACTCTTGACCTTGTTTTATCATATGGCATTGATATTGAACATGTAATAGTCTTCCCACATAATCCTTTCCTATCTGACCATTATTTAATAACTTTTGAATTCATACTATTAGATTATAAGCCATTAGGCAAAACTTCCTACAGAAGATGTCTATCTGACAGTGCTGTAGCTAAATTTAAGGAGGGGATTCCTTCAGTGTTTAATTCAATGCCATGTCTGAATTTAACAGAATCCTATAACGACTTTAGTCCCTCTGAAATTGATAATCTTGTCGATAGTGCTACAGGCTCACTACGATCAACATTAGACTCTATCGCTCCTATAAAAAGGAAATTATTAAAACATAGGAGACTAGCACCTTGGTATAACCACCAAACCCGCCAGTTAAAACAAATAGCTAGGAAATCTGAAAGGAAATGGCGCTCTTCCAAATTATCAGAATATCGCTCAAATTGGCAAGATAATCTTAAAATTTATAGAAAGGCCCTCCGTAATGCCAGAGGAGCCTATTACTCAGCACTAATAGAAGAAAATAAGAATAACCCTAGGTTCCTCTTCAGCACTGTAGCCAGGCTGACAGAGAGTCACAGCCCTATTGAGCCACATATCCCCATAAACTTAAGTAGCAGCGACTTCATGAGCTTCTTCTATAATAAAATTATTATTATTAGAGAAAAAATTAATCACCAACTGCCATCAACAGTTATCAGTGGCTCTCCAAGTTCAGGGACTTCTGTCAATGTAAACTTGGATATATATTTAGACTGTTTTTCTGCTATCGATCTTCATCAGTTAACTTCAATCATTTCTTCATCGAAGCCATCAACCTGTCTATTAGACCCGATCCCAACTAGGCTGCTTAAAGAAGTTGTTCCCTTAATTGGCACTTCTTTACTGGATATGATTAATCTTTCTTTATTATCAGGATATGTACCACAGTCCTTTAAAGTAGCTGTAATTAAACCCTTTCTTAAAAAGTCCACTCTTGACCCAGGGGTTTTAGCCAACTATAGACCGATTTCTAACCTCCCCTTCCTCTCAAAGATTCTGGAGAAAGTAGTCGCCAAAGAGTTGTGTGAATTTCTACATAACAATAGTTTATTTGAGGATTTTCAGTCAGGATTTAGAGTTCATCATAGCACAGAGACAGCTCTGGTTAAAGTTAATAATGACCTTCTGACTGCTTCTGACAATGGACTTGTCTCTGTACTTGTATTATTAGATCTTAGTGCTGCATTTGACACCATTGACCATAATATTCTTTTGGAGAGACTTGAGCATCAAATTGGCATTAAAGGAACCGCACTAAGCTGGTTTAAGTCATATTTATCAGATCGCTCGCAGTTTGTACATGTTAACGATGAATCTTCAATAAATGCTACAGTTAGTCATGGAGTTCCACAAGGTTCTGTACTTGGACCAATACTATTTACTTTATATATGCTCCCTTTAGGCAACATTATTAGGAATCACTCCATTAACTTTCACTGTTATGCAGATGATACGCAGTTATATCTATCAATCAAGCCCAATGAAATTAATCAATTATCTAAATTACAAACATGTCTTAAGGACATAAAATCCTGGATGACCTGCAATTTTCTGATGTTAAACTCAGGAAAAAAACAAAATTCTTGTTCTTGGCTCCCGAACCACAACTGGAATGGTTCCATAGGAGAGGAGCTTGGTAACTGAAGGCTCTGGCTCCTGTTCTACTTTTAGAGACTATAGGAACCATAAGTAGCCCATCATTCAGAGAACGTAGTGTTCTAGTGGGGTAATAGGGTACTATGAGCTCTTTAAGATATGAAGGGGCCTGACCATGAAGAGCTTCATAGGTGAGGAGGAGGATTTTAAATTCTATTCTACATTTTACAGGGAGCCAATGCAGAGAAGCTAGTACAGGAGAGATGTGATCTCTTTTTCTAGTTCCTGTCAGTACTCGTGTTGCAGCGTTCTGAATTAATTGGAGTGTTTTAATGGACTTATTGGGGCAACCTGATAATAAAGAGTTGCAGTAATCCAGCCTTGAAGTAACAAATGCATGGATTAGTTTTTCTGCATCTGTCTGTGATAGTATGTGTCTAATTTTTCTAATATTACATAAATGAAAGAAGGCAGTCCTAGAGGTCTGCTTTATGTGGGAGTTAAATGATAAATCCTGATCAAAGATAACTCCAAGATTCCTGACAGTGGTGCTAGAGGCCAAGTTAATGCCATCTAGAGTAACTATATCTTTAGACAGTGAGTCTCTAAGGTTTTTGGGGCCAAGAACAAGAATTTCGTTTTTTTCTGAGTTTAACATCAGAAAATTGCAGGTCATCCAGGATTTTATGTCCTTAAGGCATGTTTGTAATGTAGATAATTGATTAATTTCATCGGGCTTGATTGATAGATATTACTGCGTATCATCTGCATAACAGTGAAAGTTAATGGAGTGATTCCTAATAATGTTGCCTAAAGGGAGCATGTATAGAGTAAATAGTATTGGTCCAAGTACAGAACCTTGTGGAACTCCATGACTAACTGTAGTATTTATTGAAGATCCATCGTTAACATGTACAAACTGCGAACAATCTGATAAATATGACTTAAACCAGCTTAGTGCGGTTCCTTTAATGCCAATTTAATGCTCAAGTCTCTGTAAAAGAATATCATGGTCAATGGTGTCAAATGCAGCACTAAGATCTAATAATACTAGTACAGAGACAAGTCCATTGTAAGAAGCAATCAGAAGGTCATATTAACCAACCAGAGCTGTCTCTGTGCTATGATGAACTCTAAATCCTGACTGAAAATCCTCAAATAAACTATTGTTATGTAGAAAGTCACATAACTCTTTGGCGACTACTTTCTCCAGAATCTTAGAGAGGAAGGGGAGGTTAGAGATTGGTCTATAGTTGGCTAAAACCCCTGGGTCAAGAGTGGGCTTTTTAAGAAGGGGTTTAATTACAGCTACTTTAAAGGACTGTGGTACATATCCTGATAATAAAGAAAGATTAATCATATCCAGTAAAGAAGTGCCAATTAAGGGAACAACTTCTTTAAGCAGCCTAGCTGGGATCGAGTCTAACAGACAGGTTGATGGCTTCAATGAAGAAATGATTGAAGTTAACTGATGAAGATCGATAGCAGAAAAACAGTCTAAATATATATCTATAATGTATAATATATATAATGTAATAAGTTTACATTAGCAAAAGTCCCTGAACTTGGAGAGCCACTGATAACTGTTGATGGCAGTTGGTGATTAATGTTTTCTCTAATAGTAATAATTTTATTATAGAAGAAGCTCATGAAGTCATTGCTACTTAAGTTTATGGGGATATGTGGCTCAATAGAGCTGTGGCTCCCTGTCTGCCTGGCTACAGTGCTGAAGAGGAACCTAGGGTTAATCTTATTTTCTTCTATTAGTGCTGAATAATAGGCTCCTCTGGCATTACGGAGGGCCTTTCTATAAGTTTTAAGATTATCTTGCCAAATTGAGCGATATTCTGACCATTTGGAAGAGCGCCATTTCCTTTCAGATTTCCTAGCTATTTGCTTTAACTGGCGGGTTTGGTGGTCATACCACGGTGCTACCCAGGGATACATTTAACTATGGCCGCTGGCTTTGCTAACTTCACGTTTCTGACTAGGGAGCTGCCAATAATCAGAGTTGGTTCCTCAGCGGGTGTGTCGCTGAGTGGGGAAAATGTATTAGAAACATGAATGGGTTGGCGCTATACAAATAAAATTGAATTGAATTGAATTCATCCTGCAGCATCCTCAGGAAGCCAGATGCCTCCCTCACAGTGGTGCTGTCAAATGAGCTGTCTGACCTGATTGTCTCAAAGCACTCTATGAGGTCGTCCAGGTTCTCATAGACAGTACTCACAATCCTGCTGTTGAAGTTCCATCTTGTGGATGATGCTCTAGGCAGCCTTCGTGCAGCAATCTGGTCGAGAAGGGCTGTGCGTTTGGGTGACCGGGTAAGAAAACTGGAAATCCCACCCAAGTCAGAGAAAAAAACTCTTACTGCTGGAATGTGCATAACAATGCAAATAATGGGCATTTTTGTACTTTTTGCGTACCTTTTGCTGCACACCAGCCCTCTCTCCTCATCACACTGGCACCATCATAAGCTTGCGCAATGAGTTTACACTTGTCATCATCAGTGAAAACACTATTCAGTCTCTCCAATGGGACAAATTCAAAGAACCGTTCTTGCACAGCATGTTTTTCGTCCATGTATCTCAGCACAAGCACCAACTGAGTCTGTGTGGACTCGTCTGTGGTTTCATCTGTTTGGATTGCCACGAATCTAGCTGATTTAACCTCCTCCACGATACGTTCTCTGGTGACAGATGACATGCAATCCAGCAGCTCATTCTGCACAGTCTTTGACGTGCCCTTAAAGGCTGTGGCCATTCTTAGGTGCTCCTCAAACACCTCGTCAAGCAGCGCCACTAAGTCGACCAGTCCATGAAAAATCTCAGGGTTGCTGGACCCTTCGCTTTCATCCTTGCCTTTCAAAGCTAACTCAAACACGCCACAGAATTTTACACAGTCAATAAGGCGGCCTAGGATATGTGGTTCTTGCTCACCTCATCGTTGTGACCATGCACAGCTCACCTGTAGCTCTCATCCAACTGTGTTGCAATGTTTACTCTCCCAAAGGCTGAAAGTTTTAGGCAGCTGTCCATATGCATCTTCGATGCTTCATGTTTCTTCACCTTTTCCGATAGATGGTGCATATCAGTGACACCTGTCTTTGTCCAGGCTGTGTCTGTGTTAGCGCCATCAGGGTGAATTAGGACACAGGGGTAGCAGAACAGAGCGTTAGCCACTTCACACCCTGCTAGCCATGTTTTCTGCTCGTACCAGCTCCGGGAAAATCTGCGATTGTGCGTTTTCCCCACTTTTGTTGACACCTGCTTGATATTTAAATTTGGTCAGGGTGGTCCGAATTCTTTAATAGCAAATTTATCAATATTGCTTCGATGACTGAATGGTAATTCCCTCATTGAAATAATGGAGTTGCAGTTGCTAGCCATGTCGTGCATAATTCAATTCAATTCAATTCAATTTTATTTGTATAGCGCCAATTCATAACAGAAGTTATCTCAGGACACTTTTCAAATAGAGCAGGTCTAGACCGAACTCTTTAACATTAATTACAGAGACCCAACAGTACCACCATGAGCAAGCACTTGGCGACAAGGGCAAGGAAAAACTGCCTGTTAAAAGGCAGAAACCTAGGACAGATCCTCCGGCTCTAGGTGGGTGGTCGTCTGTCTCGACCAGTTGGGGTGAGAGAGAGAGAGAGAGAGAGAGACAGACAGATGCACAGCAACAACAGTATTGGCAATAGCAGTCAAGCAGGACCATGGCAGGAGGCTCCACCAGGATCCATGAGAACCTGCGAGACGAGAAAGCACAAGAACTCCGGGGAAGAAGTGGAGTTAGTAACATGCATTAAAGGGACATGAATGAGTGCAGAAAGAGAGAGGAAGAGAGTAGCTCAGTGCACCATGGGAAATCCCCCGATAGTCTAGGCCTATAGCAGCATAACTAAGGGATGGTTCAGGACTCACCTGATCCAGCCCTAACTATAAGCTTTATCAAAGAGGAATGTCTTAAGCCTACTCTTGAATGTGGTGAGGGTGTCTGCCTCAGGGTTAGGGTTAGGGTTAGGGTTATACCAAGGTGCTAGTCTCCTATGTTTTAATAATTTCCTTTTTATAGGAGCGATAGAGTCTAATGTTGATCGTAGTGAGCCTGTAGCACTATCGACAAGATTATCAATTTCAGAGGGACTAAAGTTGTTATAGGACTCTGTTAAATTCAGACATGGCATTGAATTAAACACTGAAGGAATCTCCTCCTTAAATTTAGCTACAGCACTGTCAGATAGACATCTGCTGTAGGAAGTTTTGCCTAATGGCTTATAATCTAATAGTATGAATTCAAAAGTTACTAAATAATGGTCAGATAGGAAAGGATTATGTGGGAAGACTATTAAATGTTCAATATCAATGCCATAGGATAAAACAAGGTCAAGAGTGTGATTAAAACAATGAGTTGGTTTATTTACACTCTGACAGAAGCCAATTGAGTCTATTAATGATATAAATGCATTACTAAGGCTGTCATTGTCAACATCCACATGAATGTTAAAATCACCTACAATAATTACTTTATCTGATTTAAGGACTAAGCTTGATAGAAACTCTGAAAATTCAGATATAAAATCAGAGTACGGTCCAGGAGCGCGGTACACTATAACAAATAGAACTGACTGCAGTGTTTTCCAGTTTGGGTGAGAAAGACTAAGAACAAGGCTTTCAAATGAATTATAATTTAGTTTAGGTTTAGGGTCCATTAAAACGCTCGAATCATATATAGCTGCTACTCCACCTCCTCGGCCTGTGCCTCGAGGAATGTGAGTACTAATATGACTGGGGGGGTGGATTCATTTAGGCTAACATACTCCTCGTGGGACAACCAGGTCTCAGTAAGACAAAGTAAATCAATATCATAATCTGATATTAATTCATTCACTAAAACAGCTTTAGAGGACAGAGACCTGATATTTAACAGCCCACATTTCATTCTCTTATTTTGTGCTACTGAGGAGTTGGTTTTAATTTTTATTAGATTTTTATGTTGAACTCCTCTTGTTTTTATTTCTTTAAATAGTTTAGGTGGTCGGGGGACAGACACAGTCTCTATGGGGTTTTGGGTGGGTGACTGTTCTAAAGAAAGCGCAGAGAAGTGTGTAAGACAGCAGCTCTGCTTCCTGGTCCTAACTCTGGACTGTCAGGTTTTAGAGATAAACTTCGCCATATTCCTAGATAAGAGAGCCGCTCCATCCAAAGTGGGATGGATGCCGTCTCTCCTAATCAGACCAGGTTTTCCCCAAAAAGGCTTCCAGTTATCAATGAAGCCCACATCGTTTGCTGGACACCACCTCGACAGCCAGCGGTGGAATGACAACATGCGGCTATACATGTCATCACTGGTCACATTGGGGAGGGGTCCAGAGAAAACTACGGTGTCCGACATTGTCTTAGCATAGTTACACACCGACTCCACATTAATCTTAGTGACCTCCGATTGGCGTAAACGGGTGTCATTACCGCCGACGTGGATAACAATCTTACTGTATTTACGTTTATCTTTAGCCAGCAGTTTTAAATTTGATTCAATGTCGCCCGCTCTGGCCCCAGGGATGCATTTGACTATGGCCGCTGGCTTCGCTAACTTCACGTTTCTGACTATGGAGCTGCCAATAACCAGAGTTGGTTCCTCAGCGGGTGTATCGCTGAGTGGGGAAAATGTATTAGAAACGTGAAGCGGTTGGTGGTGACCTGTGGGCTTCGCCGTTCTAGTCTTCCTTCGCTCAGTCACCCAGCCTCCCTGTCTTCCCGGCTGCTCGGGAACTACCGGGGGATCTACAGAGCTTAACAGAAGCCACCTTTGGTCGGCCCGCACCGGCTACTGGGGGCTGGCTAACTATAGCGGCTAAAGATATCTCCGTGGTGCGGTGCCGTTCCTCTAACTCACTAAGCCTCGCCTCCAGCGCAGTAAATAAACTACATTTAATACAGGTACTATTATCTTTAAAGGAGGCAGAGGAATAACTGAACATCTGACACACTGAGCAGGACAGAGGAGAGGGAGAAGCCATAGCTAACTGCTAATGCTAATGAAACTAGAGTGTATGAAAAACTTTGAAAGTAGTGAAAAGTCCCTAAAAGAGGGAGAAACTCCAAGTGTTTAAGTAGAACTAGTCTACGTTTAAATGTTAAGCGGGTAAATAACCGCTGTAACGAGTAAAACTAATTTATATTTAGCGTTCACTGACAGAGCTACAGCACCAAACAGTGTACACAGAGCAGGAAGTAAACCGGAAGTGAGTCAGTACGCTTACCGTAGCACGTCCAACCAAAACACACACAGAGGCATGGAGTTTCCCATATCGTCCGAGCACGCATCAGTGCGTATGACAAAATCACGTTGGGGCAAGCCCTCCTTGTGCCCATAGAAATGCATCGTAGGGTCCAAAATTTGAAAAAAAGAATCTCAACATGTAAGTCTGAGAGCGCTTGGGCCGATTTTCAATCTGACTGAAATTGCCCCAAGGGGGTGGGGCTACTGGTTGGAGAGTGATATTCAGGCTGCTGATTGGACAATAATATTAGGCCTTTATACAGTCTATGATTAAGACTTAGGCTGGCAAAATAAACTCTTTTTTTCCCCTCTTTTTCCTCCCCACACATCCTCCCCACATAGCAGTGAAAAAAGCCTGACATACAGCAGAGTTTTTCTCAAAGTGCAATATTTTACACTCACGCAAATATGTAAATGGAGTAGATGTCACATGTTCACCCCAACACGAATAATCAAATAATCACATTTGGTGGGCACACACCATTAGAGTTTGAGATTAATAAACCGGGGAGATCTCTGAGTACAAAACATTAAATACATATCTCAGCAACAGAACAGGATGAAGAGGTAAAGAACATAATCAGTTATTTATTAAAAGTCATATTTGAATGTGTTTCTGTCTGTTTTGGGGTCAGGCAGGTTTCTGGGGTTTGGGAAACTCAAGGTTCAGATGTTCACCCTGCGACTGTGATATTGGAGGAGCTCACAGCAGCACGTATGTTTCTGCTTTTCAAACATTTACAGTCTGAATCTGTTTTATACAACAAGTTTATGAGCAATAAAGTGGAACTAATGATTAAACACTACCTCAGTTACTATGACAACAGAAACTTGGTTTGAACTTGAGTGAGGCAATAAATAAATGAATGATGAAGTGATGATGAGCTGATTAGTAACCCTGCTGTCTCTTCAGGTGTTCGCTGGAGGACGGACAGTGTCACTGTTTACCAAATATGGTCAGTCGGCGCTGCTCTGACCCTGCCCCCGGGTACTTCCTGCCTCCACTGGACTACTTCCTTTATGAGGCAGAGCTTGCTGCTCCACTGTATACAGGAATCTCTTCTTCACTGGTGTGTAAAAATCAGAAAGTAGTAGCAGTATCAGTGTATGCTCTAACAGTTTTTATTAACACTATCAGTGTGTACTCTAACAGTATTTATGTGTATTTATTAACAGTATCAGTGTGTACTCTGACAGTATTTGTGTATGTGTATTTACTAACAGTATCAGTGTGTATGGGGCGGCTGTGGCTCAGCGGCAGAGTGGGTCATTTCTTAATTGGAAGGTTATGGGTTCGATCCCCAGCTCCTGGTGCCATATGTCAAAGTATCCTTGAGCAAGATACTGAACCCCAAATTGCTCCTGATGCTGTGCATCGGTGTGTGAATGTGTATGAATGTTAGTTTCTGTTCAATGTGATGGGTGAATGTCTCACGTAGTGTAAAAGCGCTTTGAATGGTTGGAAGACTAGAAAGGCGCTGTACAGGTGCATTTACCATTTACTCTAACAGTATTTATGTGTATTTATTAACAGTGTTTATGTGTATTTATTGACAGTATTTGTGTACTTTTGTGTTTATTTTTAGTTGAATCCAGCTATTTTACCAAGGTGTGAGCAGCATTATCGAGAGCAGGGTTACGACTTTCAGTTCATCAACGGACGAGTGGTTCTGGTTCGGAGGACTCGAAGACGCACCCGCCAGAGGAGACAGGGACAGGTGGGACATCTGATACACTTTTGCTTTGACCAGGGGGGAAGTCCCAGTCTGTCCTTTCAGCCAATCAGATGCTCAGTGTCACTGATGTTTGTTTGCATCCTGCAGCAGGGCAGCATCTCTTTGGACCCGGGTCACGCCCTCCAGATCATTCCCCGTAAGAGAACAGCTGATCAGCCAATCAGCTGGACCGGCCTGGGATTGGTCAGAGTGCTGGATGGGGCGGGGCTTAGGTTCACTGTGGACAACCTCCCATTATCGATGGATTACCAACTGGTGATTCGCTACGAGCCGGAGGTGAGGATAAATGGGGTTGGTGCAGGTGCTGGACCTGGTCCTGCTTCTGATTCTGGATCTGGTCCCGGTCCTGGTCCTTCTCCTGGTCCTGGATTTAGTCCTGGGTCATGTTCTGAATGAAAGCTAACCGCTAAGCTGAGACCAAAACTGCTAAAGTAAACTACTAAAATGCTGGCTTTTCTGTTGTGGCTGCTTAAATGTAAAATTCCTCTTCCTGTATTACAATGTCCTTCATCTGCAGGCTCCGGCTGACTGGCTGGCTTCAGTCAGCATTACCACAGAGTCGCCGGGTGACGGCAGCTGTAGCAGCAACCCAACAGGAAGTAAACCTCTGATTCTTCCTGGAAATTCCAGGTGAGACGCCATCAGCAGAGTATCTGTCTACCTCTGCACTGTCTGGGTAGAACCTAAATGTAATGAAACAAGTCATTGAACGAGGAAGTGACATTCTAATTGAAGATCCGCCTTGAAGGAGTGTGTCCTGACTTTTTGACTGGGGTGGCCGAAGTGGGGCACTGACTTATGCAATTCAATTCAATTTTATTTGTATAGCGCCAATTCATAACAGAAGTTCTCTCAGGACACTTTTCAAATAGAGTAGGTCTCGACCGATCTCTTTAAAACATTATTTACAGAGACCCAACAGTACCACCATGAGCAAGCACTTGGCGACAAGGGCAAGAAAGACTGCCTGTTAAAAGGCAGAAACCTAGGACAGATCCTTCGGCTCTAGGTGGGTGGTCGTCTGTCTCGACCAGTTGGGGTGAAATAGAGAGAGAGAGAGAGAGAGAGACAGACACAGACAGACAGACAGACAGACAGACAGGTGCACAGCAACAACAGTATTGGCAATGGCAATCTAGCAGGACCATGGCAGGAGGCTCCACCAGGATCGATAAGAACCTGCGAGACGAGAAAGCACAAGATCTCCAGGGAAGAAGTGAAGTTAGTAACATGCATTAATGGGACATGAATGAGTGCAGAAAGAGAGAGGAAGGGAGGAGCTCAGTGCACCATGGGAAATCCCCCGATAGTCTAGGCCTATAGCAGCATAACTAAGGGATGGTTCAGGACTCACCTGATCCAGCCCTAACTATAAGCTTTATCAAAGAGGAATGTCTTAAGCCTACTCTTGAATGTGGTGAGGGTGTCTGCCTCCCGAACCACAACTGGAAGCTGGTTCCACAGGAGAGGAGCTTGGTAACTGAAGGCTCTGGCTGCTGTTCTACTTTTAGAGACTATAGGAACCACAAGTAGCCCAGCATTCAGAGAACGTAGTGTTCTAGTGGGGTAATAGGGTACTATGAGCTCTTTAAGATATGAAGGGGCCTGACCACGAAGAGCTTTATAGGTGAGGAGGAGGATTTTAAATTCAATTCTACATTTTACAGGGAGCCAATGCAGAGAAGCTAGTACAGGAGAGATGTGATCTCTTTTTCTAGTTCCTGTCAGTACTCGTGCTGCAGTGTTCTGAATTAATTGGAGCGTTTTAATGGACTTATTGGGGCAACCTGATAATAAAGAGTTGCAGTAATCCAGCCTTGAAGTAACAAATGCATGGATTAGTTTTTCTGCATCTGTCTGTGATAGGATGTGTCTAATTTTTCTAATATTACGTAAATGAAAGAAGGCGGTCCTAGAGGTCTGCTTTATGTGGGAGTTAAATGACAAATCCTGATCAAAGATAACTCCAAGATTCCTGACAGTGGTGCTAGAGGCCAAGTTAATGCCATCTAGAGTGACTATATCTTTAGACAATGAGTCTCTAAGGTTTTTGGGGCCAAGAACAAGAATTTCGTTTTTTTCTGAGTTTAACATCAGAAAATTGCAGGTCATCCAGGATTTTATGTCCTTAAGACATGTTTGTAATTTAGATAATTGATTAATTTCATTGGGTTTGATTGATAGATATAACTGCGTATCATCTGCATAACAGTGAAAGTTAATGGAGTGATTCCTAATAATGTTGCCTAAAGGGAGCATATATAAAGTAAATAGTATTGGTCCAAGTACAGAACCTTGTGGAACTCCATGACTAACTGTAGTATTTATTGAAGATTCATCGTTAACATGTACAAACTGCGAGCGATCTGATAAATATGACTTAAACCAGCTTAGTGCGATTCCTTTAATGCCAATTTGATGCTCAAGTCTCCCCAAAAGAATATTATGGTCAATGGTGTCAAATGCAGCACTAAGATCTAATAATACAAGTACAGAGACAAGTCCATTGTCAGAAGCAGTCAGAAGGTCATTATTAACTTTAACCAGAGCTGTCTCTGTGCTATGATGAACTCTAAATCCTGACTGAAAATCCTCAAATAAACTATTGTTATGTAGAAAGTCACATAACTCTTTGGCGACTACTTTAACCTTCCCTTCCTCTCTAAGATTCTGGAGAGAGATTGGTCTATAGCTGGCTAAAACCCCTGGGTCAAGAGTGGGCTTTTTAAGAAGGGGTTAAATTACAGCTACTTTAAAGGACTTAGGTACATATCCTGATAATAAAGAAAGATTAATCATATCCAGTAAAGAAGTGCCAATTAAGGGAACAACTTCTTTAAGCAGCCTAGTTGGGATTGGGTCTAATAGACAGGTTGATGGCTTCGATGAAGAAATGATTGAAGTTAACTGATGAAGATCAATAGCAGAAAAACAGTCTAAATATATATCTAAGTTTACATTTGCAAAAGTCCCTGAACTTGGAGAGCCACTGATAACTGTTGATGGCAGTTGGTGATTAATTACCAGACAACAGGCCAAGGCAGAGACGCCGCAGGCAGGGAGGGGCCGAACGACGACTCTGGTGCTTGGTTAGCAGTGGAAGGTTAGCCCTCCCGGTCATACTGTTTGCTAACGTCCAGTCTCTGTTAAACAAGATGGATGAGCTCCAGGCTTGGATCTCCACGTAGAGGGACTTACAGGACTGCTCCATGCTGTGCTTCTGTGAAACATGGCTTGGGGAAAGGACACCCGACGAGGCGATAACACCAGATGGCTACACGGCCTACAGTAATATCAGAAATGCTTTTATAGCTGAACCAAAACCCTACTTCGGCGAGTCTGACCACCTGGCAATCCGGCTCAAGCCCACCTACACCAAGAGGCTTAAGGCACAGCCAGTCACAATAAGAACTGTTAACACCTGGACTGACTTAGACTGTTTAGAGGCCACAGACTGGACCATCTTTAAGGAGGCTACAGATGACATCCATGAATACACAGAGGCTGTGATTGACTACATCAGCTGGTGCACATCTACATGTGCACCTCCCAGAACTGTGCGTGTGTTTCCAAACCAGAAACCTTGGACTTCTGTAGCCCGAGTAACAACACACGCAGTATGTGGCAGGGAATCCAAGCAGTCACAAACTACAAGAAAACAGTACCAACCACAGACCCCCCGGATGTCACCCTCTCAGACAGCCTTAACACCTTCTACACCAGGTTCGATAGAATGAACACAGACACCCCTTCAAAGGCCCCCTGCAACCCTACGGACACTGTCTTTCAGGTGACACCCACACAGGTCCTGAAAGCTCTGAGGCAGGTGAACCCCCACAAGGCTGTGGGACCAGACGGCATCCCTCCTAGAGTCCTGAAGGCCTGCGCAGAACAACTCACTGGTGTGTATGCAGACATCTTCAACCTGTCTTTAAACCAAGCAGTAGTCCCCCATATTTTTAAATCCTCCACCATCGTACCAGTTCCAAAAAAGCCAAATCCATCCACCCTGAATGATTTCAGGCCAGTGGCACTCACGCCAGTGGCCATGAAGTGTCTAGAAAAACTGGTTCTCACACACATCAACCACATGGTCCCGGGCACGATCGACCCCCTCCAGTTTGCCTACTGCCCAAAACGCTCAGTGGACGCCGCAGTGGCCATTGCTCTACACCACATCCTGCAACACCTGGACAGCAGAGGACCATACGTAAGAATACTGTTCCAGGACTACAGTTTGGCTTTCAACACCATCCGCCTGGGCAGGCTGACTGAGAAGCTGACAGACCTCGGCGTCCCGACTCCCACCTGTAACTGGATCCTGGATTTCCTGCCTGAAAGACCACAGGTGGTGAAGATGGGAAGGAGGGTGTCTGCAGAGCTCACCGTCAGCACAGGATCACCACAAGGCTGCTGTCTCAGTCCTAAACTCTTCACCCTGTACACACACGACTGTGTCTCCACCCAGGACAATACCATCATCATTAAGTATGTGGATGATACCATCATCCTGGGCCTCATCAAGGGGGGAGACGAGTCTGGCTACAGGAGTCTGGTGAACAACATTCTTGCCTATGGTGAGGTGAACGACCTATGCCTCAACACAGACAAGACAAGAGAAGTAATCATGGACTTCAGAAAAAACCCACCCCCCCTGCAGCCCCTCATCATCAAGGGGACTGAGGTGGAGAGGGCTGACAGTTACAGATTCCTTGGACTACAAGTAACATCAGATCTCATCAGATTTCATCAGGCTGCTCAGAAAAGCTTGTCTGCACTGTCGCCCTCTCACCCAGGTCTACAAAGGACTGATAGAGAGAATCCTCACCACAGGCATCACTGTCTGGTATGGAAACACCCCACAGACTGAGAGGAAGGCTCTGCAAAGAATCATAAAGACTGCCGAGAGGATTATCAGAACAGAACTCCCCTCCATGGACACAATCTACACGCAGCGCTGTCAGAAAAGAGCAGAGAGAATCATCAGACACACTACATCCAACTCACTCCCTGCTCAAAAACAAAAACTGCACATACAATCTCAGGCACAGACGAGAGGACAGCATCATCATAAATAGAACACGCTTTTATAAGAGCTTCTTCCCTGCCACAGTGAGACTCTTGGCCAAAACAAAATGAACTACCGTCTCCGGGGCCTGTGCAATATACCTGTGCAATTTATTTATTTATTTATTTATTTATTTATTTATTTATTTATAATGCAACTTTACACTATAATATATCATATTATATTATATTATGTTGTCTCCGGTGCCTGTGCAATATGCAATATGCAATACACATGTGCAATTCACAATGCAAATTTACACTTTTAATGGGTTTTGTGCAATTTATAATGTATATGTTTTATATATAGATTTATGTCTTCCTTGTGTGTCTTTTTAAACTTGACTTGACTCTCTGAGCAACAACCGCACAACAGTTCCTATGTGTGCAAGCACAAATGGCAAATAAAGTTCTTGAATCTTGAAATAAAACTGGCTGCAGTGTTTTCCAGTTTGGGTGAGAAAGACTAAGAACAAGGCTTTCAAATGAATTATAATTTAGTTTAGGTTTAGGGTCCATTAAAACGCTCGAATCATATATGGCTGCTACTCCACCTCCTCGGCCAGTGCCTCGAGGAATGTGAGTATTAATATGACTGGGGGGGGTGGATTCATTTAGGCTAACATACTCCTCGTGGGACAACCAGGTCTCAGTAAGACAAAGTAAATCAATATCATAATCTGATATTAATTCATTCACTAAAACAGCTTTAGAGGACAGAGACCTGATATTTAACAGTCCACATTTCATTCTCTTATTTAGTGCTACTGAGGAGTTAGTTTTAATTTTTATTAATTTTTATGTTGAACTCCTCTTGTTTTTATTTCTTTAAATAATTTAGGTGGTCGGGGGACAGACACAGTCTCTATGGGGTTTTGAGTGGGTGACTGTACTAGTGGAAGAGCAGAGAAGTGTGTAAGACAGCAGCTCTGCTTCCTGGTCCCAACTCTGGACTGTCAGGTTTTAGAAATAAACTTTGCCATATTCCTAGATAAGAGAGCCGCTCCATCCAAAGTGGGATGGATGCCGTCTCTCCTAATCAGACCAGGTTGTCCCCAAAAAGGCTTCCAGTTATTAATGAAGCCCACATCGTTTGCTGGACACCACCTCGACAGCCAGCGGTGGAATGACGACATGCGGCTATACATGTCATCACTGGTCACATTGGGCAGGGGTCCAGAAAAAACTACGGAGTCCAACATAGTTTTAGCATAATTACACACCGACTCCAACATTAATTTTAGCTACTGGGGGCTGGCTAACTATAGTGGCTAAAGATACCTCTGTGGTGCGGTACCGTTCCTCTAGCCTCACCTCCAGCGCAGTAAATAAACTACACTTAATACATGTACCATTATCATTAAAGGAGGCAGAGGAATAACTGAACATCTGGCACACTGAGCAGGACAGAGGAGAGGGAGAGGAAGAAGCCATAAATAACTGCTAATGCTAATAAAGCTAGCGTGTATGAAAACTTTTGAAAACAGCGAAAAGTTGCTAAAAGAAGTAGTATATCCGAGTGTTTAGATAGAACTAGTCTACATTTAAATGTTAAGCGGGAAATTAACCACTGTAACGCGATAAACAAATGTATATTTAGCGTTCACTGACAGAGCTACAGCACCAAACAGTGTACACAGAGCAGGAAGTAAACCGGAAATGAGTCCGTACGCTTACCGTAGCACATCTGGAGAGGATAATAACTCCACCTTGTGGCCAAGGTCAAATCCAGTTCAACATAGACTACTTCTTCCTTAGTCCACAACAATTATTATTCACACAGTGGCCACTAGAGGTTTTCACGTGAACCCTTGTGGGCTGTGTTGTTTACTGGTATTTGTTTACTGTTATTGTTTGTTTGTTTGTCTCTAGAGGGGGTGTTCTGGACTCTCCGGTGTGTCTGAATGCAGGCGGTCGGTACTTTGTGGATGTTGTCTTTAACAAACAACCTGAATCTGACAGCTCCTCCAGCTCTCACATCCTGATCGATTCGGTGAGGACGTTAAATCATTCTCAGTGATTGACAGGTCACTAAACTCCTCCCCCAAACAGCAACTGTCCAATCATAGCTCAGCAACAGAAACTAGTTACAGCCGGCATGTTAGTGTTGAAGCAGTGAACTTAGAGACCATTCATCACCAAATAAAAACTGTACGTCTAAAATGCTTGATAAATAGTATGTTATGAACTGAATTATTTACTTGTATATGTTTTAGATGGGTCTGATTCCCAACATTGAGTCTCTTCAAGATTTCTGCTCCCAGAGTGACCTCGACTCTTTCCACCGCTTTCGCTGCATTGGATTGGCTGCCGAGCTCAGTCCACAGGAGTCACTATCAGAAGTCTGTGAGGGACTCATCAAGAGCATGTCAGCACGAATCAACAACGGAGCTGTTCGTAAGTTTCAACATGAATGGACTAGAGAAACGTGAACATGAATCCATAAGTGAACCTTTTCTCTTTTGTTCCTGAAAAGCTCCACAAAGCTGAGTGGAAGTGACTGAACCGAAAACAAAACACCACATTATCCTTTTCAAAACGTTTTTTATTTAACTGTTAACATTTTGTATGTCACTTGAAAATTTCTTGTTCTACCTGTCAGTTTGCAGGTGTAACATTGTTGGCTCTCTCGGACCATCCTGCAGTAAACTGGGAGGATTTTGTGAATGTAAACCCAATGTGATTGGCCATTGCTGTGATACCTGTGCACCACTAACATTTGGCTTTGGACCCGATGGCTGCAAACGTAACAAACCAATTTTTAAAAACAATTCGAAAATGATGCAACAAATGAACCACATAAAAAGAAAGCTACTTTAAAAGCCCTCCATGAGGATTTTTTCTCTTTTATTTGCAGCCTGTGAGTGTGAACCTCTTGGTTCGGTGTCAGAGTTGTGTGATCAGGTCAGAGGTCAGTGTGCATGTCGTTCAGAGGTAACTGGTCGACGCTGTGATCGCTGTCAGACGGGATTCTGGGGTTTCCCGTTCTGTCGACCTTGTGAATGTAACGGACTGTCGGAGGTCTGTGATGAAGAGACTGGAGAGTGTCTGAACTGCAGGGAGCACACCACCGGACCACAATGTGACAGGTGATATGTATGTGTGTATATATAACTCCAGACCAAACTGTGACATGAATATATGTAAGAATCAATTCAATTCAATTCAATTCAATTTTTTGTTTGTTCAATTTGTATAGCACTAATTCATAACAGAAGTTATCTCAGGACACTTTTCAAATAGAGCAGGTCTAGACCGAACTCCTTAAACATCTACAGAGACCCAACAGTACCACCATGAGCAAGTACTTGGTGACAGGGTGAAGGAAAAACTGCCTTTTAAGAGGCAGAAACCTAGGACAGATCCTTTGGCTCTAGGTGGGTGGTCGTCTGCCTAAACCAGTTGGGGTTAGAGAGAGAGAGAGGCAAACAGACAGACAGGTGCCCAGCAACAACAGTAGCAACAACTACACTAATAGTAGTGACTGATGATGATGAACATGACAACAGCAACGATGGGGGACAATGAGCAGCGACAACAGTAACAACAGTAACCGTAGCAATAATAACACTAATATCAGTGATATTAGCAATGGCAGTCAAGCAGGACCATGGCAGGAAGCTCCACCAGGATCCATGAGAACCTGCGAGACGTGAAAGCACAAGAACTCCAGGGAAGAAGTGAAGTTAGTAACATGCATTAATGGGACATGAATGAGTGCAGAAAGAGAGAGAGAGAGGAGCTCATTGCATCATGGGAAATCCCCGGATAGTCTAGGCCTATAGCAGCATAACTAAGGGATGGTTCAGGACTAAGCTGAGCCAACCCTAACTATAAGCTTTATCAAAGAGGAACGTCTTGAGCCTACTCTTAAATGTGGAGAGGGCGTCTGCCTCTCGAACCACAACTGGAAGCTGGTTCAAGAGGAGGGAGCTTGGTAACTGAAGGCTCTGGCTCCTGTTCTACTTTTTGAGACTATAGAAACCACAAGTAGCCCTGCATTCTGAGAACGCAATGTTCTAGAGGGGTAATAGGGTAATATGAGCTCTTTAAGATATGAAGGGACCTGACCATGAAGAGCTTTGTAGGTGAGGAGGAGGATTTTAAATTCTATTCTAAAGTTTACAGGGAGCCAGTGCAGAGAAGCTAGAAGCTTTCTGTCAGTACTCTTGCTGCAGCTTTCAGGATGTGTCTAATTTTTGTAATATTACATAAATGAAAGAAGGCAGTCCTAGAGGTCTCCTTTATGTGGGAATTAAATGACATGTCCTGATAAAGATAACTCCAAGATTCCTGACAGTGGTGCTAGAGGCCAAGGTAATGCCATCTAGAGTAACTATAGCTTTAGACAGTGAGTCTCTAAGGTTTTTGGGGCCAAATAGAAGAATTTCGTTTTTTTCTGAGTTTAGCATCAGTAAATTGAAGCTCATCCAGGAATTGAATGTCCTTAAGACATGTTTGTAATTCAGATAATTGATTAACTTCATCAGGCTTAATTGATAGATATAACTCATCTGCATAGCAATGAAAGTTAATGGAGTGGTTCTTAATAATGTTGCCTAAAGGGAGCATATATAAAGTAAATCATTTGGTCCAAGTACAGAACCTTGTGGAACTCCATGACTAACTGTAGTATTTATTGAAGATTCATCGTTAACATGTACAAACTGCGAACGATCTGATAAGTATGCTCAAGTCTCTGTAAAAGAATATTATAGTCAATGGTGTCAAATGCAGCACAAAGATCTGATAACACTTTTCACCATTTTGTGTGACGTGCTACGGTAAGCGTACTGACTCATTTCCGGTTCACTTCCTGCTCTGTGTACACTGTTTGGTGCTGTAGCTCTGTCAGTGAACGCTAAATCAAAATGAGTTTTACTCGTTACAGCGGTTATTTTCCCGCTTAAGATTTAAACATAGACTAGTTCTACCTAAGCACTCGGAGTTTCTCATTCTTTTAGCGACTTTTCACTACTTTCAAACGTTTTTCATATACGCTAGTTTCATTAGCATTAGCAGTTAGCTATGGCTTCTCCCTCTCCCTCTGCTCTGTCCTGCTCAGTGTGTCAGATGTTCAGTTATTCCTCTGCCTCCTTTAGTGATAATGGTACATGTATTAAGTGTAGTTTATTTACTAGGCTGGAGGCGAGGCTTAGTGAGTTACAGGAACGGTACCGCACCACGGAGATATCTTTAGCCGCTATAGTTAGCCAGCCCCCAGTAGCCGGTGCGGTCCGACCGAAGGTAGCTTCTGTTAGATCTGTAGATCCCCCGGTAGTTCCCGAGCAGCCGGGAAGACAGGGAGGCTGGGTGACTGAGCGAAGGAAGACTGAAACGGCGAAACCCACAGGTCACCACCAACCCATTCACGTTTCTAATACATTTTCCCCACTCAGCGATACACCCGCTGAGGAACCAACTCTGGTTATTAGCAGCTCCATAGTCAGAAACGTGAAGTTAGCGAAGCCAGCGGCCATAGTTAAATGTATCCCTGGGGCCAGAGCGGGCGACATTGAATCCTATTTAAAACTGCTGGCTAAAGATAAACGTAAATACAGTAAGATTGTTATCCACGTCGGTGGTAACGACACCCGTTTACGCCAATCGGAGGTCACTAAGATTAATGTGGAGTCGGTGTGTAACTATGCTAAGACAATGTCGGACACCGTAGTTTTCTCTGGACCCCTCCCCAATGTGACCAGTTATGACATGTATAGCCGCATGTCGTCATTCCACCGCTGGCTGTCGAGGTGGTGTCCAGCAAACGATGTGGGCTTCATTGATAACTGGAAGCCTTTTTGGGGAAAACCTGGTCTGATTAGGAGAGACGGCATCCATCCCACTTTGGATGGAGCGGCTCTCTTATCTAGAAATATGGCGAAGTTTATCTCTAAAACCTGACAGTCCAGAGTTAGGACCAGGAAGCAGAGCTGCTGTCTTACACACTTCTCTGCGCTTTCTTTAGAACAGTCACCCACCCAAAACCCCATAGAGACTGTGTCTGTCCCCCGACCACCTAAATTATTTTAATTATTTAAAGAAATACAAACAAGAGGAGTTCAACATAAAAATCTAATAAAAATTAAAACCAACTCCTCAGTAGCACAAAATAAGAGAATGAAATGTGGGCTGTTAAATATCAGGTCTCTGTCCTCTAAAGCTGTTTTAGTGAGTGAATTAATATAAGATTATGATATTGATTTACTTTGTCTTACTGAGACCTGGTTGTCCCACGAGGAGTATGTTAGCCTAAATGAATCCACCCCCCCCCAGTCATATTAATACTCACATATAGTGTACCGCGCTCCTGGACCGTACTCTGATTTTATATCTGAATTTTCAGAGTTTCTATCAAGTTTAGTCCTTAAATCAGATAAAGTAATTATTGTAGGTGATTTTAATATTCATGTGGATGTTGACAATGACAGCCTTAGTAATGCATTTATATCATTAATAGACTCAATTGGCTTCTGTCAGAGTGTAAATAAACCAACTCATTGTTTTAATCACACTCTTGACCTTGTTTTATCATATGGCATTGATATTGAACATTTAATAGTCTTCCCACATAATCCTTTCCTATCTGACCATTATTTAATAACTTTTGAATTCATACTATTAGATTATAAGCCATTAGGCAAAACTTCCTACAGCAAATGTCTATCTGACAGTGCTGTAGCTAAATTTAAGGAGGGGATTCCTTCAGTGTTTAATTCAATGCCATGTCTGAATTTAACAGAGTCCTATAACGACTTTAGTCTCTCTGAAATTGATAATCTTGTCGATAGTGCTACAGGCTCACTACGATCAACATTAGACTCTATCACTCCTATAAAAAGGAAATTATTAAAACATAGGAGACTAGCACCTTGGTATAACCACCAAACCCGCCAGTTAAAACAAATAGCTAGGAAATCTGAAAGGAAATGGCGCTCTTCCAAATTATCAGAATATCACTCAAATTGGCAAGATAATCTTAAAATTTATAGAAAGGCCCTCCGTAATGCCAGAGGAGCCTATTACTCAGCACTAATAGAAGAAAATAAGAATAACCCTAGGTTCCTCTTCAGCACTGTAGCCAGGCTCTTGCATTACGGAGGGCCTTTCTATGGGTTTTAAGATTATCTTGCCAAATTGAGCGATATTCTAATAATTTCGAAGAGGGACATTTCCTTTCAGAGTTCCTTGCTTTTTGCTTTAACTGGCAAGTTTGGTGGTTGTACCATGGTGCTAACCGGCGCTAAACTCCTATGTTTAAATAATTTCCTTTTTATAGGGGCGATAAAATCTAATGTTCATCTTAGTGAACCTGCAGCACTATTAACAAGATTATCAATTTCAGAGGGACTAAAGTTGTTATAGGACTCTGTTATATTCAGACATGGCATTGAATTAAACACTCTCTCTGTGATTTAGCTACATGGATCTAGGTTGTGTGGTGTTGTCCTCCTTTTGACAAACACTATTGAAGATTTCATCGGTTCAGTGTGTATATATCTTGTCAGGATCTTCTGGATATTTCACTGAACTCTTCGCAGTAAAGACATGTAGGTTCTGATGACATACCTGTGTTGCTGATGCAGGTGTGTGGAGGGTTACTATGGTAACCATGTTTCAGGACAGACCTGTCAGCCCTGCCTGTGTCCGGACATTCACAGCAGTGGACGATTCTTCGCCATTTCCTGCCACCACGACCCACAATCCCTCAGTCTAGTCTGTGACTGCAGGGAGGGGCACACAGGTAAGAGCTGCCCTCTGTGTCTCACTTTTCTACCTGTTTGTACACACTCAGTGGAGTTCTTGTCCAAGCAAACATAGCACTGATATTGGACAGAGAGCCAATAGTGACTGAAGACCTGTGTAACATATGAACAAATAATTTTTCATTTTATTTGACTTCAGGTGTCAGACAGTATTGATACTGTGAGTCAGTGCCCAGGTGTGTCAGACACTAAAGGGGGGCAGCAGAGAAAGAAAGATACCACCGTCTTTATGTCAAACCTTTTCCTACATGTGTATTAACCATGTGAACATAGTGATTCTGTCCCAACAACTAAAAGTGAAAGTATCTCTGATCCAGGTCCACGCTGTGACAGATGCAGCAGTGGTTTATATGGCAACCTGGCATTGCTAGGTACCAGATGTGAGGTGTGTCCCTGTAACAACAACATTGACCCAGATGATCGTGATGCCTGCGACAGTGTGACGGGAGAATGTCTGCGCTGCCTCCACAACACAATGGGACCACAATGCCAAGACTGCAAACCTGGTTACTACGGCTATGCCCTGGACCAGGACTGCAAAGGTAAACACAGGGTCATGCCTCGAGTTTGGTTCCAGGTCCTACACGCATTCCAGTTCCTTCCCCTAGGGTCAGTTTTTACAGTCGGGGCACACTGAAGTCCCCACCTTCGACCATCTACATCAAGCCCTGTATGTGGTGGCCCTGTGTCACACATTGGGACTGAGCCATCATAAAGGCTTTTAGAAATTGCTCAATATGACGCCTCGTCTCGCCTCCGATGACTCTACCAGACATTCTTGCCCATAAACAAAGGTCCTAGAATCTTTGTAGAACTCCTCTACTACGTTAGGGTGGGGATTTTTGGCAGAGGAAACATTACAAAAATGAAAAATACAGATGTGAACACTCACATTTTGCCTATGGTAAGCGTACTGACTCATTTCCGGTTTACTTCCTGCTCTGTGTACACTGTTTGGTGCTGTAGCTCTGTCAGTGAACGCTAAATATAAATTTATTTTACTTGTTACAGCGGTTATTTTCCAGCTTAACAATTAAACGTAGACTCGTTCTATCTAAACACTCGGAGTTACTCCTCCTTTTAGTGACTTTTCGCTATTTTCAAAAGTTTTTCATACACGCTAGCTTCATTAGCATTAATTCATTTCAATTCAATTCAATTTTATTTGTATAGCGCCAATTCATAACAGAAGTTATCTCAGGACACTTTTCAAATAGAGCAGGTCCAGACCGAACTCTTTATAACATTATTTACAGAGACCCAACAGTACCACCATGAGCAAGCACTTGGCGACAAGGGCAAGGAAAAACTGCCTGTTAAAAGGCAGAAACCTAGGACAGATCCTTCGGCTCTAGGTGGGTGGTTGTCTGCCTCAACCGGTTGGGGTGAGAGAGAGAGAAAGAGAGAGAGACAGACAGAGAGAGGAACAGACAGACAGGTGCACAGCAACAACAGTATTGGCAATGGCAATCTAGCAGGACCATGGCAGGAGGCTCCACCAGGATCGATAAGAACCTGCGAGACGAGAAAGCGCAAGAACTCCGGGGAAGAAGTGGAGTTAGTAACATGCATTAATGGGACACGAATGAGTGCATAAAGAGAGAGGAAGAGAGGAGCTCAGTGCACCATGGGAAATCCCCCGATAGTCTAGGCCTATAGCAGCATAACTAAGGGATGGTTCAGGACTCACCTAATCCAGCCCTAACTATAAGCTTTATCAAAGAGGAACGTCTTAAGCCTACTCTTGAATGTGGTGAGGGTGTCTGCCTCCTGAACCACAACTGGAAGCTGGTTCCATAGGAGAGGAGCTTGGTAACTGAAGGCTCTGGCTCCTGTTCTACTTTTAGAGACTACAGGAACCACAAGTAGCCCTGCATTCAGAGAACGTAGTGTTCTAGAGTTGTAATAGTGTACTATGAGCTCTTTAAGATATGAAGGGACCTGACCATGAAGAGCTTTATAGGTGAGGAGGAGGATTTTAAATTCTATTCTACATTTTACAGGGAGCCAGTGCAGAGAAGCTAGTACAGGAGAGATGTGATCTCTTTTTCTAGTTCCTGTCAGTACTCGTGCTGCAGCGTTCTGAATTAATTGGAGTGTTTTAATGGACTTATTGGGGCAACCTGATAATAAAGAGTTGCAGTAATCTAGCCTTGAAGTAACAAATGCATGGATTAGTTTTTCTGCATCTGTCTGTGATAGGATGTGTCTAATTTTTGTAATATTACGTAAATGAAAGAAGGCAGTCCTGGAGGTCTGCTTCATGTGGGAGATAAATGACAAATCCTGATCAAAGATAACTCCAAGATTCCTGACAGTGGTTCTAGAGGCCAAGGTAATGTCATCTAGAGTAACTATATCTTTAGACAGTGAGTCTCTAAGGTTTTTGGGGCCAAGAACAAGAATTTCAGTTTTTTCTGAGTTTAACATCAGAAAATTGCAGCTCATCCAGGATTTTATGTCCTTAAGACATGTTTGTAATTTGGATAATTGATTAATTTCATTGGGCTTGATCGATAGATATAACTTCGTATCATCTGCATAACAGTGAAGGTTAATGGAGTGATTCCTAATAATGTTGCCTAAAGGGAGCATATAAAAAGTAAATAGTATTGGTCCAAGTACAGAACCTTGTGGAACTCCATGACTAACTGTAGTATTTATTGAAGATTCATAGTTAACATGTACAAACTGCGAACGATCTGATTATTATGACTTTAACCAGCTTAATGCAGTTCCTTTAATGCCAATTTGATGCTCAAGTCTTGAAGAATATTAGAAGAAGAATATTATGGTCAATGGTGTCAAATGCAGCACTAAGATCTAATAATACAAGTACAGAGACAAGTCCATTGTCTGAAGCAATCAGAAGTTCATTACTAACTTTGACCAGAGCTGTCTCTGTGCTGTGATGAACTCTAAATCCTGACTGAGAATCCTCAAATAAACTATTGTCATATAAAAAGTCACACAACTCTTTGGCGACTACTTTCTCCAGAATCTTAGAGAGGAAGGGGAGGTTAGAGATTGGTCTATAGTTGGCTAAAACCCCTGGGTCAAGAGTGGGCTTTTTAAGAAGTGGTTAAATTACAGCTACTTTAAAGGACTGTGGTACATATCCTGATAATAAAGAAAGATTAATCATATCCAGTAAAGAAGTGCCAATTAAGGGAACAACTTCTTTAAGCAGCCTAGTTGGGATCGGGTCTAACAGACAGGTTGATGGCTTCGATGAATTTTCTCTCTAATAGTGATAATTTTATTATCGTGCTCATGAAGTCATTGCTACTTAAGTTTATGGGGATATGTGGCTCAATAGAGCTGTGAATCTCTGTCAGCTTGGCTACAGTGCTGAAGAGGAACCTAGAGTTATTCTTATTTTTTGGTGGTTGTACCACGGTGCTAGTCTCCTATGTTTTAATAATTTCCTTTTTATTGGAGCGACAGAGTCTAATGTTGATCGTAGTGAGCCTGCAGCACTATCGACAAGATTATCAATTTCAGAGGGACTAAAGTTGTTATAGGACTCTGTTAAATTCAGACATGGCATTGAATTAAACACTGAAGGAATCTCCTCCTTAAATTTAGCCACAGCACTGTCAGATAGACATCTGCTGTAGGACGTTTTGCCTAATGGCTTATAATCTAATGGTATGAATTCAAAAGTTATTAAATAATGGTCGGATAGAAAAGCATTATGTGGGAAGACTATTAAATGTTCAATATCAATGCCATATGATAGAACAAGGTCAAGAGTGTGATTAAAACAATGAGTTGGTTTATTTACACTCTGACAGAAGCCAATTGAGTCTATTAATGAGATAAATGCGTTACTAAGGCTGTCATTGTCAACATCCACATGAATATTAAAATCACCTACAATAATTACTTTATCTGATTTAAGGACTAAACTTGATAAAAACTCTGAGAATTCAGATATAAAATCAGAGTACGGTCCAGGAGCGTGGTACACTATAACAGATTTTTATTATTATTAATTAGATTTCTATGTTGAACTGGTGGTCGGGGGACAGAAACAGTCTTTATGGGGTTTTGGGTGGGTGACTGTACTAAAGAAAGCGCAGAGAAGTGTGTAAGACAGCAGCTCTGCTTCCTGGTCCCAACTCTGGACTGTCCGACATGCGGCTGTACGTCATCACTGGTCACATTGGGCAGGGGTCCAGAGAAAACTACTGAATCCGACATAGTTTTAGCATAATTACACACCGACTCCACATTAATTTTAGTGACCTCCGATTGGCGTAATCGGGTGTCATTACCATCGACGTGGATAACAATCTTATTATATTTACGATTACCTTTAGCCAGCAGTTTTAAATAGGATTCAATGTCTCCCGCTCTGGCCCCAGGGATACATTTAACTATGGCCGCTGGCTTCGCTAACTTCACGTTTCTGACTATGGAGCTGCCAATAATCAGAGTTGGTTCCTCAGCGGGTGTGTTGCTGAGTGGGGAAAATGTATTAGAAATGTGAATGGGTTGGTGGTGAACTGTGGGCTTCTGCGTTTTATTCTTCCTCCGTTCAGTCACCCAGCCTCCCTATCTTCCCGGCTGCTCGGGATCTACCAGGGGAACTACCGGAGGACGGCTAACAGAAGCTACCTTCGGTCAGACCGCACCAGCTACTGGGGGCTGGCTAACTATAGCGGCTAAAGATATCTCCGTGGTGCGGTGCCGTTCCTCTAACTCACTAAGCCTCGCCTCCAGCGCAGTAAATAAACTACACTTAATACAAGAACCATTATCTTTAAAGGAGGCAGAGGAATAACTGAACATCTGACACACTGAGCAGGACAGAGGAGAGGGAGAGGAAGAAGCCATAGCTAATTGCTAATGCTAATGAAGCTAGTGTCAGTGAAAGCTTTTGAAAATAGCGAAAGATAAACGTAAATATAGTAAGACTGTTATTCACGTCGATGGTAATGACACCCGATTACGCCAATCGGAGGTCACTAAAATTAATGTGGAGTCGGTGTGTAATTATGCTAAAACTATGTCGGACTCCGTAGTTTTCTCTGGACCCCTGCCCGATGTGACCAGTGATGACATGTATAGCCGCATGTCGGACTTCCACCGCTGGCTGTCGAGGTGGTGCCCAGAAAATGATGTGGTCTTCATTGATAACTGGAAGCCTTTTTGGGGAAAACCTGGTCTGATTAGGAGGGACGGCATCCATCCTAGTTTGGATGGAGCGGCTCTCTTATCTAGAAATATGGTGAAGTTTATTTCTAAAACCTGACAGTCCAGGAAGCAGAGCTGCCGTCTTACACACTTCTCTGCGCTTTCTTTAGAACAGTCACCCACCCAAAACCCCATGGAGACTGTGTCTGTCCCCCGACCACCTAAATTATTTAAAGAAATAAAAACAAGAGGAGTTAAACATAAAAACCTAATAAAAATTAAAACTAACTCTGCAGTAGCACAAAATAAGGGTGAAATGAAATGTGGACTGTTAAATATCAGGTCTCTGTCCTCTAAAGGTGTTGAAGTGAATGAATTAAAATCAGATTATGATATTGATTTACTTTGTCTTACTGAGACCTGGTTGTCCCACGAGGAATATGTTAGCCTAAATGAATCCAACCCACCCAGTAATATTAATACTCACATGAATCAATTATCTAAATTACAAACATGTCTTAAGGACATCAAATCCTGGATGAGCTGCAATTTTCTGATGTTAAACATTCAAGAGTAGGCTTAAGACATTCCTCTTTTATAAAGCTTATAGTTAGGGCTGGATCAGGTGAGTCCTGAACCATCCCTTAGTTATGCTGCTATAGGCCTAGACTATCGGGGGATTTTCCATGGTGCACTGAGCTCCTCTCTTCCTCTCTCTTTCTGCACTCATTCATGTCCCATTAATGCATGTTACTAACTTCACTTCTTCCCCGGAGTTCTGGTGCTTTCTTGTCTCGCAGGTTCTTATTGATCCTGGTGGAGCCTCCTGCCATGGTACTACTAGATTGCCATCGCCAATACTGTTGTTGTGCACCTGTCTGTCTGTCTGTCTCTCTCTCTGTCTCTGTCCGTCCGTCTCTCTCTCTCTCTCTCTCTCTCACCCCAACTGGTCGAGACAGACGACCACCCACCTAGAGCCGAAGGATCTGTCCTAGGTTTCTGCCTTTTAACAGGCAGTTTTTCCTTGCCCTTGTCGCCAAGTGCTTGCTCATGGTGGTACTGTTGGGTCTCTGTAATTAATGTTAAAGAGGTCGGTCTAGATCTGCTCTATTTGAAAAGTGTCCTGAGATAACTTCTGTTATGAATTGGCGCTATACAAATAAAATTGAATTGAATTGAATTGAATTGAAATTGACAGAACACATACAGGGGTATTAAAAGCAGAAAGATAAAGAAGAGTGTTGAAGGTTTATGACTCCTGGACTAATAAGTTTTTTTTTAAACCTTATAAAGTATGTATGGAATATATTGTATATTTCCCAGAGTGCTCCTGTGACCGGCGGGGGACAAAGGTGACTCAGTGTCCTCTGGGGAGTCCCTGTTTTTGTGATTCTAGGACTGGACAGTGTCCATGCAGGACAGGGGTGGTGGGTGTCCTCTGTGATGAGTGTGAGGATGGATACTGGAACCTGGACGGAGCATCTGGATGTCAACCCTGCCGCTGTGATTCTGCAAACTCTTTCTCCAACATCTGCGACAAGGCAAGATCACCATGAACCTGTTCAAGTCAACGTGACCACAAGCTCAGAATACAATACAGAAAGAGAGAGAGACAGAGCCAGAGACAGAGACAGACAGAGAGAGAGGGGTAACAAAGAACAAGGCTTTCAAATGAATTATATATATATATTTTAGGTTTAGGATCAATTAAAAGGGTTGAATTATATATGGCTGCTACTCTAACTCCTCAGCCGGTGCCTTGAGGAATGTGAGTGTCAATGTGACTGGGGGGGTGGATTCATACAGGCTTACATATTCTTTGTGGCACAGCCAGGTCTCAGTAAGACAAAGTAAATCAATGTCATAATCTGATATTAATTCATTCACTAGACTTAATGTTAAATAGTCCCAATGCCATTATTTTATTTTGTGCTATTGTAGAGTTTGTTTTAATTTTTATGAGGTTTTTATTTTTAACTTCTCTTGTTTTTACTTTCTCTTTAATAGTTTAGGTGGTTGGAGGACAGCTACAGTCTGTTCTTTCACAATAAAAGACAAAAGAAAGACACTGTAACAGTAATGAGTAATAGAAGTATATTATACTTAATGAATTTTGACTGATAAAGCATTCATTGAATGATGTGTTCAGGTGACAGGACAGTGTCCATGTCGTCCCGAGTTTGGAGGAAGACAGTGTGATGAATGTGGAGAAAATCATTTTGGGAATCCAGACCTGCAGTGTATCTGTGAGTGAAAACACAAACACACCTCTAACAGTGTTTTTAACTGTGACAGAGCTACATCTCTTTTTTAATTTGAATTCATCACTTCTTGTTCTTAGCTTGTGACTGTAACATGGAGGGAACAGAGCGTCCGTCATGTGACCCTGAAACCGGCGAGTGTATGTGTCGAATTGGTGTCACAGGTATTTTCTGTGATGAGTGCGCCCCTGGCTATGACTCGGCATTCCCAGCCTGCAAGGAATGCCACCCCTGCAATGCACTCTGGGCCGAAAATGTCACAGACGTCCAGCGAGCGACCCAGAGGATGAGAACCTTCATTCCTCGCACCAATGACGAACTGCAGCCGGGAGACAGTCCCCACTGGCAATGGATGCTGGAGATGCATTCGAAGCTGGATGGCCTCTCTAACCTGACAGGACTCTCCCCACCAAAGGTGGAGAAAGCTGAGAAGCTGTGTGCGATGATCAGGTAAGTTATTAGTTAGATTGTGAGAAAAATTCTGTAGTTTTACAGCCTCACAGAAATATCAGCAAACTGAGTAACACTGCTTATTGAAGCTTGTTTTTTGTATTTATTTACATTCACACATTTAAGTATACTTTACTCTTAACAGTTAATATATTGTTATTTGCCTTCGCAAAAAAACTCAGCAAATTTGAACTTGAAATGTAATTTGGTGCTTCTTTTTAAAAAATTTATCAGTTCAGGCACCGTTTACACACCAGTTATATTTTAGCACCAATATTGATATCCATTACCCAATCCCAGGTAGCAGGCAGAAACAGCACTGCAGCTGTTCACGGCCTATAATCTCACACAGTTACAGTAAAAAATAGTATAATTAGCATTAGCAAGATGTAGACATAGTAATGTGTGGACAGACGAGTCAATTGAGACACTAAGGTGGTGTTTTATGTGCAGACTTGTCCATATTCCATGCACTAGAACTTGATAAAGCTACAGTTACCATTACTGATTACATGAAATTCTGCGTGGACAGTGATGTAAGATGTTGTTGTTTATCCTAACAATAAACCTTACATTACAAAAGAAATTAAAGACTGTATATAAAGACAGGGCAGGACTGTCAATAGTTCAAAAATAACTCAAAAAGCTCCTTACAGATGCAAGAGAACAGCACAGGCAAACAATGGAACAGAGCTTTCAATCTTCAAACACCAAAAAACTTTGAAATTGGTTACAAACATGCACTCTTCAAAACAAATGATCACTGTGGATGAACAACAAAAGTCAAATGAGCTGAATGACTTTTACTTGAGGTTTGAGTCACAAAACCTCTCTCAGCAGTATGACAGTATGTTGTTGTCTTTGCCAGATACTGATGCCATCCGGTGGCTGGAAATGGATTTGCCTAGTGTACAGTCACTTTTTAGTAAGGTGGGCCAGATGGACTGCCAGCTTTCTTGCTTAAAAGCTGTGCAGAGGAACTAACGCCAGCATGGTGTCCCACATACCAATGGCCTTTGGACACTCAGACTGTCCAGGCTTTGTGGAAGAAGTCAATTATAACACCAGTGCCTAAAAAGGCCTCTGCCACAGTGAATAATGATTTTCATCCTGTAACTTTTACCTCTATTGTCATGAAATGTTTGAAGAAATCTGTAGTGGCTCTGCTCAAGAAAGACATCGAGCCAGACTTAGACACATGGTAATTTGCCTGTAAGAACAAACGCAGCACTGAAGATGCCATCCTCTGCATTTTATTTATTGATCTTAGTTCAGTTTAATACAGTGCAACCCTATCTGCTTTTAGAAAAGCTTAAGGATATGGGTGTTAACCCTTCCCTGATCAAATGGTTTTATTCTTTTTCAACTAATAGGACACAAGTGAAAGTTAATGGGACATTAACAAAGACCAAACAGTGATACCGGGGTCCCACAAGGTTGTGTGGTATCACCTATACTTTTTACACTGTACACTAATGACTGCAGGAAAGTACAAACCTGTCACGATTCAGAGGCTGAACCCAAAAGCAAACTCTGGTTGTAGTGAACACAAAGTCTTTATTACTTTGGTGAGGTGAAGGGTGATCTGGAGACTGGCTGAAGTCTGGGGGTTTGAGACAAGCAGACAGACAAAAACCCAACAAGCACACCTCACTCACACTAAGAGATTGAAAAACAGAACCACACAATCACAAAGCAGGAGTCATGAAAAAAACAATATATATTATAAAACTTGCTGATGATACGGCAGTCTTGAGCCTTCTCAACAAGGACATGGACCCTTCTGTGTACCATAATGAAATAGCCACCTTTATTAAGTGGTGTAACACCAACCATCTTATTCTAAATGTCATCCAAAACATAGGAGATGGTGTTTGACCTGAGGCAAGTGACTGACCACAAGCCAGTGGTCATTAAACACCAGAAAATCAGCCATGTGTCCTCGTATAAAGATTTAGGTTAGTTCTATTCTAGTATTGCACAGATGTTTCATAGATGAGATGTGCACAGGGTATCACAGGGTTTGTCACAATTAACAGAGACTCAAGGGGCCATGATTAGGGAAAAAATGTCTCTCACTGTACTGCCATTTTTTATGAGTGTGAGCATGTAAATGATTTCTGGAAAATTGAAAAATAAAATGCAAATTCAGTCCAGATGTATTTAGATTCTTTATGTGGGATGCCATCTATCATAAACTCCATCCATTTGATCATCATAAACTCCTTTCAGTTTCAATCGGACTTTGGATGGAATTATTAAGAATAATTCAATTCAATTCAATTCAATTCAATTTTATTTGTATAGCGCCAATTCATAACAGAAGTTATCTCAGGACACTTTTCAAATAGAGCAGGTCTAGACCGAACTCTTTAACATTAATTACAGAGACCCAACAGTACCACCATGAGCAAGCACTTGGCGACAAGGGCAAGGAAAAACTGCCTGTTAAAAGGCAGAAACCTAGGACAGATCCTCCGGCTCTAGGTGGGTGGTCGTCTGTCTCGACCAGTTGGGGTGAGAGAGAGAGAGAGAGAGAGAGAGAGAGAGAGAGAGAGAGATGCACAGCAACAACAGTATTGGCAATGGCAGTCAAGCAGGACCATGGCAGGAGGCTCCACCAGGATCCATGAGAACCTGCGAGACGAGAAAGCACAAGAACTCCGGGGAAGAAGTGGAGTTAGTAACATGCATTAAAGGGACATGAATGAGTGCAGAAAGAGAGAGGAAGAGAGTAGCTCAGTGCACCATGGGAAATCCCCCGATAGTCTAGGCCTATAGCAGCATAACTAAGGGATGGTTCAGGACTCACCTGCCCAGCATTCAGAGAACGTAGTGTTCTAGTGGGGTAATAGGGTACTATGAGCTCTTTAAGATATGAAGGGGCCTGACCATGAAGAGCTTTATAGGTGAGGAGGAGTATTTTAAATTCAATTCTACATTTTATAGGGAGCCAATGCAGAGTAGCTAGTACAGGAGAGATGTGATCTCTTTTTCTAGTTCCTGTCAGTACTCGTGCTGCAGCGTTCTGAATTAATTGGAGCGTTTTAATGGACTTATTGGGGCAACCTGATAATAAAGAGTTGCAGTAATCCAGCCTTGAAGTAACAAATGCATGGATTAGTTTTTCTGCATCTGTCTGTGATAGGATGTGTCTAATTTTTCTAATATTACGTAAATGAAAGAAGGCAGTCCTAGAGGTCTGCTTTATGTGGGAGTTAAATGACAAATCCTGATCAAAGATAACTCCAAGATTCCTGACAGTGGTGCTAGAGGCCAAGTTAATGCCATCTAGAGTGACTATATCTTTAGACAATGAGTCTCTAAGGTTTTTGGGGCCAAGAACAAGAATTTCGGTTTTTTCTGAGTTTAACATCAGAAAATTGCAGGTCATCCAGGATTTTATGTCCTTAAGACATGTTTGTAATTTAGATAATTGATTAATTTCATTGGGTTTGATTGATAGATATAACTGCGTATCATCTGCATAACAGTGAAAGTTAATGGAGTGATTCCTAATAATGTTGCCTAAAGGGAGCATATATAAAGTAAATAGTATTGGTCCAAGTACAGAACCTTGTGGAACTCCATGACTAACTTTAGTATTTATGGAGGATTCATCGTTAACATGTACAAACTGAGAACGATCTGATAAGTATGACTTAAACCAGGTTAGGGCAGTTCCTTTAATGCCAATTTGATGCTCAAGTCTCTGTAAAAGAATATCATGGTCAATGGTGTCAAATGCAGCACTAAGATCTAATAATACAAGTACAGAGACAAGTCCATTGTCAGAAGCAGTCAGAAGGTCATTATTAACTTTAACCAGAGCTGTCTCTGTGCTATGATGAACTCTAAATCCTGACTGAAAATCCTCAAATAAACTATTGTTATGTAAAAAGTCACACAACTCTTTGGCGACTACTTTCTCCAGAATCTTAGAGAGGAACGGGAGGTTAGAAATCGGTCTATAGTTGGCTAAAACCCCTGGGTCAAGAGTAGACTTTTTAAGAAGGGGTTTAATTACAGCTACTTTAAAGGACTGTGGTACATATCCTGATAATAAAGAAAGATTAATCATATCCAGTAAAGAAGTGCCAATTAAGGGAACAACTTCTTTAAGCAGCCTAGTTGGGATCGGGTCTAACAGACAGGTTGATGGCTTCGATGAAGAAATGATTGAAGTTAACTGATGAAGATCGATAGCAGAAAAACAGTCTAAATATACATCTAAGTTTACATTGACAGAAGTCCCTGAACTTGGAGAGCCACTGATAACTGTTGATGGCAGTTGGTGATTAATTTTTTCTCTAATAGTAATAATTTTATTATAGAAGAAGCTCATGAAGTCATTGCTACTTAAGTTTATGGGGATATGTGGCTCGATAGAGCTGTGACTCTCTGTCAGCCTGGCTACAGTGCTGAAGAGGAACCTAGGGTTGTTCTTATTTTCTTCTATTAGTGCTGAGTAATAGGCTCCTCTGGCATTACGGAGGGCCTTTCTATAAATCTTAAGATCATCCTGCCAATTTGAGCGATATTCTGATAATTTGGAAGAGCGCCATTTCCTTTCAGATTTCCTAGCTATTTGCTTTAACTGGCGGGTTTGGTGGTCATACCAAGGTGCTAGTTTCCTATGTTTTAATAATTTCCTTTTTATAGGAGCGATAGAGTCTAATGTTGATCGTAGTGAGCCTGTAGCACTATCGACAAGATTATCAATTTCAGAGGGACTAAAGTTGTTATAGGACTCTGTTAAATTCAGACATCGCATTGAATTAAACACTGAAGGAATCTCCTCCTTAAATTTAGCTACAGCACTGTCAGATAGACATCTGCTGTAGGAAGTTTTGCCTAATGGCTTATAATCTAATAGTATGAATTCAAAAGTTACTAAATAATGGTCAGATAGGAAAGGATTATGTGGGAAGACTATTAAATGTTCAATATCAATGCCATATGATAAAACAAGGTCAAGAGTGTGATTAAAACAATGAGTTGGTTTATTTACACTCTGACAGAAGCCAATTGAGTCTATTAATGATATAAATGCATTACTAAGGCTGTCATTGTCAACATCCACATGAATATTAAAATCACCTACAATAATTACTTTATCTGATTTAAGGACTAAGCTTGATAGAAACTCTGAAAATTCAGATATAAAGTCAGAGTACGGTCCAGGAGCACGGTACACTATAACAAATAGAACTGGCTGCAGTGTTTTCCAGTTTGGGTGAGAAAGGCTAAGAACAAGGCTTTCAAATGAATTATAATTTAGTTTAGGTTTAGGGTCCATTAAAACGCTCGAATCATATATAGCTGCTACTCCACCTCCTCGGCCTGTGCCTCGAGGAATGTGAGTATTAATATGACTGGGGGGGTGGATTCATTTAGGCTAACATACTCCTCGTGGGACAACCAGGTCTCAGTAAGACAAAGTAAATCAATATCATAATCTGATATTAATTCATTCACTAAAACAGCTTTAGAGGACAGAGACCTGATATTTAACAGCCCACATTTCATTCTCTTATTTTGTGCTACTGAGGAGTTGGTTTTAATTTTTATTAGATTTTTATGTTGAACTCCTCTTGTTTTTATTTCTTTAAATAGTTTAGGTGGTCGGGGGACAGACACAGTCTCTATGGGGTTTTGGGTGGGTGACTGTTCTAAAGAAAGCGCAGAGGAGTGTGTAAGACAGCAGCTCTGCTTCCTGGTCCTAACTCTGGACTGTCAGGTTTTAGAGATAAACTTCGCCATATTTCTAGATAAGAGAGCCGCTCCGTCCAAAGTGGGATGGATGCCGTCTCTCCTAATCAGACCAGGTTTTCCCCAAAAAGGCTTCCAGTTATCAATGAAGCCCACATCGTTTGCTGGACACCACCTCGACAGCCAGCGGTGGAATGACGACATGCGGCTATACATGTCATCACTGGTCACATTGGGGAGGGGTCCAGAGAAAACTACGGTGTCCGACATTGTCTTAGCATAGTTACACACCGACTCCACATTAATCTTAGTGACCTCCGATTGGCGTAAACGGGTGTCGTTACCGCCGACGTGGATAACAATCTTACTGTATTTACGTTTATCTTTAGCCAGCAGTTTTAAATTTGATTCAATGTCGCCCGCTCTGGCCCCAGGGATGCATTTAACTATGGCCGCTGGCTTCGCTAACTTCACGTTTCTGACTATGGAGCTGCCAATAATCAGAGTTGGTTCCTCAGCGGGTGTATCGCTGAGTGGGGAAAATGTATTAGAAACGTGAAGCGGTTGGTGGTGACCTGTGGGCTTCGCCGTTCTAGTCTTCCTTCGCTCAGTCACCCAGCCTCCCTGTCTTCCCGGCTGCTCGGGAACTACCGGGGGAACTACAGAGCTAACAGAAGCTACCTTTGGTCGGACCGCACCGGCTACTGGGGGCTGGCTAACTATAGCGGCTAAAGATATCTCAGTGGTGCGGTGCCGTTCCTCTAACTCACTAAGCCTCGCCTCCAGCGCAGTAAATAAACTACATTTAATACAGGTACCATTATCTTTAAAGGAGGCAGAGGAATAACTGAACATCTGACACACTGAGCAGGACAGAGGAGAGGGAGAGGGAGAAGCCATAGCTAACTGCTAATGCTAATGAAACTAGAGTGTATGAAAAACTTTGAAAGTAGTGAAAAGTCCCTAAAAGAGGGAGAAACTCCAAGTGTTTAAGTAGAACTAGTCTACGTTTAAATGTTAAGCGGGTAAATAACCGCTGTAACGAGTAAAACTAATTTATATTTAGCGTTCACTGACAGAGCTACAGCACCAAACAGTGTACACAGAGCAGGAAGTGAACCGGAAGTGAGTCAGTACGCTTACCGTAGCACGTCCAACCCCAATAGGAAAGGAAAATCTCTCTCTGTATCTGCGTTTCAGAAATTCCTCCAAGACTTCCTAAAATGTGATATTGGCAAGTACATGTGTCATTTTATGTCGGAAACTGTTAATGTTACACTGAAATACTCTTCTGTTCAATGACTGACAGTCTAAGGTTTAAATGATTGCCTGTCATTGCTTCACTCCTGCAGGTTTTAAGTGAATTAAGTAAAGGATGAAGTTGATCTGTGCTCTAAAAAGATATAATTTTTAAATGTTTCCTTCCTCACAGGAAGCTTAAAGATGCCATCGACCCGAATATAATCCTGATTGATCCGGCTCCTCTCCTCAACACTGAAATTGACAATATCCGTCTGGAGTTCAAGAAGCTGCTGAATAAATTGAAAGAAAGAGTCTTTGAGGATCCAGTTGATGAAGATGAAGACCTGGAGGGTACAAAGATTTTTTTTGGGGGGGTTCAGAAAGTTTTGATTACATTTTTTCTGTTCATCCATCTTGTTATTGGGGCTGGGTTGCAACAGCAGCAGGCTCAGTAAGGTAGTAGTCAATAAACATGTAGAAAGTTGGTTACATGTTCATTAGGGACTTTATCGCTAGACAGACTGTGCTGCTGTACTAAATCCACTTCTTCTTCTTTGGTTTATCTCTGAACTTCTCTGATTATAGAGCTCCTGGAGGAGATCCAGAAGCTTCATAAAGCCTTCATGTTGGACGAAAAGAGAGTAAGAAAAGCCAGCAAAGCTCTGGAGGACTCCATGGACACCAGACAGGAAGTCAAACTTAAACTGAGAACATGCAGCAAAGGAGACCTGGTGCCACTGGAGAAGAAGGTCAAAGAGCTCAGCGCAGTCTACCTCAACAAAAAGGTGAGTATCAACCAAAACTGAATGCAACCTAAACTGACACATACTAGTTATGAGTCTTCATATCTTCTGATGCAGATCTGTGGAGAACCAGGTCAGGAGGACTGCTCAGGGTGTGGTGGAGCTCTGTGTGACCTGGATCTCGGCAAAAGGAAATGTGGAGGTCCAAAATGTGATGGGATTGTTCCTGTCAGTCAGAAAGCTTCAGAGATGGCAGAGAGAGCGAAGGACAAACTCACCACACTCCCATCCAGACTGCAGGTGTCCATGAACAAGGCAGGTTTACAGTGGTTTGTTACTTTATAATATTATTACATGAATTGAAAGTAAATTCAACCTTTATTTAAATCTTGATAAAATCTTTGAGGGTATGTTCTCATCCTCCTCTTTTTTTATGTCAAGAATACAAAAGAATGAAATAATTAACAAGAAAACTAAAAAACAGACAATTAAAACTAGTTACATTCAAGAGAGGAGTTTTTTGTGTGCAGCACAAGAACTAAAAGCAGTTTTAACAAATTTGGTGTTTGCAAGCAGTACTGGAGCCTTAGCCGACCGTAGAAGTTGCATAGCACACTAAGTCCATATTTTTCTACCGAAATTATCTCTCATAAATATGACCTCATGTTGTGTCAATCACAACTCATGTTATGAGGACAGCACATAGACAGAGAGGGGGACAGCTCAGCCTCTTTTTACTGCAGTGCCAAATGCAAGATGCGGGCAGATAGCGTCGAAAGCCTGCAAAGGGAATGAGATCAACATCACCATAATCCAGAACTGACACAAATTTGTCATCTGCTTCCCACTGAACATCTGGAAATTAGCTCTGTTCCTGTACAAATATACAATTCTTTGTCGTAGCTTGCTGAGAAACGTATCAGTATTTAAACAGAAAAGATTTAAACATAACTTTTTGATCCAGCCAGATCTTTACACTCTGAGACCCTGTCAACAGTTTGTCCATTCAGATGGTAACATGCTGAATATATATGTATATGTAGGCTCTATATACTTGTTTGCATTGTGCACTGATTTCAGATTAAATGAATTAAATTAAATGCATCTTTTAATTTGTCAAAAACTTTTCAGTGGCTGAGTCTGCAGTATCGGCTAAGCAATACAGAACTGCATCATCTGCATAAAGTTGTGCTTTACAGTTTATTATAAAGGATGTAATATTATTAATATAAATTGTGAACAAGACAGGACCGAATACCGAACCTTGTGGAACCCCCTGTGACTCTGTTAAAAATACAGAACAATCACTTCTCAAAATCTCACATTTCTGTATATGAGACAGGTAGTCCTGAAAGCATTTACAGAATTTATAATGAAAATGGAACTGTGAAAGCAGTGTTGAAGACAGAGAAATATCAGACATTACTGAATATTTTAAATTATCATGACACATTACATTACAAATTACATAATTCAGTTCAATTTTATTTTATTTGTAAAGCACCAATTCATAACAGAACCTCTGGACACTTTTCAATCAGAGCAGGTCTAGACCCAACAGTTCCCACCATGAGCAAGCATGGCGGCAAGGAAAAACTTCCTTTTAAGAGGCAGAAACCTCGGACAGACCCTGGCTCTAGGTGGGTGGTCGTCTGCCTCGATCAGTTGGGGTGTGAGAGAGAGAAAGACAGAGAGCAGAGGTAACGACAGAAGGACAGAGACAGAGAGACAGAGAGCAGAGGTAACGACAGAAGGACAGAGACAGAGACAAAGGTGTAACTACTACACTAATAGTCGTGACTGGTGAAGATGATGATGATGAACATGAAGAAGATGATGACGACAACATCAACAACGATGGGGGACAATGAGGAGTGATTATAGTAATAATAGTATCTGTAGCAATTACAAATACTACTGTTGTGGCAGAAAGTTTGATTCAAAAGAGAATCAGATGTCCGAGACACAGATGTCAGATGGGGAATCTGTTTATTTCAGACAGATCTTACCACCAACGCAGTCAGAGATATTAACCAACGATTACAGATCGTAACATGCCTTTTATACAAAAACCAGGCTGTGTGTGTGTATGCATACCGGTCTCATCCTGTCTTCCAGAACTCTTTGGCCAACTTATTTTAGCAGGAAAGGATCATATCTCATGTTGTACTTTGGCCACTTAAGGACATGCTTTTTGGCATCAACACTATGTGTATGATTGTGTGTGTGTGTGGCGACGCTCACTATTTCCCGACATCTGGCTGATGTTCCCGGCTCTGTTCCAGGTCATAATGACCTGGCTCTGTTCTAGGTCATGGTGACCTAGCTCAAGTCTTGGTGACCGGCCTCTCACCCTTCCAATGGTACCCTAAACAGGAGGGGTCATAATGAAATTCTCCTACACTACTACTAATAATGACAATAATATCAGTGATATTAGCAATGGCAGTCAAGCAGGACCATGGCAGGAAGCTCCACCAGGATCCATGAGAACCTGCGAGACGTGAAAGCACAAGAACTCCAGGGAAGAAGTGAAGTTAGTAACATGCATTAATGGGACATGAATGAGTGCAGAAAGAGAGAGGAAGAGAGGAGCTCATTGCATCATGGGAAATCCCCTGATAGTTTAGGCCTATAGCAGCATAACTAAGGGATGGTTCAGAACTCAGCTGAGCCAACCCTAACTATAAGCTTTATCAAAGGGGAACGTCTTAAGCCTACTCTTCAATGTGGAGAGGGTGTCTGCCTCCTGAACCACAACTGGAAGCTGGTTCCACAGAAACAGGAAGGAGCTTGGTAACTGAAGGCTCTGGCTCCTGTTCTACTTTTTGAGACTATAGGAACCACAAGTAACCCTGCATTCTGAGAACGCAGGGTTCTAGAGGGGTAATACGGTAGTATGAGCTCTTTAAGATATGAAGGGGCTTGACCATGAAGAGCTTTATAGGTGAGGAGGAGGATTTTAAATTATTTTTTAAATTTTACAGGGAGCCAGTGCAGAGAAGCTAGTACAGGAGAGATGTGATCTCTCTTTCTAGTTCCTGTCAGTACTCTTGCTGCAGCGTTCTGGATTAATTGGAGCGTTTTAATGGATTTATTGGGGCAGCCTGATAATAAGGAATTGCAGTAATCCAGCCTAGAACAAATGCATGGATTAGTTTTTCTGCATCCGTCTGTGACAGGATTTGTCTAATTTTTGTAATATTACATAATTGAAAGAAAGCAGTCCTGGGGGTCTGCTTTATGTGAGAATTAAAGGACAAGCCCTGATCAAATCAATCAAAATGTTAAAGAGTTCGGTCTAGACCTGCTCTATTTGAAAAGTGTCCTGAGATAACTTCTGTTATGAATTGGCGCTATACAAATAAAATTGAAATTGAAATTGAATCAAATATAACTCCAAGATTCCTGAAAGTGGTGCTGGAGGCCAAGGTAATACCATCTAGAGTAACTATATCTTTAGACAGTGAGTCTTGGAGGTGTTTGGGGCCAAGTTCAAAACATCAGAAAACTGCAGCTCATCCAGGTTTTTATGTCCTTAAGACATGCTTGTAGTTTAGATAACTGATTAATTTCATCTGCCTTGATTGATAGATATAACTGGATATCATCTGCATAACAGTCTCTGTAAATACATTTATAAGGAGTACGGTCTAGACCTGATCTATTTGAAAAGTGTCCTGAGATAACTTATGTCACGAACTGGCGGTTGTTACGCCCCTGTCTAGGGGAAGGAGCGCCACATAAATGTGTGATGAAAATGAACCAAGAATCCTACCCCGATTCCCAAACGAACAACTAACACAGTGTTAACAATCAAGTGATGTGATTTATTTACAAACAGGTGAAACAAAGTGCAACAAAGACTAAACAACAAACTTCAGGGTGAACCAAGGCCAAAACAACAAACAAAACAGGGCTAACTTCCTTAAACAAAAATCCTTACTAATCCCTATGCAATAGAAATAAAATACAGTTACTAAACCTAACTCCCTATCCTAATGAAAAACAGGAGAAAAGTAGTACAAAGAAAATGGCAGCTCACCCTTACGATACTCACTAAACACAATCATACAAAAACACTATCTACTAAGATCGTAACAATTCACTCTATCGCAAAAACACACACTCTACAACCGAGGACAGAAGGATGCTGCTGCTGAAGGTTCTGTCGAAGAGCTTCGGTGTGGTGCGGCGTTTTGAATCCCCGGCGGATGTTGCGGCTCCCTGGGAGAACCAACCAGCAGGCGACACTCCACCAGCCGAGCCCACGGCATGGACCAGTCAGAGCTGACCTACGGGTTGCCGTCAAAGATCTACAATCGACAGGCTGCACACTCCTGCAGAGGAACAGGGACAAAAACACCAACACACACCACAGACGAACCCAATACCATGACATAATACTAATAATACGGCCAGGGCCGTAACACCCCCCTTCCTAAAAATCAAACATTTCCCCTAAAATGTTTGACCCTTAAGGTTAGGAAGAGACACGGGAGAGTGCATTCGCCAACACGCGTTTCGGAGACCGAAATGCATAACGGTATAGGCTACTGAAGGAAAACTGTCGGACGTAACGAAAACGAAGATTTCAAATGCACGGGGAGTTAAAGGGACATCATGACCGAAATATGTAATGTGACACACACAGGACTTTCTCCCCCGAACAACGTAGTCAGTTTCACTTAATATATTTTCTATAACATACGGACCACAGAACTTTGCCTGGAGGGCAGAAACAGAGATTGTGAGCAGTGTTAAAACTTTTTCACCAACTTGGGAACGGATTTCTTGTCGAATTTCTTTTTCATTTTTTTCTGGGAGGCAGCAAGAGCGCTGCGCTCGGTCTCACGGGCTGAGTGCAGACGTTCTCTGAAAGAGCTCACATAATCTAACACATTTTGACCGGGACTAGTAGTGGCAGACAGGTATCTCTCTCTCAGCAACCGCAGAGGACCACGCACGGTGTGACCAAACACCAGCTCTGCAGGATTGAAACCTGTAGGTTCCTGCACACTTTCTCTAACCTGACAAGTGTGGCATGAACGGCAGTATTTTGTCACATCGGCTTTCAAACCTGGCCAAAAGAAGTACCGCAGGATGCGATGGTAAGTTTTTTTTATTCCTAAATTGCCAGCAATGTTATCATGGGCTAGATTCAATACCTGAGGGCGAAATTTCTGTGGGACTACCACTTGTTGAAATGAATTCCAACCTAGATCATCAGTTGAGGGAGGGTGCGAATTACGCATTAATACACCGTCATTAATGCTGTACACACTGAGAGTCTCGGCACATGAGTCGGCAGCAGATAGACACGTAGCCAGAGTTGGGTCAGTCTGTTGTGCACGGATGAACTCTCCCCGGTCAACCTCGAAACACAAGTTAGCTTCAACAGGTAACAAGTTATCAAGCACACTCTTTTCACATTTTTCGGCACGGGGGTCTGATTGTTCAGTACCATCTTCAGAGCACATGAATGAATCAGACAAATCCACCACATCACCAAGTTTACGCTTTTGTGCGCGCCTAACAGCGCAGGCCGGAAACACAGAGGACGAGTTGACAGCAGCAGGAACAGAAACACACGAGTCGGCAACGGGATTTTCAATCACTGCGGGGGTCGGAAACACTTTTTTCCCGGCCAGATCATTTCCGAGAATCATGGCAACCCCCCGCACTGGCAAACGAGTGCGCAGTCCAAAACTCATAGGGCCTGAGATGAGCGGTGAACGCAAGAAAACTGTGTGCAACGGTGCTCTTACAGTACTCATTTTCACTCCCAACACAAGTGCATCAGAACCACAGAATGAAGCAGAGGAAAAAGGCAGCACTTCTTGTAAGATGAGAGACTGATTAGCTCCCGTATCACGCAAAATTGTGATCGGTACCTGATCTTCCTCCTTTCCTGTCAAAGAGACTGAACCTTGTAAAATGAAAGGTCTGTAACGCTCATCTACCTCCTCTTTTTCTGGTTCATTACTGACAGGAGACGGAGTGGGAACAGACTGAAAAAGTCCAACACTTTTTTGGTCTTGTTTCACTTTGATTATTTTCTTTACGCTGGAGCGCAGGGCAGCTGGCTATCAGGTGTCCTGCCTCGTGGCAGTAAAAACATTCACGTTCAGAAGACGTAGGATTAGGTCTATGTGGATTTTTTGGTAAGATTTTATCTTTATTTCCAGGGTTTGCGATCGCAGTGTGCACGCGGCGCCCTGCCGGAAAAACAACACGGTGCGTTAAAACAAACTCATCGGCGAGCACCACAGCTTTGGACACAGAATCTGATTTCTGTTCATTTAAGTAAATGACGATTTTCTCTGGGAGACATGTTTTAAACTCTTCTAGCAAAAATAGTTCGCGGAGTTGAACAAAATTTGTGACTTTACTCGCAGTGCACCATTTATCAAAGAGAACAATTTTCTCCCTGGCAAACTCCACATATGTTTGGTTTGGCGATTTTTCACATGTGCGAAATTTTTGGCGATATGCCTCAGGAACCAACTCATAAGCACGCAACACAGTAGCTTTCACAATTTCATAATCCAGACTTTCGTTAATAGATAAACTTGCACACACCTCCTGGGCCTTGCCCACCAGTTTGCACTGCACCAGCAAACTCCACACATCTCTGGGCCATCTCAATGTCGCAGCGATGCGCTCAAAAGCATTGAAAAAGGAATCTACTTCACTTTCCCTAAATTGTGGTACTAAGGCAATATGCCTGCTTACATCAAATTGCTCAGAGACAGCGGTGGGAAGACGCATACTTACAGGAGTGGACGTAGTCGGAGACTGACGATCCAGCTCCAGAGCCCTTATGCGGAGGTGCATAATCTCTACCTCTTTGGACTTGGTTTCGAGTTCCACCTCTTTCATGCGGAGGGCCAACTTCAGATCCTCCGTATCTACTCCAGCCTGTAGTAGAGCTACCAGATCCATGCTATATGCCTGGGTGACAACCGGAGCCTCCGCCCCCGCACTCACCTGGCCGCCGAAGGTTTGTGTGGCTGTGGCAGCCTCCGCTCCCACTTCCTCCTCTAAAACCTCCGGTGCATGAACCCCCTCTGGCTTTGTCTGCGTAACTATGCCACTCTCCACCAGCTGTTCTGATAACCTGTTTTTAATCTCTGCCTTGCGTGCGTTCAAAGGAACAGAGATGCCAAAAAATTTAGCAATTAATCCTAATTGTGCTTTTGTGCATCGATCTAATTTTTCTAAAGTGAGATTTTGTGCAAACTCATCTATTTGAAAATCCATTTTCCCTCCACACACAAGAATAATCACCAAGCAAACATCAGATAGAAAAAAAAAAAAGTTGTGATGTGATTTATTTACAAACAGGTGAAACAAAGTGCAACAAAGACTAAACAACAAACTTCAGGGTGAACCAAGGCCAAAACAACAAACAAAACAGGGCTAACTTCCTTAAACAAAAATCCTTACTAATCCCTATGCAATAGAAATAAAATACAGTTACTAAACCTAACTCCCTATCCTAATGAAAAACAGGAGAAAAGTAGTACAAAGAAAATGGCAGCTCACCCTTACGATACTCACTAAACACAATCATACAAAAACACTATCTACTAAGATCGTAACAATTCACTCTATCGCAAAAACACACACTCTACAACCGAGGACAGAAGGATGCTGCTGCTGAAGGTTCTGTCGAAGAGCTTCGGTGTGGTGCGGCGTTTTGAATCCCCGGCGGATGTTGCGGCTCCCTGGGAGAACCAACCAGCAGGCGACACTCCACCAGCCGAGCCCACGGCATGGACCAGTCAGCGCTGACCTACGGGTTGCCGTCAAAGATCTACAATCGACAGGCTGCACACTCCTGCAGAGGAACAGGGACAAAAACACCAACACACACCACAGACGAACCCAATACCATGACATAATACTAATAATACGGCCAGGGCCGTAACAGCGGTATACAAATAAAATTTAATTGAATAACAGTGAAAGTAAATGGAGTGACTCCTAATAATATTGCCTAAGGGAAACATATATAAAGTGAATAAAATTGTTCCAAGCACAGAACCTTGTGGAACTCCATAACTAACTTTAGTGTTTATGAAGGATTCTTCGTTAACATATACAAACTGAGAACCATCTGATAAATAGGACTTGAATAGGACTGATGCTGTGGGAACATAAACACTGACACACTGTCAGATAAATTTTGTTGCTGTTTATTCTTGGTCAGATCAATGATGCCAAACAGGCAGCTCAGGACACCAAAGACCAGGCCAAAGAGCTGCAGGATCGGATCAACAACAACATAGACTCCTTCGAGAGGGAGAAGAATAAAACCAAGGAGCTCATCCAGCGAGTCAAAGACTACCTGATGGGTTAGTTTGTTTGGTTTTCAGACACAGATTATTAGTGAGCTCAGTAAAATTGAAACTGAGTAAAATTAACAACATAAAGTTCCAGCAGCTCAAGACAGTTTTATACTGATACTGAATTAAAAACACTCAATTGAAATGAAAAAGACAATTATTCATCATATTTCCTTCCTCACAGATGAGATGGTTCCTCCAGAGGACATTGAGAAACTGGCCCGAGCTGTTCTGGACATCCAGCTTCCCCGATCACCCGATCAGATCCGATCAATGATCAATGACATCAATAATCTGCTGTCCAATGCTACCAATTTCCAAGACAACTTAAAGAACCTGGAGGAGCACGCCAAGAATGCCCAGGACCTGTTGCAGAAAGCTCAGGATATCAGGTCAGTGTCTGAAAACATGAAATAACCGTTAGTTCTAAAGAACAAGATTTTAAAGTTTCCACATGTAAGATTCTGACGCTTTTTCCTCGTAACAACGTAGCAAAATACTGTAAGCTTGCTTCATCCGGACTCCAGGGCTGATCTGACTGGCTTGCCGTTTGCTGGTTGCTTTGTTGTCTGGTGCCAACAGCGGATAATTGTTTATTAAGCGTGGCAAACCTTATTTGTTATTCCTTCTTGTTTTTAGGGAGCGCACAAAAAACGTTGATGTAACAGAGATCAAGCAAGACATTTATGAAGCAGAGAAAGCTCAGGACAAAGCCAACGATGATCTGGAAACGGCCAGCAATGACAGAGACATGACAAGAGACAGAGTCCAAGATGTAAGGATCCAGAATATTTCACTTGAGTTTGACCCTGATGGTGTCAGACTACTGATGGAGAGACAGAATCCTGACACTGAGACAGACTACTGACAGTGAGACAGACTCCTGACACTGAGACAGAGTACTGACAGTGAGACAGAGTACTGATGGAGAGACAGACTATTAACACTGAGAGAGACTACTAATGGACCGACAGACTACTGACAGAGAGACAGGCTCCTGACAATGAGACAGACTTAAGACGTAAGGATCCAGAATATTTCACTCAGATAAGTTTGACCCTGATGGTGTCAGTGTGTTTAAATATGTTTCCTGCTTCAGACTAAAGACAAACTGGATGAAATTGAGACAAAGCTGATGAACCGCCAACCTGAAGATCTGCAGGACAAGATTGAAGCCCTGAAGAAGAAAACTGAACTGAACCAAGAAACAGCGGGAGAAGCCCAAGAGACAGCAGAGTCTGCATTAAACAACAGTACTGACACTGAGAAGGTAAGACTACTGACAGTGAGACAAACTACTGAAAGGGAGATTGACTACTGACAGTGAGACAGACTACGGACACTGAGAGAGGCTATTGACACTGAAACAGACTACTGACGGAGAGACAGACTACTGATGGAGAGACAGACTCCTGACAGTGAGACAGACTACGCACACTGAGACAGACTATTGACACTGAAACAGACTACTGACACTGAGACAGAGTACTGGCAGTGAGACAGACTACTGACACTGAGACAGAGTTCTGACAGTGAGACAGACTACGGACATTGAGACAGACTACTGACAGTGAGATAGACTACTGACAGAGAGACAGAGATCCAGATAAGCACAACATAACCACAACATACGCTGTCAATATGAGCCACTCTGAAACAATACAAGTACACCCTACAAACAAAGAAAGAACAACACAGCAAGAACCAGCTCTGTGAAATTGAGGAATCCCTTGAATCCAACCAGTTCTGGGAGAAACGGAACAACCTAAACAAAACCCAGCAGGATGAATTGGCAATCCAAGATGGAAATACTTGGATTAATCACTTTAGTGAATTATACAGTAATATTACAAAAAATGATGATCAGTACAAGATATTCACGAAATGGAAAACTCTGGAGGCGGTGATAAAAAACAACCAAAACGCTCTAGATTACCCAGTAACAGAACAATAATTAACAGAAGTCATCCAGTCCCTGAAAGGAAAAAAGGCTTGTGGTATTGATGGAATCCTCAACGAAATGATCAAATACTCAGACCATAAAATCAGATTGGCTATACTAAAACTATTCAATACTATTCTGTCAACTGGAGCTTTTCCAGACATCTGGAACAAAGGTTTAATAACCCCAATTCATAAGTTCGGAAATAAATATGATCCAAATAACTACAGAGGAATATGTGTCTCCAGTAACCTGGGAAAAATATTCTGCAACATCATTAATAAACGACTTGTCAACTTTCTTGATGACCACAATATTCTGCATAAATGCCAAATTGGTTTCTTGCCAAATTGCCGCACAACGGACCATATATTTACCCTCCAGACTTTAACTGATCAAGAATTAAAAATTATGAAAAGAAAGGTATATGCATGTTTCGTTCCAAAAAAGCCTTTGATTCCATCTGGCACGAGGGCCTTTTCTATAGGCTATTTGAAAGTGGCATTGGAGGAAAAACGGTAACACTTTATAATGAGTACACACTATTAAGCATTAGCTAAGCATGAATAAATAATGAAATCATCATTTATAACGCATGAATATACATTAGTATGTAGTTTATAAACAGTTAAAAAAAAATTATTCATCATTGATAAGCACATTAGTTATGGATTAGTAAATACTGAATTCATCATTTATAAAGCATGATTCTGCTGTAAATAGTCATTACTATGTGGTTTATAATCACAGTCATAAATGTTTTACTCTTCATTGTACTGTACATTTCTGCATGCACTTGCACATCCACTATTCAGACATGTATTAATGATTAGTGACTGTGTTAGCAGATGTTCTATAAAAACTCACAAATTCATTTTCTAATGATGGCCTATAAACAGTTATTAATGCAGGAATTCATGAATTGAGTCAGTTACAAAGCACTTACTACTCGTTAATTAAGTATTTTGCACGAGCACATCTAAAGTGAGCACTATCTATGGCTTATTAAGCATTTACAAATGAGATATAAAGGCTGACAATGCCTCAAGACTCACAAAATGTTCAGTTATCTTAACAGACGAAGGAGAGACACAACACAAAGGGATATAGAACATATTGTATTGATATTTATTGCAACTTCCCAACATATTGTATGAAGACGAACAATGGTGGTTTATGAAGACATGCTATTGTTTTGATCTTATCTGTTTGGGACATGTACGTTGAGCTTGCAATCCCGCTCTCAGCATGTCATCAACGTGATGACGGTGGGAGGCGGGATGTTACGTCATATTTACGTTAACTCTCAGAAGTTTCTGACAGTGCAGCCAAGGGGAGCATGGAGAAGCACATTTGAGTCAGTGGCCGTCAGTGGCAATAGTGGTGAGTATGTGTCTTTGTTTGGTAGCACACATTATGGTTGAAAGCTAACGTTAGCTTGTCAGCAGCTGCAGGTGTTTGCCCTCGCTCCCCGACTAACGTTACTAACATTACCAACCTGCCCGCGGTGGCTAAGCCGTCCTGCCGCTGCTAGGCACTCACCTCGCCCGGCTAGACTAGGTCGGCTTCTGCTGACAAGCTAACGTTAAGAACAAGGCTTTCAAACGTTAGAAATTGGTCTATAGTTGGCTAAAACCCCTGGGTCAAGAGTGGGCTTTTTAAGAAGGGGTTTAATTACAGCTACTTTAAAGGACTGTGGTACATATCCTGATAATAAAGAAAGATTAATCATATCCAGTAAAGAAGTGCCAATTAAGGGAACAACTTCTTTGAAGTTAACTGATGAAGATCGATAGCAGAAAAACTGTCTAAATATATATCTAAGTTTACATTGCCAGAAGTCCCTGAACTTGGAGAGCCACTGATAACTGTTGATGGCAGTTGGTGATTAATTTTCTCTCTAATAGTAATAATTTTATTATAGAAGAAGCTTATGAAGTCATTGCTACTTAAGGTTATGGGGATATGTGGCTCAATAGAGCTGTGACTCTCTGTCAGCCTGGCTACAGTGCTGAAGAGGAACCTAGGGTTATTCTTATTTTCTTCTATTAGTGCTGAGTAATGGGCTCCTCTGGCATTACGGAGGGCCTTTCTATAAGTTTTAAGATTATCTTGCCAATTTGAGCGATATTCTGATAATTTGGAAGAGCGCCATTTCCTTTCAGATTTCCTAGCTATTTGTTTTAATTGGCGGGTTTGGTGGTTATACCAAGGTGCTAGTCTCCTATGTTTTAATAATTTCCTTTTTATAGGAGCGATAGAGTCTAATGTTGATCGTAGTGAGCCTGTAGCACTATCGACAAGATTATCAATTTCAGAGGGACTAAAGTTATTATAGGACTCTGTTATATTCAGACATGGCATTGAATTAAACACTTAAGGAATCTCCTCCTTAAATTTAGCTACAGCACTGTCAGATAGACATCTGCTGTAGGAAGTTTTGCCTAATGGCTTATAATCTAATAATATGAATTCAAAAGTTATTAAATAATGGTCAGATAGGAAAGGATTATGTGGGAAGACTATTAAATGTTCAATATCAATGCCATATGATAAAACAAGGTCAAGAGTGTGATTAAAACAATGAGTTGGTTTATTTACACTCTGACAGAAGCCAATTGAGTCTATTAATGATATAAATGCATTACTAAGGCTGTCATTGTTAACATCCACATGAATATTAAAATCACCTACAATAATTACTTTATCTGATTTAAGGACTAAACTTGATAAAAACTCTGAGAATTCAGATATAAAATCAGAGTATGGTCTAGGAGCGCGGTACACTATAACAAATAGAACTGGCTGCAGTGTTTTCCAGTTTGGGTGAGAAAGACTAAGAACAAGGCTTTCAAATGAATTATAATTTAGTTTAGGTTTAGGGTCCATTAAAACACTTGAATCATATATGGCTGCTACTCCACCTCCTCGGCCAGTGCCTCGAGGAATGTGAGTATTAATATGACTGGGGGGGTGGATTCATTTAGGCTAACATACTCCTCGTGGGACAACCAGGTCTCAGTAAGACAAAGTAAATCAATATCATAATCTGATATTAATTCATTCACTAAAACAGCTTTAGAGGACAGAGACCTGATATTTAACAGCCCACATTTCATTCTCTTATTTTGTGCTACTGAGGAGTTAGTTTTAATTTTTATTAGATTTTTATGTTGAACTCCTCTTTTTCTCCGTTTTTATTTCTTTAAATAATTTAGGTGGTCGGGGGACAGACACAGTCTCTATGGGGTTTTGGGTGGGTGACTGTTCTAAAGAAAGCGCAGAGAAGTGTGTAAGACAGTAGCTCAGCTACCTGGTCCCAACTCTGGACTGAGGTTTTAGAAATAAACTTTTCTAATATTTATTCTATTTCTAATATTTCTAGATAAGAGAGCCGCTCCATCCAAAGTGGAATGGATGCCGTCTCTCCTAATCAGACCAGGTTTTCCCTAAAAAGGCTTCCAGTTATCAATGAAGCCCACATCGTTTTCTGGACACCACCTCGACAACCAGCGATGGAATGACGACATGCGGCTATACATGTCATCACTGGTCATATTGGGCAGGGGTCCAGAGAAAACTACGGAGTCCGACATAGTTTTAGCATAGTTCCAGAGGGTGGGCACTCTCCCTAGCTGCAGGCTTAGGTTGAAGATCCGTTGTAGTGGTTCCCCCAGTTCTGCAGCACAGGTCTTCACACTTTGTCCAGGCCTGCTGCTTTCCTGGGCTGGAGCTTCCTCAGCTGTCCTCTGACCTGGTCTGTGGTGATGTGAGGCAGGGATTGTGTTGAGGTGGGGGAGGAGGAGGGGGGTGTTGTGGTGTCAGGGGGGAGGTGTGTAGAGGGAAGGAGAGATGGCTGTGTTGAGGGTGGGGGTTGGGGGGACAAGGGCTGGTTAAACCTGTTGAAGAAGTCATTCAGCTCGTTCGCCTCTCTGTATGCATCCCTCACATTAGCATACAGGAGATCAATTGTCCTGTTGTTTCTGGTGGGACAGTCTACAACCTTGTGAAAAACAGCCAAAGTAGAATCCAAAGTTTCATGATTAAAGTCCCCAGAGATGATCATAAATGCCTCAGGGTGCTGTGTCTACAGCCTTGCCTTGACGGAGTGGATCTTCTCACAGGCAGTGGCTGCACCTGGCTGCTCTCGGAGGGATGTAAACAGACGGTGATCACATGTCTGAACTCCCTCTGCGAGATATGTCCTGGGTTACACCAGCGGTTGTTGACATACATGAGTCCCCCACCTTTGCTTTTTCCGCTTGCTTTTGTGTCTCTGTCGGCTCTCACAGCAGTGAATCCCAGCAGGTCCACGTTAGCATCCGGTATGAGGTGGTTTAGCCATGTCTCCGTAAAGATGAACAAGCTGCTCTCACAGTACTTCCGCTGGTTGTTCAGCGCGGACAGCTCGTCGATCTTATTCGGCATTGAGTTCACGTTCCCCATGATTATGGAGGGAATTGATGGCTTGTAGCGCCTCCGATTCTCCTCTAGCTTGGCCTTTAGCTTAGCCCCAGCCTTGCGGCCCCTGGGTCTCCTCCTCAGCTCTGCCGGGATGGGGTGTCGTATCCTGGCTCGTCACTTTGTGCAGCAGTTCTTCTCTTGACTAAGTGAGAAAACTTGGTTGCATTTTAAAGTAATAAATATCCATAGGATATATAAAGCACACAATCTCTTCGCAAGAAGAGTATAAAAAGTAGAAAGAGGTTAAAAATAGGTTAAAAGAGCTAAAAACTGGAGAGCTACTGGAGAGGCAGCCATCTCCTACTTGCCCTATCTGTCTATCAGAAACTCCCCTATTTACTGGGAGAAATGCCCAAATGTCAAATAATTGCAGCAAAATATGTCTCCTCATGCCACGAACTGAGGACAACCAGTGGAAACTCAGACGGATAAATATATAAAATAATTGATTTTTAATTTTTATTTATTTATTTTATAAATTAATTATTTTTTATTTTTTGTCTTTTAATATATGTATATATACACACACGCACAAGTTTACAGTTTTATCTATTTTATGTTAATTTTAATATTTTTTATTTTTTATTTTAACACACATGCTTACTATTTTATTTATTTATTTTATTTTCATATATATTTTCTAACACACACACGCTTACTATTTTATTTATTTATTTTAATTTTTAATATATTATTTTAATTTTCTTTTCTTCTTCTTTGTTATTACTATTATATTGACAACAGACTACTTGTTTTAACTATAGCCTGTTACTGTACTACTGTTTTAATTACATTTTTAGTTGACACAAACTGATTGATTGATTGATTCATTCATTCTTTCATTCATTGTAATTAATTACTTATTGACTGAGATTGATTGATTGTGACTGTGATTGTGATTGAGTCAATCATAGTTACAGTATTACCAACAGAATAGATTATAATTGATTTATTGTAAATATTGTTTTCCTTTATTGTTATTATTTTTAATTCCAAATGCTTGCTTTGGCAACAGTGTTACGTCATGCCAATGAAGCCATTTGAATTGACAGACTACTGACTGTGAGACAGACTACTGACACTGAGACAGACTACGGACACTGAGACAGACTACTCACACTGAGACAGAGTTCTGACAGTGAGACAGACTACTGACAGTGAGACAGACTACTGACGGAGAGACAGAGTACTGACGGAGAGACAGACTCCTGACACTGAGACAGAGTTCTGACAGTGAGACAGACTACGGACACTGAGACAGACTACTCACGCTGAGACAGAGTTCTGACAGTGAGACAGACTACTGACAGTGAGACAGACTACTGACGGAGAGACAGACTCCTGACACTGAGACAGAGTTCTGACACTGAGACAGACTACGGACACTGAGACAGACTACTGACACTGAGACAGACACAGAGAAGGTAACACACTGGAAGTACTACCATTTGTAGTTTTTGTTTGTAGTTAGTGTAGTTCCACCTGTCAGTTCACTAACTGTAGTGCTGTTGCTATGGTTACTACAGACTCCTATTTTGATTGTCTCTAACAGGAGCTGGACGATGTGATGAGGCTATTTGAGGTTCTAAAGCAGAATAAAACAAGTCAGGAGGTACATGGTGAAGCTGGAGAACGACTTAAGAAGATGATGGAGGAGGTAGAGACGATGAAGAGACAGATGGAGGACAAACTCAGACAGATACAAGGTACTAGTAGCACTTGTACTGTTTACTCTAATTTCCCTTTTAAAAGATCATAATTCATTTTTTTCTTGCAGCAGAGACATCAGTAGTACTGCTGCAGTAGTACAGTATATGTTTGTATGTTTGCAGATGTGGAGGAGAAGATCCATCAGCTGATCAGGAGTAAAGAGGAGAAAGCAGCTGAAGTGTCCTTGTTGTTGGAGACGGTGGATTCACTGCGAAAAGAAATCTCAAAACGAGCTGAAGAATCCATCAGCTGTACTACATAAATACAACCCAGTACTACATACTGAAACACAGATCCCCATAAAGAGTACTGAGTACTCTTGTGACCTGTTTGGGGGTCTGGACCTTAATGTCGTTGTTTTTATTGTCAGAAGGGTTAGTGTTAGGGTTAATCTTCACTCAATATAATTATTTTAAATGACTTCCTGTCTAAATCTGAACATTCAAATTTGTATGTTTTCTCTTATTTGTTAAATGTTTTGTTTGCTTCATATATTCCATTATTAAAATGTGGTGTTTTATTGATTGTGTGAAAAATGTTTCATTAAAGGGTTATTGTTCAGGAATAGGGTTATTAGTTAGGATAAGGATGAGGGATGAGGAATATGGTTACTGAGTAAGGATGAGGGGATTAGGTTTTTAAAGTTTAGAGACGATTAAAATCTCCAAAATCTGTTGAATCAGATTGTGTCCACCAGTTTATTGTTGATTCCCTTTGAAACATGTTTCTGACTCACTGACAGTATGTACACCAATTAGTCATAACTTTATGAGCATTGAAAGTAGGGAGTAAAGGCTGGCCTGTGTGGTCCGATCCAACAGACGAGCTACTGTAGCTCAAACTCCTGAAACATTTAATGCTGGTTCTGAGAGAAAGGGGTCAGAACACACAGTGCAGAGCAGTCTGTTGGTCTGGGGCTGCAGAACATTATGACTACCAGGGCGCCCAGGTGGTAAATGATGGTCCCTATAGAGTAAAATAGACCGTAAAGCAGGGTTTTGCTTTAGGCGGGGCTACCTTGTGATTGACAGCTCATTCTCAGTGAGTCCGTCTAGCTCAACGCACCAAGCTAGGCAGTGATGATTAGATATGGATCCAGATTCTGTTGTTGACTATTTCTCTCCTCAAATCTGTTCACAAACACATCTGGAATACCAGATCCTGTGTGACCAGGCGAGCCGCCATTGTTTCCAAACCAAGAGCAGCCAATGAGAGCAGCTCAACTCACTTTTCATGACCTCCGCTGGGTGTTTAGCAGCTGCCAGTTCGGGAGGCAGACACTCTCTCCACATTCAAGAGTAGGCTTAAGACATTCCTCTTTGATAAAGCTTATAGTTAGGGCTGGATCAGGTGAGTCCTGAACCATCCCTTAATTATGCTGCTATAGGCCTAGACTATCGGGGGATTTCCCATGATGCACTGAGCTCCTCTCTTCCTCTCTCTTTCTGCACTCATTCATGTTCCTTTAATGCATGTTACTGACTTCACTTCTTCCCCTGAGTTCTTGTGCTTTCTTGTCTCGCAGGTTCTCGTGGATCCTGGTGGAGCCTCCTGCCATGGTCCCGCTTGACTGCCATTGCTAATATCACTGATATTATTGTTATTATTATTATTACTATTATTATTACTACAGATACTATAATTACTATAATCAGTGCTCATTGTCTCCCATCGTTGTTGTCGTCGTCGTTGTCATCATCTTCTTCATGTTCATCATCATTAGTCACTACTATTAGTGTAGTTGTTGCTACTGTTGTTGCTGTGCACCTCTGTCTCTGTCTCTGTCCTTCTGTCGTTACCTCTGTTCTCTCGCTCTGTCTCTCTCTCTCTCTCTCTCTCACTCCAACTGTTCGAGGCAGACGACCACCGAACAAGAGTTGGGATCTGTCCTAGGTTTCTGCCTCTTAAAAGGAAGTTTTTCATTTCCCCCGTCGCCAAGTGCTTGCTCATGGTGGTACTGTTGGGTCTCTGTAAATAATGTTATAAGGAGTTCGGTCTAGACCTGCTCTATTTGAAAAGTGTCCTGAGATAACTTCTGTTATGAATTGCCGCTATACAAATAAGATTGAATTGAATTTAAGTAAACACCAACATGGAGACGACCATAAAGCCCAACTGGAGAACTGGACAACCAACTGCTCTCAGTGGATTTGTATATTTCCAGAGATTATTGATTGAATCAACTACATATAGGACATAGCTCTAGAGTTTATCCACTGTTTAATGGTTATAGATTATTGATCGAATCAACTACATATAGAACATAGATCTAGAGATTATACACTGTTTAATGAGTAAATATTACACAGATCTAACTTTCAATAAATAAAACATATGTCAAGTTAAAGAGAAAATACTGTGGTTGTACTACTTTCAGCTAGGCTTTTTAACAGGATCAGAGTTTTGACTACAAACTGCTTCATTGTGTGTGTGTGTGTGTGTGTGTGTGTGTGTTAATTTTTGTCCTCACACAGACGAGCTGATCTCTGATTGGCTGGCAACTCGGCTCTGCAGGCCTCCACACGTTCACAGTCATTACCCACAATGCAGCGGGGGACTCAGTCCTGAATAAGTCTTCAGATCTTCAGGTGGGGGGTCGGGAACACACAGACACCTCCTCCTTTGTTGTTCCAGGTGAGGGTTAACTGTGGGGGAGGAGTGTGTGTGTGTGTGTGTGTGTGTCGGGGGGGTGGGGGGGGGGGGGGGTGTCAGGAATGTCTTTTCTCTGTCCTGAGGGGGAGGGGGGGGGGGTTCTTCATTACACAAAGAGAAAAACTATAAAACTACTGCAGAAACTATTGAAAATTAGAATTGTGTTTGTTTGTTGTTGTTGTTATTATAACGTAATCAACTGTGAGTTGCTTCTGAAATGATAAAACACATGAACATATTTAAGTGATATGTGGTCAGAAGTTCACCTCAGGTTTAAAGCAACAGTTTTCCAAAGGAAGTTCTAAATGGAGTTCTGACAGTTAATATATACAACATGGCCAAATGTGTGTGGAGAGCTGCATGTTTAATTTGTGTTTGTTCTTCTCTTTGTTTTGTCTGGGAATGTTAATTAATTCATTTAAAATATCAATTAATTAATAAATATGAATTCCTTGATTGATTATTTCATTTATTTACTCGTCTGCTGTTACTCAAAGATTTCTATTCAGAACAGAAAAGACTATGGAGAGAGTGTCCACATACTTTTGGCCATATAGGGTTCATTGTCTGAAGGAGTCAGACAGGAAGGCCTAAGAGTTTGTTTTCACAATAAAGTTTTCTGTTGTTTTTGTATGTGTGTGTGTGTGTGTGTGAATATATATATATGTTCATTATTTGTTCATTTTGTGTTGTTTGTAATATATTGATATATTGACATAATATATTATCAAAATTTGTCTCTTATTTCTGTTACAATGATATGGTTTTTTTTCAAAAGTGTCTGTGAAGAACTTCAGTAAATATAAAAAAAATATTTATTATGATTTTTTTTATAAAATAATAAATTCATGATGTCCAAAAAACAACGAGGGATTGTTTGTTTGTGATCTTCTTATGAAAAAATTAAATAATTTAAACATAATATACAAATATAATAGACACAAACATTTCTAATGTAATAACGCTTTTCTAGTTGGTTTTTCACATATAAATCTCTTCATTTGTGGATCCATGAACCTGATTTCTCTGTAAAAATAATCTATTTAACAGAATACACATAAACACCCAGGTTTATTTTGAAAGGCAGGCCGGATATGTGGCAGACTGAGGAGGCGGGCTCTCAAGTCTGAGGAGGTCTCCGGGGTCCTGGGGGTCTGGCAGTCTCTGCAGGATTTCAGGAGGTTTAGACGGTTTGAGGGTGTCTGGTTTCTGGAGGTTTTCACAGTCTGAATCTTTGCAGAGTTCTCATACTCTGGAGGTTTCTGGAGGTCTCAGGTTCTGTTGGTTTTTAGGTTTTCGTCTCTGAGAATCAGAATCTGGATGATCAGCATGTTGGAGCTTCAGCAGGCGGTTCTGCTTGGTGAGTTTACTCTGAAAATACAACAGTACTTCATCAGTACTTTATCAGTACTATAACAATACTTAACCAATACTGTGATACTTTATAAGTACTTCAGTACTTTAACAATACTTTATTAATACTGTAACAATACTTTATAAGTACTTCAGTACTTTAACAATACTTTGATTAAAACTGAATCGACCATTCAACCAATAGTTAATCAATCAGTAATTTTGTTGATCCCAACTCTCTCTCAGTCTTTGTTTCCCTTTGAGTAAATCAAACAACTTTTATGGATACAGTGATTCATTGATCAACAGAGAAAATCTTTATCATTAATCTGGTCAATCAATTAATTAGTTACTGATATACTGGTTTATTGATTAAAGGAGGGGCAATGAAATCTATTCAATCAAATCAGATTTTTCTCTTTTTGATGTTTTGGACATTTAAGGAGTCTTAAGATATTTTAGAGACTGATTGATTGATTGTTGTAGAAAATAATGCTTTTTAATTATTCATTAAATCAGAGGTATTGATATGTCCACATGTGCTCTATAGATAAATAAAAACATAAACAAATACAGCATTCCCATTGTTGTTTTTGTTGTTGTTCCGCAGTAGTATCCAAACACACACAAATAAAGAAACCACTGAGTGTTAACATTTGTCAAATTTACAATTAAGCCCAAATAATAAAAATTCTGTCACATTTCTCCTCAATCAAGAACTCTCAAACTCTTCTAAACAAATATAGCTCTAATATCTGGGGAAGCACATTGGTTACAGTTTACTGTGTTTGGTTGCAATCTGTAACTTCACCACTAGATGCCACTAAATCTAAACCTTTAATATGTTTAATGGGTTTAGAAATTATTAATGATAAAACAACTACTCTCAAACTCTTCTAAACAAATATAGCTCTAATATCTGGGCAAGCACATTGGTTACAATTTGCTGTGTTTGTAAAATCTGAGTTTGGTTTCAATCTGTAACTTCACCACTAGATGCCACTAAATCCCCGGACCTTTAATGTGTTTAGAAATGATTAATGATTAAATCAGAAGTGGTGTCGTTATTTACCTGTCAGTCAAATGGGGGCGGGGCTTCAACACCTCATTGTAGTTTTTCTTTTAAAGTCTGATTTTAATTCTGGTTAAGTCAGATTTTCATAATATGAGTCTCTGCTTTTAGCTCTGCAGGTGTTTACCTGTGCTCAGGTGGGCAGGGCCCAGGATGACGTCAGCCTTCCAGAGTTCAGTGACGTGTGCACTGAGGGCAGCTGTTACCCAGCAACAGGAGACCTTCTGATTGGCCGAGCCCACCAACTGTCATCCACCTCCACCTGTGGACTAGGCCAACCCCAACCGTTCTGCATCGTCAGCCACCTGCAGGTAATAAATACTATATAAAGATAAACAACACATAAACAATATAATATACAGGTAAACAACACAGAAACAATATAATACACAGGTAAACAATATATTAAAAATATGATATACAGGTATCCATTCTCTGGGGAAGACATCAGTCTGGTTGGCCTGTTTTTAATTGGTTTAAATCTTAATGACAGAGATGTTTTTGTAAGCACTGAGAATGTTCAGTGCTTTGCCGTTGATATGTCAGAGTTTCTCTTTGAAGCCAATACAGAGACAGTGCTGCTCACTGTAATTTGAAAAAATGATTACTGTAATGCTCTACTTTCTGGTCTCCCCAAAAAGAATATAGCTCAATTACATTTTCTTCAAAACCTTTTCTGGCTGAACCAGACGTGAATTAAACTGTTTAAAGAAGTGATTCTCTAATTAACACACACACAGCAGATTTCAGTCTGAATACCTCCTGCACTGTTTCTGTCCTGCTTCAATTTGATTGAACAGTGTTTAGTCTTTAGTTAAAGTGTGTGTGTGTGTGTGTGTGTCTGTGTGTGTGTGTGTGTGTGTATGTGTGTGTATTACAGTCTGAAGTGTTTCCTGTTTAAATCAGCTCCCTATAAGGGAACGTAGAGCTCTGACAACAGACAGATGTTTGTCCAGATGTTTCTGTGGAGGAAATAAACTGTGGGTGTCCAATCAGGATGAGAGAGTAAACTGAGAATGCTCAGTGTGAAGTTGTTTCTGTAGACAAGGTTGGATATCGGTCAGACAGACAGACTGGTAGCTTTTGTTCTACTGCCAGAACAAACATTAAAGTTGATTTCATCCTATATCTTTACTGAACGGCAGCAGGTGACAACAGGTATACACAGGTCAAAGTGAACAAAGTAAAACTTTAACACAAAGTCCCTGACACCAGAACTTTAAAGGCTCAGAACAGAAAGAAAATCCAAGGTTTCAAATAAAATCTATAATTAATCTGAAGGGAAAGAAACTTATTATAAAGTGAAACAGTCGAAGCTTTAAAGGCTTAAACTTTTTTCTACAAAATGTTGTTTGACTTTAGAACAGGAAGTAAATCAAAGAGATGTAATTCGTGTTGAAAAGTCTGCGGTCAGGAAGTTTCTTCTGATCTCTTCTGAGCTCAAGCAGAGAGGAATGTGAGGAATTCATACCCCCCCCCCACTGTGTCTTATTAACCAGGAAGAGAAGAAGTGTTTTGTATGCGACTCCACGGACCTCTACGACAAGCTGACCGATCAGCCAAGAGGTCATCGTATCGAGAATGTTGTCACAACGTTTGCTCCGAACCGACTGAAGACCTGGTGGCAGTCTGAGAATGGTGAGAACAACCACACACAGGGCAGAGGTCAGTCAGAGGGCAGAGGTTAGAACTCCTCCTCAAACTACAGAGGCAGCAAGATTCACAGTCTGATTAACTTATCACAGATCAGCTGACATTATTTTATTAAACCAAGACTTCTTGTCAGAGTCAAACAGCCCCTTTCACACAAGGTTGTTCCAGGAATTAGACCAGGAACTCAAAGTCTTGCTGAGACCAGTGTTTCTCTATTGGGGGTATGCATACCCCTTGAGGGACTTTTGAGTACTGCAGGGGATGGAAATTCAATAAACCACATTTTATATTCAACATGTTTTAAATGCAATCATTAACTGCAGTAAAACCTCACAGAAGAAGACGAAGAAAAGCACTGATGTTTATTCACTGTGAACGGGAAACCAGTGTCAATATTCAATGACAAAAATTAAGAAAATGGATTTGCGAAAGAAAACAAACTTGCATCAGTATAGGGAAACATCTGTTTTATTAGTCATCTGTTATCTGTTTTTTACAGTCAATAAATCAGAGACTGATTTTCTTTTGTTTTGCCAGACATTTCTTGTGCTGGTTAGGGGAAACCTGGAAAAAATATTTAAAATAGGATAATAAAGGGTTGATGTACTGCTTTAGACTAATTACTGAGTCGTAGACAACCATTTGTGATCCAGAGACATCATAAAGTGATGAAAAGAACAACTAAAACTGGCTGATCTAATACAAACAATATTATAGCTTATTGATTTAATGATGTATCTCCCTGTTTCTCACTGTCTGCAGGTCTGGAGAATGTTACCGTCCAGCTCAACCTGGAGGCTGAGTTTCACTTCACACACCTCATCATGACCTTTAAGGTAAGTTCTACACAGGCACGTTTTTCAGGCATCTATAAGGTGTCAGCAGTTCACACAAAGCAACTGATATGCCTCTGAGCTGTGGGTGTTTGTCTGCGAAAAAACTGTCAGCGAATGTAAAATCAGGACTAAAATCACGTAGTGCTGACTCTGCTGTCTGCTGGTCCAGCCCAAGAAGAAGAACTTGTTTGCTCTCTGTCGTCCTGTGGGATCAACAGAACTGTTCTCTAACACAGTTCTCTCTCCTCAGACGTTTCGACCTGCTGCCATGGTGATTGAGCGGTCGGCTGACTTTGGGAAGACGTGGCAGGTTTATCGCTACTTCGCCTACGACTGCGAGACTTCTTTCCCGTCCGTTTCCAACGGTCCAATGCAGAAGGTCGATGATGTCATCTGTGACTCACGTTACTCTGACATCGAGCCGTCCACTGAAGGAGAGGTACTGCTGACCGCTAGTCTCTGTAATTAATGTTTTAAAGAGTTCGGTCTAGACCTGCTCTATTTGAAAAGTGTCCTGAGATAACTTCTGTTATGAATTGGCGCTATACAAATAAAATTGAATTGAATTGAATTGAATTGAATTGAATTGAAATAGTCTGCTAACCACTGGGTTAAAGGGTAAATGATGTCATAACACATCTGATTCACTGTGATGTCACAGAAGATAATTTGTAATTTTTTTCCCCAGGTGATTTTCAGAGTTCTGGACCCGGCGTTCAGAATCGATGACCCCTACAGCCCCAGAATCCAAAGTATGTCTCCTCGTACCGACCTGGTTATTGACCTTTTATAACTCCTATATGATCAGTTAGGGATATTGATCAACTATTATTTAACTTTAATGACTGCTATACTATGTGTTGGGTTCTTAATCAGTCAGTCACTGATCAGCTGTTATTGATTGTAGACATGTTGAAGATCACCAACCTGCGGGTGAAGTTCACCAAACTGCACACACTTGGTGACAACCTGCTAGACTCTCGGATGGAGATCAAAGAGAAGTATTACTACGCCATCTATGACATGGTTGTCCGAGGGAACTGCTTCTGTTACGGACACGCTTCCGAGTGTGCCCCCATCCAGGGAGCCGGGCAGATCAGGGAGGGCATGGTGAGTCCTGGGGGGAAACGAGGAGTCTTGAAGGGACCAGGTCTCTGAACATTGATTGATTATTGATTATTTTATGATTTTGTGTCTTCAGGTTCATGGTCACTGTATGTGTAACCACAACACTAAAGGTCTGAACTGTGAACAGTGTCAGGACTTCCATCACGACCTTCCCTGGAGACCAGCTGAGGGACGCAACACCAACGCCTGCAAGAGTGAGTCAGTAGTAGTAGTTTTCTCTGGTCTTTACCTCTGTCTCTGCTGGTCCCTTCTGGTTTATACTGATTTATTCTGGCCTCTTCTGGTCTTGATCACTGCTCTGTACTGGTTTCTACTAGTCCCTATGATTGTCTGCTGGTCTCTACTAGAAGACAGCCAGTACAAACCCAGTCCCTACTTGGTTCTAGTGAACTTAGATTAGACCTTTGATCTGATCCTGATCCAACTGTCCCTTCAGTTTGTTTTATAAATTCATAATGAGCAATAATCAATCATCATGACTTGATCTATTGGCTTCTTCTTCTGTGGTGTCTGTAGAGTGCAACTGCAACCAGCACTCGGACTCGTGTCACTTTGATATGGCCGTGTTCGTGGCTTCAGGAAACGTCAGTGGAGGAGTTTGTGACGAGTGTAATCACAACACTGCTGGACACAACTGTGAGCAGTGTAAACCGTTCTACTACCAGCATCCAGAGCGGGACGTTCGAGACCCCAACATCTGCCAACGTGAGTCCACCACTGAGTCCAGACTGTGACCTTTTTTTTTCTGAATGAATCCTCTGTAATGAAGTCTTCCTCCTCAAAGTGAATTTTGTCCTGTGTGTGTTTCTGTAGCCTGTAACTGCGACCCAGTTGGCTCTCTGAATGGAGGAATATGCGACCGGATGACAGACGTTCGAGCCGGTCTGATCGCCGGTCAGTGTCGCTGTAAAGTCAACGTGGAGGGAGAGCGCTGTGAGAGCTGCAAAGAGGCACACTATGGGCTGAGTGACCAGCCTGAAGGCTGCAAGGGTACGACCTGACATGTAACACCTACAACATACACAAATACACTGCGTTGCAGCATGTACACTCACTGTCACTGTGTATTATTACTGTGTTTCAGCATGTACCTGCAGTCCCGTGGGAACAGTTCCGGGAGGAAATCCATGCGACAGTGAAACAGGAAGTTGCTTCTGTAAACGTCTGGTGACTGGACGGGACTGTGACCAGTGTTTGGTAAGAAATTACATTAAAATACATTTACTGTTGTTACACAGCATATGTTTATTGTGTGTGTGTTTATGTGTTTAATCTGTGTGTGTTTATGTGTTTAATCTGTGTGTGTTTATGTGTTTATTGTGTGTGTATACGAGATTTCAGCCTGGATGACTTCCTCTCTCAGCTTTAAATCAGGTTTTTTACAGGACTGAAAATGACTTAATGATGTGTCTCTGACATCTGCTGTGTGTGTGTGTGTGTGTGTGTGTGTGCGTTTTCAGTCTGAACACTGGGGTCTCAGTAATGATATGGACGGCTGCAGGCCATGTGACTGTGACCTGGGAGGAGCCATCAACAACCAGTGAGTTCAGATCCAAATCACAGCTAACTGCTAACAGTTAACAACTAATTGTTAGCATTTAACTGTGTCTTTGTCCTAATAAACAGTTTTAACCAGATCCTAGTTTTCTTGTTTTAAATCTGCAACACAAGAATAAAACAAGATGTAGCTGGAAGTACAAATCACAGGACTGGAGATACAAAATAACATGTAATTCAGATGAATTAGATCAGTTTTTTTCTGTTTCAGTTTTCTTTTTTGGTTTGACATTTTCCACTTCCGTTCTTCCTGCAGGTGTGATCAGGTGAACGGCCAATGCGTCTGCAGAGATCACATGTTTGGTCGACGCTGTGATCAGGTTGAATCGGGATTCTACTTCATCGCTCTGGATCATTACACGTATGAGGCTGAGGATGCGAAGTTTGGACCTGTAAGTCACCCTTTTAACCTTTGTGTGTATGTGAATGAATGAGTAAGACCAAAATAGTGCAGCAACTAAAACTAAAACACTAAAAGAAAGGTGAGGTGGCACTGGTGAGGGGTGTCACAGGGGATATTGTCAGGACTGCTCCTTAGTCTGTTGAAGCGCAGTAGAACTCATTAAGCTCGTTTGCCAGGCGCAAGTCATTTATGGAGTGGGGGTTTTAGGATTGTAGTTGGTTATCTGTCTGAGCCCCTTCCAGACAGAACCAGAGTCATTGGCTGAGAATTTATGTTGAAGTTTCTCAGAGTATTGTCGTTTAGCTTCTCTCACCGCCTTGCTAAACTTGTACTTTGACTCCTTAAACCTTTCCCTGTCCCCACTCCTGAACGCTTGCTCCTTCTGCAACTGTAAAGCGCCCAGTATACTCGACGCACTCGAGCTGTCGTGCGACAACGTGACATTAAAATGACGTAGATCTCGCTGGCGCGCCAGGATTTTATCCCGGTCACGCCGTGTCGCGCACCACTTTTTTTTTTCAGCTGCGTGCGACAAACCGGAAACAGGAAGATGGACAATCTGTACGATCCTTCAATAAAGGAGCACAGAGTTGCCGGAATTCATGGCGAGAAATCGCCATGAATGTTGGAATTGAGGAGGACATATGCTGGAATATTTGGAAGAACCTCCGCGACCGATTTGGAAAGAAGAAAAAAAAAAAATACTTTTTCTTCTTCTAGTGCGTAGAAATAGCAAACTCGGTAGCCTTTCCTCACTAGCGACACCTCTGTTCAGGAGAAGACTGCAACAAGTGCCGCGACCACCACGCGCAAGTATAGATAGTCACGGTGATCCCGTGACGTCACGTTGTCGCGCGACAGTTGGTCTGCGTCGAGTATACCGGACGCTTAACTGTCTGAGTTTGGCTGTGAACCAGGGTTTGTCATTGTTATAACTCACCCTGGTGCGTGAAGGTCCAAACACGCCTGGAGATCCTCCGCAGCTTCACTGGTCCGGATTCAGATTTGAAACCTTAGTGAAATGTTTTTACCACAATATCTAGAAATAGAGAACAAACATTTCAGCTGATGTACTGTGTAACACTACTGTACTAGCTAATCAATCAGCACTGACCAGTTATATTAGTAATAATTAATAAATTCATGTTTGTCTCTACTGTTGAACAGCAGCTGATAATTGAACTTCTTCCTCATTTCAATTCAATTCAATTCAATTTTATTTGTATAGCGCCAATTCATAACAGAAGTTATCTCAGGACACTTTTCAAATAGAGCAGGTCTAGACCGAACTCTTTAACATTAATTACAGAGACCCAACAGTACCACCATGAGCAAGCACTTGGCGACAAGGGCAAGGAAAAACTGCCTGTTAAAAGGCAGAAACCTAGGACAGATCCTCCGGCTCTAGGTGGGTGGTCGTCTGTCTCGACCAGTTGGGGTGAGAGAGAGAGAGAGAGAGAGGAGGCTCCACCAGGATCAATAAGAACCTGCGAGACGAGAAAGCACAAGAACTCCGGGGAAGAAGTGAAGTTAGTAACATGCATAAATGGAACATGAATGAGTGCAGAAAGAGAGAGGAAGGGAGGAGCTCAGTGCACCATGGGAAATCCCCCGATAGTCTAGGCCTATAGCAGCATAACTAAGGGATGGTTCAGGACTCACCTGATCCAGCCCTAACTATAAGCTTTATCAAAGAGGAATGTCTTAAGCCTACTCTTGAATGTGGTGAGGATGTCTGCCTCCCGAACCACAACTGGAAGCTGGTTCCACAGGAGAGGAGCTTGGTAACTGAAGGCTCTGGCTCCTGTTCTACTTTTAGAGACTATAGGAACCACAAGTAGCCCAGCATTCAGAGAACGTAGTGTTCTAGAGGGGTAATAGGGTACTATGAGCTCTTTAAGATATGAAGGGGCCTGACCATGAAGAGCTTTATAGGTGAGGAGGAGGATTTTAAATTCAATTCTACATTTTACAGGGAGCCAATGCAGAGAAGCTAGTACAGGAGAGATGTGATCTCTTTTTCTAGTTCCTGTCAGTACTCATGTTGCAGCGTTCTGAATTAATTGGAGCGTTTTAATGGACTTATTGGGGCAACCTGATAATAAAGAGTTGCAGTAATCCAGCCTTGAAGTAACAAATGCATGGATTAGTTTTTCTGCATCTGTCTGTGATAGGATGTGTCTAATTTTTCTAATATTACGTAAATGAAAGAAGGCGGTCCTAGAGGTCTGCTTTATGTGGGAGTTAAATGATAAATCCTGATCAAAGATAACTCCAAGATTCCTGACAGTGGTGCTAGAGGCCAAGTTAATGCCATCTAAAGTAACTATATCTTTAGACAGTGAGTCTCTAAGGTTTTTGGGGCCAAGAACAAGAATTTCGTTTTTTTCTGAGTTTAACATCAGAAAATTGCAGGTCATCCAGGATTTTATGTCCGTAAGACATGTTTGTAATTTAGATAATTGATTAATTTCATTGGGTTTGATTGATAGATATAACTGTGTATCATCTGCATAACAGTGAAAGTTAATGGAGTGATTCCTAATAATGTTGCCTAAAGGGAGCATATATAAAGTAAATAGTATTGGTCCAAGTACAGAACCTTGTGGAACTCCATGACTAACTGTAGTATTTATTGAAGATTCATCGTTAACATGTACAAACTGCGAGCGATCTGATAAATATGACTTAAACCAGCTTAGTGCGGTTCCTTTAATGCCAATTTGATGCTCAAGTCTCTCTAAAAGAATATTATGGTCAATGGTGTCAAATGCAGCACTAAGATCTAATAATACAAGTACAGAGACAAGTCCATTGTCAGAAGCAGTCAGAAGGTCATTATTAACTTTAACCAGAGCTGTCTCTGTGCTATGATGAACTCTAAATCGTGACTGAAAATCCTCAAATAAACTATTGTTATGTGGAAATTCACACAACTCTTTGGCGACTACTTTCTCCAGAATCTTAGAGAGGAAGGGGAGGTTAGAAATCGGTCTATAGTTGGCTAAAACCCCTGGGTCCAGAGTGGACTTTTTTTATTTCAGAGACATTGCTGTAAAAGTAACGTTACACAGAAAGTAAGGAGAAAAGCAGAAAACTGTTCTTCTGAGGACAGCTTGCATGGATGATTGAGACTAGTTTACTTTAGGTACTTCTTGAGATTTGTGTATACGCAGAAGCAGAACTGAGATGTGATCAGAATTTGCTGAAGAGGGATAAGAAAGAGCCTTATATATTTCCCAGAAGGGAGTGTAAACATGGTCAAGTGTGTTACCACCACGTGTAGATGGCTGATTGCTGGTGATGTTGCAGCAGGACTTTGCTTTAGGTTGCCATTGTTCCATCTACCACAGAGCAACCAGGTCTACATCCAGACATCTTTTATTAATTTAAAGTTTGTTCTAAACTTCAAAAAGACAAAATGTTTACATTTCATGACTTTTCTTCTTGTCCTGGTGAAAATGGTTGTACAGATTTCTTCACTGTTTTGTTGTTCAATTATTTGAACCATGAAAATAGAAGACAAAGAGCACAAAGGATGTTTCATTGGTCTTCTTGTTTCTTTAGGGAGTGACGGTGGTCCCAAGGCCCCACCCTCTTGACCGTAGTCCCACCTGGACAGGTATTGGTCTGGTCAATGTCCCAGAGGGGGCCTTTCTGGAGTTCTCTTTGGACAACATCCCCCACTCCATGGAGTATGACATTATCATCCGCTACGAACCTCAGGTAGGATTGCTGTCAGCAAGGTGTAGCTCCGCTCAAACCATGTGATTGGATGCTGTTGAGATACATTAACAGGCAACATTCTGCAACCCCAGAGTGTATTCCTAACACCTTACAGAAAATGCACACAGTCTGTACATTTGCTGCTTTTTCACAAATCTAACAAATACACAAAATACAAAAGTTTTATCTGTTTCTCCAGCCAATTTATAGGCAGTCCAGTAATAATAATAATAATAATAATAATAATAAAACATTTGTGTGTAGAAGTAAATTAATAGAGAGAACAAGATAAGTAATAATTCTAAAATGTTAACATTTAAAGTTTAAGTTCTGTTTGTTTGTCCTGCAGCTGCCTGACCAATGGGAGGAGGTCCTGATGACAGTGATGAGACCCGGACCAATCAGAGCAGACAGTCGCTGTGTCAACACTGTGCCCGACGACGACAACCAGATGATCTCACTTCACCCTGGCTCACGGTTAGATTCAACAATTAACAATTTTACTCAAAAAATATAATAAGTGTAAGTTGATTTCAGGTTCAATAGAGACAGTTTTGGAGGAAAAAGGAGATTGTTTACGATGACGAGATTTATTCTGTTGTATATATTTATTCCCTATATTCAAATATGGTGTAAAAATTTACATCTTTACACAGATGTTATACAGATTTATTTTCCATAAAGATGTACATTTTTACACCATATTTTGACAGCTCTCACTATCATAATTTAAAGCTTCTGCATGTAACTGTTATTAAACTGTTGCTAACAGCGCCACCAGTGGCTGTTCAGTGAACTGCAGTCAGTATCCTGTTGCATCATCCTGGGTGCCAGCCAACAGTGACAAACACTGAATGCTGTAAAATAACTGACAGTCATATTTAAAATAACGGTACTATTTGCAATGTTCCTATATTTTATTTGGACCATTAGTTCCATGCTACTAACTAGCTCGCTGTTTACAAATCACCCCATCACCCAAAACCACGAGGAAGACAACCTCAGTTTAGTTTCAGTTAGCCTGCTGGATGCCCATGCCTTGCATCGCTCTTGGCTAGAAAGCTAATGTCATTAATTGTCGGCTAAAATCAACACATTTTGTCAGAAAACATAAGTTAGTATCATGGATCATGTTAGCTGGGGGACAAACTAATTTTCATAGCAATAATGTTAGCAAGAAAGCTTACATTATAAAATGAAATAAAACAAATAAAATTGAAAATTGAACATTAGACAACTAACATATCCACTCAGATAGCTAAGCTTAGCCAGCCAGCTGCAGCTTGTTAGACCTGTTTGTAGATGTTTGCAGACTCCATTTATAAGCTAACGTTAGCTAGTGTTGCACACCTTTGACACTGTAGGGAAGAGAGAGAGAGAAGGTACTTGGAGCATAAGCGTTTATAAGCTTTTATTGATTGTATTATTGAGCAGCTCCACTTATGTCCTCTAGAAATTATTGTAGTTGTCTTTGGTCATGTGCTTTCAACTGTGAATTTCTGTGTGAGTGAAATTGTTTTCTTGTTTCCTGACTATCACCTCAGGTACGTGGTTCTTCCTAGACCAGTTTGTTTTGAATCTGGTCTGAACTACACAATTCGTCTCAGTCTGCCGCTGTACTCGACCCTCAGTGACGTCCAGTCTCCATACACACTCATTGACTCGGTGAGGAACCTCTGATCTGATCTTCAAACACATAGAATATGAAAAAACTACAGCTAACCTTGGTGCAGATTATTCTCTCAATCAATCATATGAGGTCTAAAATGATCCAAAATGGTCATTATAGTCCATTATAGTGACGTCTTTAAATATCTTGTCCAATGACTAAAGATATTCCGTCATGGTTTTCTTTGTCCTCAGATTGTGTTGATGCCTCACTGTAAGAACCTAGAGATCTTCACAGCCTCAGAGGGAGGAGACTCCATCGGGAACAGTGGTTGGGAAACTTTCCAGCGCTATCGTTGTCTTGAGAACAGCCAGGGCGTCATCAAATCTCAGATGACTGACATCTGTCAAAACTTCATCTTTAGCATCTCCGCCATGTTGCACCAGGGAGCTAAAGGTACACCAGTCCACATTCACAATCTCCCACTGCGTGTCCAAGATTTGTTCCAACCAGTACTTTATTTTATATTCTGTGACTAAGGTGTGCCATATGAGCTCTGACCAACTGGTTGAAATGTCTGGAAAAACTTCCAAATTTTAGTGATTTTCTCTGCGGTACCAACAACATCCAGAGGATGAAGCTTTGATCACTGTATGAAACCAGAGAAAAGTTTCAGAAGAAGAAGATAAACAGACTCCTGAAGAATCTGCTCAGCTCTGACCTTTGAACTCTTTGGAATGAAAACAGAAAGGAGGAATTACCCTCAGGGTAAAATAAAACCTAGTTCTGTCTCACACATATACCCAATTTCCACCTATGTGAACCTAGTGCTAGTTCTGGGCTGCTGCTAGTGCTTATTCAGAGTTGGTTTAACCTGAGAATGGGCTTCCATGGGCTAGAGAGCCACTATAGAGCCACGCCATTATGTTACTGTGTACGTCTCCAAAGTTAGCGTAAATTATTCTGTAATAATACTATAAATTTCCATACAGTCACAGTGAAGGTGAACCAGAGCATTAATATGTTTACCTTCATTAAATCACCTGAAATCAATTGCATACTGCTACAGGAAAACCGTACATAGCTCCACACACATCAGACTGGTCGCTTATAAGTCGATATTTTCATGAAGGAGACATCCAGTTCATCAGAGCCTCTTTTCCAACTTTCTTGTTAGAAAAAGCAGTGTCTTGTGATTAATCCTCAAAACACACTGTAGTGAAAATGCTGTTGTGTATCATTAATTACTATGTGACCATACGAGTCTAGAGACATTAATATTATAAATATTGATGGAATTTTTGAAATTCTGTTGTTATTATTGTAACTAGCTGATGGAAGATCATACGGCATCTGTCTTTGGCTGCAGATTTGTGGTGTTGTGTTCACATTGTAATGCTCTGAACCAGCCAGATATTTCCAGATGTAAAGCTTTTGGTTTGCTGAGCGGGCATTATCACGTTTATCTGTGATAGAAAAGGCAATGAGATCAGTGATGTGACTGTCAGAGAGAGTATTTAATAATCATCACACGCTGATTATTTATATTCACCTTCAGCGAGCTCTTTTGAACGTTGCCCTGCTGCACATACATGACAGGATAAAAGACCTTGCACCTTGCTCTTTGTATTTATTGTTCACAGGGTGCAAAATATTAAACCGGCAGAATGAACATAACTACATATAAAAAATAATACTAATATTAGGCTGCAAGCAGAGATAACCGGGCACTTGCACTCCACGCAACTTGGGGTGTGCTGCGGCCGCGTCACGTGCTGGTGTAACACGTGCGGACCATAGCATGAAAACTTCACGTAAATCAGATCAGAATTGCCACACAACGCTTACTTCCTGTTGCCAGTAGGTGGCGCTATCTTTATATCTGAATATTGTCATGTAGACATGTTCAGGTGTCACTGAGAGTGAACCATGTAAGCTGAAGTTATGAGGACATGTTCAGAGTGGGACTGTTAAAGAATATGTGAAGTTTAGTGGAGATTGGACATTGTACACTGAAGTTGATTACTATCTGTTTTTTGGTGAATCATTGAAATTTGATGACATGCCATGGACACGCCTTTCACATACAGTCACAAATAGCACAACGTTTTATCTGCAGTTTGTTTTGATTGTACTGACCAATTTTGAAAATTATCCAATATATTCCCCAGGAAGAGTTCGTTCAAATAAAGCGCAAAAAAAGCCCAAAAATTACCGCAAAATTCAGAACGGGCGACTTCAACCCCACACTACTAATTTATTTTTATTTTTTGGGGCTTTTATTGCCTTTATTTGATAGAACAGCTGAAGACAGAGAGTAAAGGGGGGCAGAGAGAGAGGGGATGACACGCAGCGAGCCCCGGTACATGGGTCGCCAGCGCTACCCACTGAGCTAACAGGGTGCCACACTAATAGTTAACTAACTATCACTATTAACCCTTTAGGCGCCAGGTTTTATTTTTAAAAATACTAGATTTTGACATCTAAGTTTCAGGAGGCTCTGGCTTGAAAGTGGTTTGAGATAGAGACAAAGTGTAAATGAGACAAATATTGAGAATGACCTAAAGTTTATCTAGGGAGTATATTTCCCCATCTAATTTGCATATTATGACATCATATGGCGACGGCCATATTGAATTGTATAATTTCCATGAAATACCTGATATTTTGAAAGAGAGTTGAACTTATTTCATCAGATTCACTCCCCTCCATCCATTTGTTATGTTGTCCACATATCAAATGAACAGGTAAAAGTAAATTGTAAGCCAACAGTTGTAAACTAGAACTATTACTACCACAAAACTCATGTAAACAGTAGGCGTTTTTTATGATTTTTATACCCACCACCACCCCCCCTATTGGAGGACACTTTTTCTTTTCTTTTTTATTCTCTTCTGATAATAATAATAACAGTAGGCGTCTTTTAGCTGCAGAGGCCTAATCTGTGCCCATCTTTCCAGATAAAAGTTTGTAGTATTTGTAGAGTGTGGAACCTCTCATTGCAAGGCACAGTACAGAGACAATATGAACAATATTGAGACCCCACCACATAGCCTAACAAATGGACAGGCACACTACTGCCGCATCGGATGGCTGCGCCACTGCCGCGCATGGACGGGTAGAAAGAGTGAACACTAACGCTGGTCCCAGCGCTATTCTCACCACCCCCGCTACTTCTACCACATCCATTAGCTCCCTTACTGATACTACGAGTTTGTGTTGTACTCCCACCTATGTTGGGCAAAGGGTTGTGTGTCTGTGCTTGTGTGCTTCCCTTGCTCTGCCCGGCAGCGCCGGTGCACAGACGCACTGTGACTATCACTCTCACTAATCGACCGGCCGTCATCTCCCAAAGGTAGATTTTCCCCTTCAGAATCAGAGTCAGCGAATAGGAGACCCATCACTTCCCTAATCGTCAACTTTTTGCTTGCCATTTTCATTTATTTCGTCTCAATAACTCCTAAATCCAGCAATACTGCTTCAGCATAAATAGCGCCCTGGCACACTATTTGCGGTTTCTCACCCAACAGTTTGGATGGGACTTCGTCGAACATTTTGCATTGAAACATGACGTTTTTCTGAGCTAAGGTCTAAGTACAGGATGTCTGCCAACTAGTGGAGGGGAGTATGAACGACATATAACACTCTATTAGGAGAAAACAGCTGTTTGATTCAGTACCACGTCCTGTCGCAATTTTGCGACTTTGGCACTTAAAGGGTTAACCTCTCAGGCTCCTGCAGAGAAAGGCAGTAAAACGACAACACTATAACGACAACTTTCCCTTAAAGTATATGTAGTCGAAGTTGTTATGAATTGTTTGTAAGCCAAGCGTAACAAAAATATTCTGGATAAATGAAATGAGGAATTAGAAAAAAATGTCCACTCCAATGTACATATGAGCTCTCCCGCTCACTCCCATGCACCGCGCATGCGCGAGGAAACATAAAATACATACCTGACCGTATGGCCGTGCCAGCACACAAGCATGCAGACAACCGGGGAGAACCCATACTCTACTACTATACAAAAACTAAACATATCAAACACTGTAATGAGTCATAAGATACTCATATTGATCGTTAACTATCTGAAACAGCATAGGATGTGATCATCCCAGGTTGGATAAAAGTACAGTCAATTATCTGGCTCCATTGTTGGGATGACTTCTATCTTCACATAGTCGATAGCTTCAGTAGCATCCAAAAACTCCTTTTCCTCATTGTTGGGAAATGCAAAATCTAGCAGGAAAGAATATTCCAAAGCGGACACCCGGTCTCGCCCGCAGCATCTTCCTGATATCTGTGAAAGCCGCTCTTGCTTTGGCGACATTGGCCGTGTTGGCCGCATATTTTCATTGTATTGGAGTCTGCCGCCTCGTTCACCTCTCTGCACCAGGCGTGAGTGCTCAACTATATTTCCAAAGATTTGATGCCATCAACTTTGCTTGGACTCACTTTGTGTCCTCCTTCAATGAACTAAAGAAGTTCTTGCAGGGTGTTAAATGTAATTTGTAAGTTGGATGTTGTTTAATTATGGAATTATAAACTACTCCATCAGTCGCTCGCTAACGCCCCCCTACTGACAAATCTGAAGTTGATCCGATCAATTTCCTTGGAGGAGTTGTTCAAATACAGCACGAAAAAATCGCTAAAATTGACCATGGAATTCAAAATGGCTGTCTTCATATTGGGTTTGGGTTATGGGTCCAAGAGGCCTTTTTTGTTCTCTGATAAGGATACACATGCGTGCCAATTTTCATACATGTCGGTTGTACATATCTTATGGGTTGATTCTGGGGGGCGTGGCTAAGCCATTTTGCGATGCCTATCTACAGGACAAGACAATACCTTAGCCTTCGCCACGACTGAATTTTGTGCAAAGTTTCATGTGGTTTCGGGCATGTTTAGCCCCCCAAAAAGTGTTCAAATGTTAACAGAAAAGCTGATTTTTGCCACGTCGCCATGGCAACATGGTTCTACGCAAATTCTTAAGATTCATAATATGTCATCATTATCGTCCTAAGGAACCTCTGACAGAATTTCAGCTGGATCTGGTCAACCTGCTGAAAGATATAAATAAAAGTATAGAAATGACACTTCCTTTCACCACTAGGTGGCGCTCTCAGTATTAGTTAATATTATCACATAGAAGTGTTTAGGGCAGGACCCTAATCATACATGTGAAGTTTGGAGCAGAATGGACAATGTACACTCAAGTTATACTAACTTCATGTGTTCTGGTGGTATTTTGACGCCACGCCACAGACACACCCTTTAACAAACTGTCCCCACAACCATGAAATATCATCAGCAACATGTTTTGCATTTCCTGACTAAATTTCAGCTAGATCTAATCATCCTGCTAGAAGTGGAACATGGAAGTATGAAAAATTACATTGCCTCTCACCACTAGGTGGTGCTCGCACTATTACTAAATATTATCACATAGACGTGTTCAGGCAGGACTCTTATCAAACATGTGAAGTTTCGTTGAGATCGGATCATGTGCGCAGAAGTTGTGACAAATCCCTCTTTCATGGCGAGTCGTTGAAATTCCACGCCATGGACACACCGTTAGACGGAATATCGTAAATAGCACAACTTTCAATCGTGAATGTCTTTAGATGGCTGTGTCCAAATCTGAAGTTCATCCGATCAATTCCCTAGGAGGAGTTCGTTCAAATACAACGTGTGCAAATCCCCAGAAATGGCCGCTAAATCTGGATTTTTTTCATCTGGATAAGATCTATGCGTGTGCCAATTTTTATGCATATTGGTGAAAGGGGTGTTACAGTTTATAGGCCCCTGAGGGGCCATTTTGCTATGATCATAGTGGACCCCTAGAAAATACTAAATTTTTCGCCACAACTGACGTGTGCCACGTTCCATGAGTTTTCGAGCATGGGAAAGCCTCCAAATATTCATTCGTTTGGGAGGGAAAAGAAAAAGAAGAATTCCTTCAATTATAATAGGGCCTTCGCATGGTCAGTGATCGGGCCCTAAAAATAAAAAAAGTGGGGCACTTGCATCCTTAAAATTAAGACAAACAGAAAACCATAAAACATGAATCGTAAAAATGTTTTTTGAATTTTTTGATAAGAATATTAATTCAATTCAATTCAATTCAATTTTATTTGTATAGCGCCAATTCATAACAGAAGTTATCTCAGGACACTTTTCAAATAGAGCAGGTCTAGACCGAACTCTTTAAAACATTAATTACAGAGACCCAACAGTACCACCATGAGCAAGCACTTGGCGACAAGGGCAAGGAAAAACTGCCTGTTAAAAGGCAGAAACCTAGGACAGATCCTCCGGCTCTAGGTGGGTGGTCGTCTGTCTCGACCAGTTGGGGTGAGAGAGAGAGAGAGAGAGAGAGAGAGAGAGAGAGAGAGAGCGACAGACAGACAGACAGGTGCACAGCAACAACAGTATTGGCAATGGCAGTCAAGCAGGACCATGGCAGGAGGCTCCACCAGGATCCATGAGAACCTGCGAGACGAGAAAGCACAAGAACTCCGGGGAAGAAGTGGAGTTAGTAACATGCATTAAAGGGACATAAATGAGTGCAGAAAGAGAGAGGAAGAGAGTAGCTCAGTGCACCATGGGAAATCCCCCGATAGTCTAGGCCTATAGCAGCATAACTAAGGGATGGTTCAGGACTCACCTGATCCAGCCCTAACTATAAGCTTTATCAAAGAGGAATGTCTTAAGCCTACTCTTAAATGTGGTGAGGGTGTCTGCCTCCCGAACCACAACTGGAAGCTGGTTCCACAGGAGAGGAGCTTGGTAACTGAATGCTCTGGCTCCTGTTCTACTATTAGAGACTATAGGAACCACAAGTAGCCCAGCATTCAGAGAACGTAGTGTTCTAGTGGGGTAATAGGGTACTATGAGCTCTTTAAGATATGAAGGGGCCTGACCATGAAGAGCTTTATAGGTGAGGAGGAGGATTTTAAATTCAATTCTACATTTTATAGGGAGCCAATGCAGAGTAGCTAGTACAGGAGAGATGTGATCTCTTTTTCTAGTTCCTGTCAGTACTCGTGCTGCAGCGTTCTCAATTAATTGGAGCGTTTTAATGGACTTATTGGGGCAACCTGATAATAAAGAGTTGCAGTAATCCAGCCTTGAAGTAACAAATGCATGGATTAGTTTTTCTGCATCTGTCTGTGATAGTATGTGTCTAATTTTTCTAATATTACGTAAATGAAAGAAGGCAGTCCTAGAGGTCTGCTTTATGTGGGAGACACTTTATAATTGACTTACTCTTTCTTTCCTGCTATTATTGTTAATCTGATGTCGCTCATCGATGCGTCTGTCTTTCTGATCCTCCTGAACAAGACTCGACTGGTTTCTTCTTCACATTCCTCAAACCTCTCCAGACCTCATTAATCTGTCATCATCACTCAGACAGGATCTGTGAAGGAAGCATTGCTCTCTTGAACTGATCTTGTTGCTTGTCTAACGTGTCCCATGTGTTGTACTCCATCTCCCAGAATGCCAATGTGACCCTCAAGGCTCCCTCAGCACAGTGTGTGACCCCAGTGGGGGTCAGTGTCAGTGTCGCCCCAACGTGGTCGGCAGGAACTGTGACAGATGTGCTCCGACCACATTCCAGTTTGGACCCAACGGCTGCAGGGGTCAGTGTGTTTGATACAACAGTCTGTTTGATACAACAGTGTATGTTTGATACAACAGTGTGTGTTTGATACAAAAGTGCGTGTTTGATACAACAGTCTCTCTGATGAAATGGTGTGTGTTTGATACAACGGTGTGTTTGATAAAACAGTGTGTGTTTGATACAAGAGTGTGTTTGATACAACGGTGTGTGTTTGATACAACGGTGTGTGTTTAATACAACGGTATGTTTGATACAACAGTGTGTGTTTGATACAACGCTATGTTGGACATTGAGTTCAGGTTTCCCTACAGTCGTGAACAACCATCAGTCAAACTGTATTTTTTTGTTTTTGTGTTTGCAGCGTGTGAGTGCAACCCTCAGGGTTCACAGAGTTTGTTCTGTGATCAGCTGAGTGGTCAGTGTGTTTGTGTTGTGGGAGCCTATGGTCGGCAGTGTGAACGCTGTCTTCCGGGTCACTGGGGCTTCCCCACTTGCCAACCTTGCTCCTGCAATGGACACACTGACGACTGCGACCCCAACACCGGAGCCTGCACTGACTGCAGGGACCACAGCACCGGACACAACTGTGACAGGTGAGTTACACCTGTAATATAATACAAACTGTGACAGGTGACTAACACCTGTGATGTAACACAAGGAAGGTCAGGGGTCATGTCCTCATCACTTCCTGTCTCTAACCTGTGTTCAGGTGTTTGGAAGGTTACTACGGCGACCCAGTGCTGGGGTCAGGTGACCACTGTCGCCCCTGCATGTGTCCTGATGGGCCAGGCAGCCTGCGGCAGTTCGCAGGAAGTTGTTACCATGGTGACGACTCACAGCAGGTCATCTGTGTCTGCAACACTGGATACAGAGGTAAAAAAAAGCTCTAGTTTGCATCGTGCTGCCATGGTCCTGCATGACCCCTATTGCCAATATTACCAATATTACTAATGCTACTAATATTATTATTATTATTATTATCATTATTATCATTATTATCATTCATTCCCCATTGTTGTGGCTATTGTCGTCATATGAGAATAAAACTCAGACGATTATAGTTTGAATTAGGCCTGAGGACATTGAGGCTTTCAGTAGGAAGTTCTAAGTGAAATAAACTCCAGTATTTGTCTTAGTTTTCGTGAGTCAAACAGAAGCTGCCCTGTGGGCACAAACAGGGTTTCATTTAAAGAGAATAAGCTTTGTGATTTAGTGTGATGTAAATAGGAGCTGAGAGCAGGAATGTGATGTGACTCTGTTATTTGACCAGGAAATGAGATGTTCAGGCATGAATCACCAACTTTCTCCTTCTGTTTCCACCTACAACAGTCTGAGTGGAAAATATTTTACTGAGATCTACTGACTTTATTACTATACTTATCTCCAGTGTACAGCACTGGCTTCTGATTGTCTATCAGGTTTAAATATAGTTAAAGCTCCAGTTATGAAGTAAAGACTGTAGTGGGCTCACTGATGACCACCGCAGCTTAAAAATGTTTGATGGGAGTTGAAGCTCTGATCCTCAGTTCTTTTTCCTTCTCTCTGCAGGTGGTCGCTGTGACGAGTGCTCACCTGGTTACTATGGAAACCCTGGGGAGGTGGGCGGGCAGTGTCAGCCCTGTCAATGCAATAACAACATCGACATGTTGGACCCGGAGTCCTGCGACGCCGGGACAGGGGAGTGTGTGCGCTGCCTTTATCACAGCGAAGGCACGGCCTGCCAGAGCTGCAAGCTGGGTTACTATGGCAACGCCATGCTGCAGGACTGCAGGAGTGAGTACACTGAGTTTACTGGGTTACCATGGCAAGCACTTCACTGCTAAGATAGATAGATAGATAGATAGATAGATAGATAGATAGATACAAAGATAGAAAGGGGCCAGTTGAAGAATAAAATGTAGTTAAATTTTTACAAAATTCAAAGAGTTACTGACAGAATTGTAACAAAATCTTGATAAAATCTTAATGAAGTCTTAACTGGGTTCTAGTTTAAAGTGTGAGTAAAATATTGATAAAACCTTATGAGGTCTGGTTCTTGTGCACAGAGTGCATTTGTAACCAGCTGGGCAGCGATCCCTCCAGCTGTCCATCATCAGGCGACTGTCACTGTGACCGCAGCAGCGGTCAGTGTCACTGCCTCCCCAACGTGATCGGTCAACATTGCGACCACTGCGCGTCCGACACCTGGAACATAGCGAGCAGCAGCGGCTGTCAGACCTGCAGCTGTGACCCCAAACACTCGTACGGGACGTCCTGTAACGAGGTGAGGAGCAGTTTCAAACCTTTAATGTTTTCTACTTTACTAAAGTGAATTGTTAGTGTGTCTGCATTTATTACAGAGACACTCCTGTCCTGGTTCAGATGATGATTTCTTGTTTGGACATCTGAATGTAAACACTTTGTTTGGTCCACAGATCAGTGGTCAGTGTTCCTGTCTGCCCGGCTTCGGAGGAAGAACATGCAGCGAGTGTAGAGAGCTGTTCTGGGGAGACCCAGTGATCAAATGTCACGGTACGGTCCCTGTTTATGTGTTCATTACATGAAACCAGAGAATTAGTGTTAGAGAAGGTGAAAGGTCGTCAAACATCAGTTTTATTAAAGATTTCCTCTGGAGGACAGAACAGAAAATGAGCCACTGCCCCGTGGGAACATTCCTGCTCCCAGCATCCTCTGCTCTGATCTGCTGCAACTGATATTAAGTCCAGATGTTCCCTGAGGCCCGGCAGTCCCATTGCCATGGAGACTAGACCGGAGATATGTCTGAACCTCTAAATATCCCAAAATCCACAACCAGGCACAAAGTGACATTGTTAGTGTGAGGCAGAGCTGAAGGTCAGAAACCAGACCTGCAGAGAGGAGTTGAGAGGGGGAGAGAGCGGGAGAGAGAGAGGGAGAGAGGGAGAGCGGGAGAGAAAGAGAGAGAAAGAGAGAGAAAGGACAGATAGACCAAAGGAGTAAGAGCAGAGAGAAGTAAAGGGACATAAAAGAAGAGAAACATATAATGATTTCAATATATATAGGGTTTACAAACAATGTACAGGAGAGGTCTTATGAAGATACCTTTATAGATATATATAATTATATATTATATATATTCGATTATGATTAAACGTTAAAAAGATAATATATATATATATAATGATTATGCATCTTTGTTGATTACATACATTTTCAGATGCTATTGAATAAAGATAATGTAGATATTGATTGCAGATTAATGGAAGTCCGACAAAGAAAAAGTCCTCACAGAGTCTGTAGAATATTAAAGTCTGTCTCTGAATGAAAGGAAAATCTCTTTCAGTTTCAGGTTTGTAGTTTCTGAATGTAGGTGGAGCTCCAGCTGTTTAATACAAACCAGATGTTACACACACACACACACACACACACACACACACACACACACACACGAATCCAGATGTTTTGTTGAACAGTTCTTCAGACAGTTTGTCTCTGACTCTTCCTGTTAATGTTTTACCACTAAATTATAGATATAAGATATTTTTATTTACCTCCCCCACAGCGTTTGCTCCTCACCCACTGAGAGTCTCTTCTTCCTGTTAGAAGTCTCTCTCTCTGTCTGTCTTTCTGTCTGTCTGCATGTGCAGACGATGATTCATTATTTTGTTTCTTCTAGACGTTTAACTCCGACAGTAGACACTTAATATCTTGAGATATTTTGTGAATTTAGGTGCTGGTTGCACTAACAGACCACTATCTGGTCTTACATCTGGTCTTAATCTAGATTAGTCCTAACTTGACGTTTTAAGTCTGGCCTAATAGTGACACCGGTTGCACCATCCAGGCTTAAACCTTCTCACTAAGACTGGCTATCAGGAGTAAGCGTAAAGTCAAATTTTGCTTATTAATTACTGCATATTGTTTCCTCATCTGTCGTCTCTCTTTTAATTTATTCTTTCCCTCTTGTTTTATCTTCCTTTGTTGATATTTAGATGCTCCCTATGTTTGTTTGATTGGGTATGTTTATACCCTTATGTTTATTTGTTTACTGTTGATCTCTGTGTCAAAAAGGTGCTATATAAAGAAAGCTTTACTTACTTACTTACTTACTTACTTATAATGATATTTTCAGTGGAGGAACCTGCCAGTTTGGTGGATTTTTCTCAAAGAAATGTCTTTCTTTGCCGGAGTCTGAACAATTATTTATTCTGCTATTTATCTCCAAGGATGCCTGCTCTTATCTATAGTAGATGTTCAGGCAGGATGTAGTTAAGTCCAGGATAAAGTTTGGTTGGTGCAACCAACATAAAATCCAAGTCTACAGACTTACTAAAGATAGGTTGGTACAACTCATCACTGAACTTTTCTGTCAGAATAAATTAAGATGATGAGAGTCATCAACAAAATTTGAGTGGAGACATCTGTCCTTCATTAACTGTCCTCTCTATATTGTCCAACAAAATGTCCAAAAATAACAGAGACTCGTGTGAACATAGATTCTGTCCACTAGATGGTGCTGTCCACCTGATATTCAGTGATGGGTCTTAACCATTTGACCCCCAATGACTTTCTGACTGAGTTTAGAAAATAATCTAAAGCATCACAATGGAGTTTCCCTCATGAATTAATGCTAAAATCAGATTTGTGCTCCAAAAACAGACCACCATAGTCAGACTGAAACCAAATAGAGATCCTCTTTCTCAGTCAGTCTCTGTCCAGGGACCTACAGGTCTAACAGGTCTTCAGGTTAAACCAGCAGAGCCGTGGTAGTCCACCTGTAACCCTAATTGTGTTTCTGTCTCAGCATGTGACTGTGACCCTCGTGGTATCTCAGAGCTGCAGTGTAACAAAGCCAGCGGTCACTGTGTCTGTGTGGATGGTGTTTTCGGTCCACGCTGCGATGTCTGTGCCCGTGGGTTCTCCGGGACCTTCCCCGACTGCCACCGCTGCCACCAGTGCTTTGCCGAGTGGGACCAAGTCATCGGTCAGCTGACCAATCAGACACACCGCCTTGTTAACAAGGTCAATGCCTTGAAAGCCAGCGGAGTCAGCGGACCATACAGGAAGTCCATCAACAGCATGGAGAGGAGTGTTGCTGACATCCGGACCATCCTAAACCAGAACCCGGCCTCCCAACCGCTGACTGAAATCCAGGAGCTACTCCAACAGGCCAGGTGAGACTAGCTTTAATCTGCTGCAACAGACCAGGTGAGATTAACTTTATTCCGGAGATTAATGTAAACTGTGACCTTTGACCTGTGTGTCCGTCAGTGACCTGATGGGGGCCCTGAGCCTGATGTTGAACCATACTGAACAGACTCTGGTCCAGGTGGAGGACTCAGACTCGGCCGTAGAAACTAAATTGAACTCAGTGACGTCGGACGCTCAGAAACTGGAGCGGACCGTTCAGGAGTTGCTGGATCAGGTCGAGTTCATCAAGAACTCAGACATCAGAGGTGAGATGGGTCAGAGGTCAGCGGGGTTGCGGCAGAACTATGTGAACAGACAATCTCATACCAGTCAGGACTGTTTTAAGTTCTGGTCTCTTCACTTCTTCTGGTCTGGAGGAATACTTGAACCAGTTATCATTTGTCCCTGTATCAGTTACAAAAGAAACTGAAATACATTCAGCTACAAAGGACACAGTAATTATTCATAATGTGATTATTAGTGATTATTTATTATTTGTTTGAGTAGACAGTCGTCAGTCGGAACTAAATTAAATTTTCTTCAGCTGATCTGTACTTCCTGTCTGTTGCCAGGGGCGACGGACAGCGTTACTAAGTACTTCCTGCAGTCACAGGCAGCTGAAGCTCGAGCAAACACTTCCACCATCGACTCTGGCAGTGTTGTTGAAACCTCCAGCACTCTACGACAACTCACAGAGGAGAAAATTAACCAAACCAGAGAGGAGTTCCTGAGGAGACAGACTGAGCATGCTCACAGACTGGACGACCTGGCTGGAGAGCTGCAGACTCTGGACCTAACAGAGATCAGCCACAAGGTGTGAGATTAACATGTTTATGAAGGCGTGTAGATGATTTCAGATCATATCTTTGCCTTAAACCCGTCTATTTTCTGGTCTGTCCTGGTTATAACAGACCTGCGGCAGTCCATCATCAGGTCAGGACTCGTGTGGGTCCTCTCCCTGCGGAGGTCTGGGCTGTGTAGATTCTGAGGGTCGGACCATGTGTGGCGGTGAAGGATGTGACGGTGTCGTGACGATGGCCAGCAGCACCTGGAGAAAGGCCATAGACACTGAACTGGAAATTCTGAGCGCCGTGGAAGAAGTGGAGAAACTCTCCAAGATGGTGAGTCCAAGGTTTTTGATTGGTCCTGTTCTGTGCAGGTTCTGGCTCAGTTTGGATGTGCTCACCTGTGTTTTGCCCTCAGGTATCAGAGGCCAAACTGAAAGCAGATGAGGCGAAGCTGAGTGCTCAGGACGTCCTGATGAAAACCAACAGAACCAAAAATAAAGTGGACCAGAGCAACGAGGAGCTGAGAAGTCTCATCAGACAGATCAGAGACTTCCTTACACGTACGTATCACTTCCTGTTTACCACAAATAAACATCAAGGATAGGATGGCATCAGGTAGCTCAGGTGATCAGATCATCTGCACAGAAACAGAAAGAAAATTGATTCTTTTGGAATGTTTGACCTTATGGAGGACGTGGATATGACTGATCTCTGCGGTATTTCAGTGAAGGATTGGCAGTCAGCTATAGTCACACAGTGCCACCATTGGCCATTCAGTGAACTGTAGTTAACAGCGCCACCGGTGGCCTTTCACTGAACTGAAGTCAGCGTCCTGTTAATTCATCCTGGGCATCGGCCAACAACGACCAACACTGAACGCTGTAAAATAACTGACAATCATATTTAGAATAACGTTAATTAAATTAAATTAAATTAAATTAAATTTAATTCAATTTGATTTGTATAGCGCCAATTCAAGTTAACAGAAGGACACGAACATCTTTAGCAGCATAACTAAGGGATGGTTCAGGAGTCACCTGAGCCAGCCCTAACTATAAGCTTTATCAATTTTACGGGGAGTCAGTGCAGAGAAGCTAATACAGGAGAGATATGATCTCTTTTCCTAGTTCCTGCTGCAGCGTTCTGAATTAATTGGTAATTAATTGATGGACTTATTGGGGCAACCTGATAATAAGGAATTGCAGTAATCCAGCCTAGACGTAACAAATGTATGGATTAGTTTTTCTGCATCCGTCTGTGACAGGATGTGTCTAATTTTTGTAATATTGCGTAAATGAAAAAAGGCAGTCCTGGAGGTTTGCTTTATGTGGGAATGAATGGACATGATCAAAGATAACTCCAAGATTCCTGACAGTAGTGCTAGAGGCCAAGGTTATACCATCTATTGTAACTATATCTTTTGACAGTGAGTCTCTGTGGTTTTACGGGGCCAAGTAAAGGATTTCGGGTAACACTTTATAATGAGTACACACTATTAAGCATTAGTTAAGCTTGAATAAATACTGAATTCATCATTTATAACGCATGAATACACATTAGTATGTAGTTTATAAACACACAAATGTTTTATTCATCATTGATAAACACATTAGTTATGGATTAGTAAATACTGAATTCATCATTTATAAAGCATGTTTCTGCTGTAAATAGTCATTACTATGTGGTTTATAATTACAGTTATAAATATTTTACTCTTCATTGTACTGTACATTTCTGCATGCACTTGCACATCCACTATTCAGACATGTATTTTCTGTAATGATTAGTGACTGTGTTAGCAGATGTTCTATCCACCCGCGGTGGCTAAGCTGACCTGCCGCTGCTAGGCACTCACCTGGCCCGGCTAGATGAGACTAGACTAGGTCGGCTTAGCCACCGCGGGCGGGTCGGTAACGTTAGTAACGTTAGTCGGGGAGCGAGGGCAAACACCTGCAGCTGCTGACAAGCTAACATTAGCTTTCAACCATATTGTGTGCTACCAAACAAAGACACATACTCACCACTAGTGCCGCTGACAGCCGCCGAGCCGACTCAAATGTGCTTCTCCATGCTCCCCTTGGCCGCACTGTCAGAAACTTCTGAGAGTTAACGTAAATATGACGTAACATCCCGCTTCCCACCGTCATCACGTTGATGACGTGCTGAGAGCGGGATTGCAAGCTCAAAATACACGTCCCAAACAGATAAGATCACAACAATAGCATGTCTTCATAAACCACCATTGTTCGTCTTCATACAATATGTTGGAAAGTTGCAGTAAATATCAATACAATATGTTCTATATCCCTTTGTGTTGTGTCTCTCCTTCGTCTGTTAAGATAACTGAACATTTTGTGAGTCTCGAGGCATTGTCAGCCTTTATATCTCATTTGTAAATGCTTAATAAGACATAGATAGTGCTCACTTTAGATGAGCTCGTGCAAAATACTTAATTAACGAGTAGTAAGTGCTTTGTAACTGCCTCAATTCATGAATTCCTGCATTAATAACTGTTTATAGGCCATCATTAGAAAATGAATTTGTTGTGAGTTTTATAGAACATCTGCTAACACAGTTACTAATCATTAATACATGTCTGAATAGTGGATGTGCAAGTGCATGCAGAAATGTACAGTGCAATGAAGAGTGAAACATTTATAACTGTGATTATAAACCACATAGTAATGACTATTTACAGCAGAATCATGCTTTATAAATGATGAATTCAGTATTTACTAATCCATAACTAATGTGCTTATCAATGATAAATAAAACATTTTTAACAGTGTTAATAAACTACATACTAATGTGTATTCATGCCTTATAAATGATGATTTCATTATTTATTCATGCTTAACTAATGCTTAATAGTGTGTACTCATTATAAAGTGTTACTGAATTTAGTTTTTTTTGTTTAACATCAGAAAATTGCAGCTCATCCAGGTTTTTATGTCCTTAAGACATGTTTGTAACTTAGATAACTGATTAATTTCATTGGGCTTGATCGACAAGAATAACTGGGTATCATCTGTTTCTGTCTGTCTCTCGCTCTCTCTCTCTTTAAAATTCTCCTCCTCACCTTTAAAGCTCTTCATGGTCAGGCCCCTTCATATTACCCCTCTAGAACACTACGTTCTCTGAATGCTCAATACTGTTGTTGCTGTGCACCTGTCTGTGTGTCTCTCTCTCTCTCTCTCTCTCTCTCTCTCTCTCTCTCTCTCATCCCAACTGGTCGAGACAGACGACCACCCACCTAGAGCTGAAGGATCTGTCCTAGGTTTCTGCCTTTTAACAGGCAGTTTTTCCTTGCCCTTGTCTCCAAGGTCTTGCTCATGGTGGTACTGTTGGGTCTCTGTAAATAATGTTATAAAGAGTTCGGTCTAGACCTGCTCTATTTGAAAAGTGTCCTGAGATAACTTCTGTTATGAATTGGCGCTATACAAATAAAATTGAATTGAATTGAATTGAATCTGCATAACATTGAAAGTCAATGGAGTGATTCCTAATAATGTTGCCTAAGGGAAGCATATATAAAGTGAATAGTATTGGTCCAAGTACAGAACCTTGTGGAACTCCATGACTAACTGTAGTATTTATGGAAGATTCATCGTTAACGTATAAAAACTGAGAGCATTCTGATAAATATGACTTAAACTAGCTTAGTGCGGTTCCTTTAATGCCAATTTGATGCTCAAGTCTCTGTAAAAGAATATTATGGTCAATGGTGTCAAATGCAGCACTAAGATCTAATAATACAAGCACAGAGAAGAAGTCCATTGTCAGAAGCAATCAAAAGGTCATCATTAACTTTAACCAGTGCTGTCTCTGTGCTGTGATGAACTCTAAATCCTGACTGAAAATCCTCAAATAAACTATTGTTATGTAGAAAGTCACACAACTCTTTGGCGACTACTTTCTCCAGAATCTTAGAGAGGAAGGGGAGGTTAGAGATTGGTCTATAGTTAGCTAAAACCCCTGGGTCAAGAGTGGGCTTTTTAAGAACGGGTTTAATTACAGCTACTTTAAAGGATTATGGTACATATCCTGACAATAAAGAAAGATTGATCATAACCAGTAAAGAAGTGCCAATTAAGGGTACGACTTCTTTAAGCAGTCTAGTTGGGATGGCTTTGATGTATAAATTATTAAGTTATTTGGGTTAGCTCAGTTGGTAGAGTTGGCAACCCATGTACTGAGGCTGAGTCCTTGCTGCAGCGGCCCAGGGTTCAAATCCGACCTGCGGCCCTTTGCTGCGTGTCATCCCCCCTCTCTCTACCCCCCTTTCCTGTCTATCTTCGGCTGTCCCTATCAAATAAAGGCAATAAAATTATTATTTTTTCTTCTAAAAATTAAGTCAGCTTATGAAGATCAATAGCAGAAAAACTGTCTAAATATATATCGTATTTTACATTTGTTAAGGTTCCTGAACTTGGTGACAGCGATACCTGTTGAGGGCATTTGGTAATTAATTTTGTCTCTAACAGTAATCATTTTATCATTAAAGCAGCTCATAAAGTCGTTGCTGCTGAGGGTTATGGGGATACGTGGCTCAATAGAGCTGTGACTCTCTGTCAGCCTGGCAATCATTACTATCTGCAATGATCCTATATTTTATTTGGACCATTAGCTCTATGCTACTAACTAGCTCGCCGTTTACAAATCAGCCCACCAACCCCACGAAGCAACCAACGCCAGACCCACACCGCACAGCCAAAAAACAGCCAGCCGGACAACCCCACCTTAGCTTAGCTACAGTTAGCTAGCTGGATGCCCCTGCCTCGCACTGCTTTTGGCTAGTAGAAAGCAATTGTTAGCTTTGTACTGCTACATCATTTATTGCTGGCTATAATCAACACGGAAAAATACAATTATTCAAAATCTGAAGATTGAACCTTTAATAACACAGTACCATTCAATTAAAATTAACTTTATCAAAAACTGCAGTAAAAAACAATATAACAGATGTTTGGCCGTGACCATAAAATCATTCCTGTTCTTTCAGAGGACGCTGCAGACCTGGAGAGCATCGAGCTTGTGGCTAATGAGGTCCTGGCCATGCAGATGCCAACGACACCAGCTCAGCTGCAGAACCTCACTGACGAGATCCGACAGAAGGTGGGAGAATTGGGACACGTGGAGACCATCCTGCAGCAAAGTGCCGATGACATCCAGAAAGCCGAGAACCTGCTGGACCAGGCCCGCCGAGCCAGGTGTCATATCATCAAAGTTGTGTTGTATGATAAAGGCTTGACAGCCTGTAATGAACTGACCAAATGTGACTTCCTGTGTCCATCAGTGAGGAGGCGATGGATGTGAAGGACTCTGCAGAGAAAGTGAAGAGAGCTCTTAAAGAAGCTCAGAGAGCCCAGAACGCCGCCAGCAGTGCTATCAAGCAGGCTGCCACCGACATTCACAGCACCAACAACCTGCTGTCCTCTGTCAGTACTACATCTAAATGTGCACTAAACATTTACATCAATTTCAGAAACATGAAAGGAATGTTTCCTCGTCTGTACTGTGTTCAGGTGGAGTCAGAGACAACAGATGCTGAGTTGAAGCTGAATAACGCCACTCAGAGGCTGCAGCGGCTCGAGCAGGATGTGATGCTGCTGAGGGACAAAGCTCTGAACGTCACGCTGAGCACTGAACGAACCAATCAGGACGCAGCAAGTATCGAAAAGATTGCAGAGGAGGTCAAAAAGGTGAGTTCAACTGTCGGATTGTAATCTTGCAGCAGCTTAAAACTAATGAATACAGAGCTAATGGTCTGTGTGTGTGTTTAGGACCTGAACTCAGAGCTGAAAGAAAAGTATTCCTCAGTGGAGCAGCTGGTTAGTCAGAAAGCAGGGGGCGTCACCGATGCAAAGAAGAGGGCGGAGTCACTGCAGCAGGAAGCCAAAGAGCTGCTGCTAAAGGCCAGCGACAAACTGCAGCTGCTTAAAGGTGACACCACACTGACATCACACTTATTTTAATTCAATTCAATTCAATTTTATTTGTATAGCGCCAATTCATAACAGAAGTTATCTCAGGACACTTTTCAAATAGAGTAGGTCTATACCGAACTCTTTAAAACATTATTTACAGAGACCCAACAGTACCACCATGAGCAAGCACTTGGCGACAAGGGCAAGGAAAAACTGCCTGTTAAAAGGCAGAAACCTAGGACAGATCCTTCGGCTCTAGGTGGGTGGTCGTCTGCCTCAACCAGTTGGGGTGAAAGAGAGAGAGACAGAGAGAGACAGAGAGAGAGAGAGAGAGACAGACAGACAGGTGCACAGCAACAACAGTATTGGCAATGGCAATCTAGCAGGACCATGGCAGGAGGCTCCACCAGGATCGATAAGAACCTGCGAGACGAGAAAGCACAAGAACTCAGGGGAACAAGTGAAGTTAGTAACATGCATTAATGGGACATGAATGAGTGCAGAAAGAGAGAGATAGAGAGGAGCTCAGTGCACCATGGGAAATCCCCCAATAGTCTAGGCCTATAGCAGCATAACTAAGGGATGCTTCAGGACTCACCTGATCCAGCCCTACCTATAAGCTTTGTCAAAGAGGAATGTCTTAAGCCTACTCTTAAATGTGGTGAGGGTGTCTGCCTCCAGAACCACAACTGGAAGCTGGTTCCACAGGAGAGGAGCTTGGTAACTGAAGGCTCTGGCTCCTGTTCTACTTTTAGAGACTATAGGAACCACAAGTAGCCCAGCATTCAGAGAACGTAGTGTTCTAGTGGGGTAATAGGGTACTATGAGCTCTTTAAGATATGAAGGGGCCTGACCATGAAGAGCTTTATAGGTGAGGAGGAGGATTTTAAATTCTATTCTAAATTTTACAGGGAGCCAGTGCAGAGAAGCTAGTACAGGAGAGATGTGATCTCTTTTTCTAGTTCCTGTCAGTACTCGTGCTGCAGCGTTCTGAATTAATTGGAGCGTTTTAATGGACTTATTGGGGCAACCTGATAATAAGGAGTTGCAGTAATCCAGCCTTGAAGAAACAAATGCATGGATTAGTTTTTCTGCATCTGTCTGTGATAGGATGTGTCTAATTTTTGTAATATTACATAAATGAAAGAAGGCAGTCCTAGAGGTCTGCTTTATGTGGGAGTTAAAAGACAAATCCTGATCAAAGATAACTCCAAGATTCCTGACAGTGGTGCTAGAGGCCAAGGTAATGCCATCTAGAGTAACTATATCTTTAGACAGTGAGTCTCTAAGGTTTTTGGGGCCAAGAACAAGAATTTCGTTTTTTTCTGAGTTTAATATTAGAAAATTGCAGCTCATCCAGGATTTTATGTCCTTAAGACATGTTTGTAATTTAGATAATTGATTAATTTCATCGGGCTTGATCGATAGATATAACTGCGTATCATCTGCATAACAGTGAAAGTTAATGGAGTGATTCCTAATAATGTTGCCTAAAGGGAGCATATATAGAGTAAATAGTATTGGTCCAAGTACAGAACCTTGTGGAATTAATTCATCGTTAACATGTACAAACTGCGAACGATCTGATAAATATGACTTAAACCAGCTTAGTGCGGTTACTTTAATACCAATTTGATGCTCAAGTCTCTGTAAAAGAATATTATGGTCAATGGTGTCAAATGCAGCACTAAAATCTAATAATACAAGTACAGAGACAAGTCCATTGTCAGAAGCAATCAGAAGGTCATTATTAACTTTAACCAGAGCTGTCTCTGTGCTATGATGAACTCTAAATCCTGACTGAAAATCCTCAAATAAACTATTGTTATGTTAAAAGTCACACAACTCTTTGGCGACTACCTTCTCCAGAATCTTAGAGAGGAAGGGGAGGTTAGAGATTGGTCTATAGTTGGCTAAAACTCCTGGGTCAAGAGTGGGCTTTTTAAGAAGGGGTTTAATTATAGCTACTTTAAAGGACTGTGGTACATATCCTGATAATAAAGAAAAATTAATCGTATCCAGTAAAGAAGTGCCAATTAAGGGAACAACTTCTTTAAGCAGCCTAGCTGGGATCAGGTCTAATAGACAGGTTGATGGCTTCGATGAAGAAATTACTGAAGTTAACTGATGAAGATTGATAGCTGAAAAACAGTCTAAATATATATATCTAAGTTTAGATTAGCAAAAGTCCCTGAACTGATATCACACCTGTCTCCACCCTCAAAAAATGTAAAACAGAAAACATCACATGAGCAGAGCCCTGTGTGGATAAAAAGAGAGAGTGAAGATAAATCCTTTTTAATCCCAAAAGTTTCAAAAATAAACTCAATCAAACTTTGTGTCTTTCAGATCTGGAGAAGTCCTACGGAGACAACCAGCGGACTCTGGAAGTGAAGGCGGAGCAGCTGGTGGAGCTGGAGGCTGCAGTCAAGGAGCTGCTGCAGGAGATCAGCCACAAGGTCACCGTCTACAGCACCTGTTTGTTCTAGGATTAAAGGTCATGTCTACACTGTGACCTGTACCAAAACTTAAAGACTTTCATTCCAAAAGTGTTTGGATGAAACCAAAGAAATCGCTCTGCTAAAGATATTGAATGTTTTAATTTCAGCAGATTTCCAGATAAATGCAGAATTTGAGCATTCTTGAACACACCATCAGGTTTTAAAACTGCTTTACACAAAAAACAGATGTTCAACAGCTTGTAAAATGTAACAAAAACAGTAAAAACAATTAATTCAGTCCAGCCGGAAGCAGATTAAACTCATCCACATATAAAGATGGCAGTCTTCACTTCCTCTCACTGTCCTAATGAACCAGAAAATCTGGATACGGCTGCTGCCATCTTCCTCCAGGGGGAGATAGAAAGAGTAAAGCTTATAGTTCATGAAGCTGCCATGTCAGCCATCTTTATATATGTGGATGGTTGAAACTGTTCAAACAGATGAATTTAATTGGCTGGTTCTCCTTCAGTTTTAAGCAAACCTTTGTTTAACCATCAGGAATGTTTAAAAGTTGGAGTTTTGAGTTAAAATGAATGCAATAAAATCTAAATGACTGACTATCAATTATTTGATTCCAGTTTAAAAGTTAAAAAATATGAAACAGTGAATGTTTAATCCATGTGACTGTAACTTTTAAGTTTTTCTATATCTACGTGACCAAAACCTTAAACCCAAATCAATTTTAAATAAAAGCTTCCAGGTAAAATCCTAGCGTGCACGGGTCTTTACTTTAGAATATGATTGTATTATTATTGTTAGTAATATATCTCCAGTTAATGTCTGTTATCAATTTCTGTTTGTTTCAGATTTTTGCTGGGTTTATTTACACTCTGACATAAGCCAATTGAGTCTAATAATGAGGCTCATTATTAACATCCACATGAATATTAAAATCACCTACAATAACTACTTTATCTGTATTAAGGACTAAACTTGATAAAAACTCTGAGAATACTGATAAAAAATCAGAGTATGGGCCAGGATACGGGGTACACTATAACAAATAGAACTGGCTGCAGTGTTTTCCAGGTCGGGTGAGAAAGACTAAGAACAAAGCTTTCAAATGAGTTATAATCTAATTTAGGTTTATGATCAATTAAAAGGCTTGAATTATATATGGCTGCTACTCCACCTCCTCGGCCAGTGCCTCCAGGAATGTGAGTATTAATATGACTGGGGGGGTGGATTCATTTAGGCTAACATACTCCTCATGGGACAACCAGGTCTCAGTAAGACAGTAAATCAATATCATTTAATGCTTTCATTTTGGGCTACTGTGGAGTTTTTTTTCTATATATATGTTTATAAAATTTTCAACAGGTAAGAAGAACAAACAAATAAACAAACAAACATTTGGTTTACGCACATATTCAGGTCCAAATTCCTACAGGCAAAAGATTCAGGAGTCACATCCTATAATAGTAAATAATACATTTAAAATAAATTAAATAAGATAAATTGAGCGTGTATTGTTAAGTATATCATATTTACATGATTAAGGAAAGGTATGCCGAAATAAAAGTAAATCAATTGAATGGTAAATAATAAATAAAAGCAGTGTCTCTTTTAAGGCAGAGCATTCAGAGCTATGATACAAACCCTCTTACGAGATTGGTAGAAATATTCAAACCAACATATGAGAGAAAGGGTTCCCATGTTTTACGAAAGGCATCGTCATTGCCGTGAAGTTGACATGTCAAATATTCCAATGCAACATATTCAATTATAACCCTTTGCCACTAAACCTTAGATTCAATTCAATTCAATTCAATTTTATTTGTATAGCGCCAATTCATAACAGAAGTTATCTCAGGACACTTTTCAAATAGAGCAGGTCTAGACCGAACTCTTTAAAACATTATTTACAGAGATCCAACAGTACCACCATGAGCATGCACTTGGCGACAAGGGCAAGGAAAAACTGCCTGTTAAGAGGCAGAAACCTAGGACAGATCCTTCGGCTTTAGGTGGGTGGTCGTCTGTCTCGACCTGTTGGGGTGAGAGAGAGACAGAGAGAGAGACAGAGACAAAGAGAGAGAGAGCGAGAGACAGACAGACAGGTGCACAGCAACAACAGTATTGGCAATGGCAATCTAGCAGGACCATGGCAGGAGGCTCCACCAGGACCTGCGAGATGAGAAAGCACAAGAACTCCGGGGAAGAAGTGAAATTAGTAACATGCATTAATGGAACATGAATGAGTGCAGAAAGAGAGAGGAAGAGAGGAGCTCAATGCACCATGGGAAATCCCCCGATAGTCTAGGCCTATAGCAGCATAACTAAGGGATGGTTCAGGACTCACCTGATCCAGCCCTAACTATAAGCTTTATCAAAGAGGAATGTCTTAAGCCTACTCTTGAATGTGGAGAGGGTGTCTGCCTCCCGAACCACAACTGGAAGCTGGTTCCACAGGAGAGGAGCTTGGTAACTGAAGGCTCTGGCTCCTGTTCTACTTTTAGAGACTATAGGAACCACAAGTAGCCCAGCATTCAGAGAACGTAGTGTTCTGCTATATGAAGATCGATAGCAGAAAAACAGTCTAAATATATATCTATAATGTATAATAATATATATAATGTAATAAGTTTACATTAGCAAAAGTCCCTGAACTTGGAGAGCCACTGATAACTGTTGATGGCAGTTGGTGATTAATTTTTTCTCTAATAGTAATAATTTTATTATAGAAGAAGCTCATGAAGTCATTGCTACTTAAGTTTATGGGGATATGTGGCTCGATAGAGCTGTGACTCTCTGTCAGCCTGGCTACAGTGCTGAAGAGGAACCTAGGGTTGTTCTTATTTTCTTCTATTAGTGCTGAGTAATAGGCTCCTCTGGCATTATGGAGGGCCTTTCTATAAATTTTAAGATTATCTTGCCAATTTGAGCGATATTCTGATAATTTGGAAGAGCGCCATTTCCTTTCAGATTTCCTAGCTATTTGTTTTAACTGGCGGGTTTGGTGGTTATACCACGGTGCTAGTCTCCTATGCTTTAATAATTTCCTTTTTATAGGAGCGATAGAGTCTAATGTTCTTCGTAGTGAGCCTGTAGCACTATCGACAAGATTATCAATTTCAGAGGGACTAAAGTTATTATAGGATTCTGTTAAATTCAGACATGGCATTGAATTAAACACTGAAGGAATCTCCTCCTTAAATTTAGCTACAGCACTGTCAGATAGACATCTGCTGTAGGAAGTTTTGCCTAATGGCTTATAATCTAACAGTATGAATTCAAAAGTTATCAAATAATGGTCAGATAGGAAAGGATTATGAGGGAAGACTATTAAATGTTCAATATCAATGCCATATGATAGAACAAGGTCAAGAGTATGATTAAAACAATGAGTTGGTTTATTTACACTCTGACAGAAGCCAATTGAGTCTATTAATGATATAAATGCATTACTAAGGCTGTCATTGTTAACATCCACATGAATATTAAAATCACCCACAATAATTACTTTATCTGATTTAAGGACTAAACTTGATAAAAACTTATATAAAATCAGAGTACGGTCCAGGAGCGCGGTACACTATAACAAATAGAACTGGCTGCAGTGTTTTCCAGGATGGGTGAGAAAGACTAAGAACAAGGCTTTCAAATGAATTATAATTTAGTTTAGGTTTAGGGTCCATTGAAATGCTCGAATCATATATGGCTGCTTCTCCACCTCCTCGGCCGGTGCCTCGAGGAATGTGAGTATTAATATGATCAGGATTTGTCTTTTAACTCCCACATAAAGCAGACCTCTAGGACTGCCTTCTTTCATTTACGTAATATTACAAAAATTAGACACATCCTATCACAGACAGATGCAGAAAAACGAATCCATGCATTTGTTACTTCAAGGCTGGATTACTGAAACTCCTTATCAGGTTGCCCCAATAAGTCCATTAAAACGCTCCAATTAATTCAGAACGCTGCAGCACGAGTACTGACAGGAACTAGTATTAATATGACTGGGGGGATGGATTCATTTAGGCTAACATACTCCTCGTGGGACAACCAGGTCTCAGTAAGACAAAGTAAATCAATGTCATAATCTGATATTAATTCATTCACTAAAACAGCTTTAGAGGACAGAGACCTGATATTTACATTTCATTCTCTTATTTTGTGCTACTGAGAAGTTGGTTTTAATTTTTATTAGGTTTTTATGTTGAACTCCTCTTGTTTTTATTTCTTTAAATAATTTAGGTGGTCGGGGGAAAGACACAGTCTCTATGGGGGTTTGGGTGGGTGACTGTTCTAAAGAAAGCGCAGAGAAGTGTGTAAGACAGCAGCTCAGCTACCTGGTCCCAACTCTGGACTGTCAGGTTTTAGAAATAAACTTCACCATATTTCTAGATAAGAGAGCCGCTCTATCCAAAGTGGGATGGATGCCGTCTCTCCTAATCAGACCAGGTTTTCCCCAAAAAGGCTTCCAGTTATCAATGAAGCCCACATCGTTTGCTGGACACCACCTCGACAGCCAGCGGTGGAATGACGACATGCGGCTATACATGTCATCCCTGGTCACATTGGGGAGGGGTCCAGAGAAAACTACGGAGTCCGACATTGTTTTAGCATAATTACACACCGACTCCACATTAATTTTAGTGACCTCCGATTGGCGTAAACAGGTGTCATTACCGCCGACGTGGATAACAATCTTACCATATTTACGATTATCTTTAGCCAGCAGTTTTAAATATGATTCAATGTCGCCCGCTCTGGCCCCAGGGATACATTTAACTGTGGTCGCTTGTTTTCGCTAAATTCTGAACTGTGGGCTTCGGCGTTTTAGTCTTCCTTCGCTCAGTCATCCAGCCTCCCTGTCTTCCCGGCTGCTCGGGATCTACCGGAGGAACTACCGGAGGACAGCTAACAGAAGCTACCTTCGGTCGGACCGCACCGGCTACCGGGGGCTGGCTAACTATAGCAGCTAAAGATATCTCCGTGGTGCGGTGCCGTTCCTCTAACTCACTAAGCCTCGCCTCCAGCGCAATAAATAAACTATATGTTATACATGTACCCTTATCATTAAAGGAGGCAGAGGAATAACTAAACATCTGACACACTGAGCAGGACAGAGGAGAGGAAGAGGGAGAAGCCATAGCTAACTGCTAATGCTAATGAAACTAGAGTGTATGAAAAACTTTGAAAGTAGCAAAAAGTCGCTGAAAGAAGGAGAAACTCCGAGTGTTTAAGTAGAACTAGTCTACGTTTAAATGTTAAGCGAGAAAATAACCGCTGTAACGAGTAAAACTAATTTAGATTTAGCGTTCACTGACAGAGCTACAGCACCAAACAGTGTACACAGAGCAGGAAGTGAACAGGAAATGAGTCAGTACGCTTACCGTAGCACGTCCGTAGCACCTGGCATTATGTTACAAGCCTCACTCCATGGAACTTTATCTGTGATCTAGTTAAAAAGAATATTCTTTCTGGCACAGAAAACAAGTGTCTGGTAAAGTTTTCTTTTAAATTTGTCAGGGATGGACAGGGATGGATCATCAGATATGCCAAGTAGGTCATTATTTCTATTGATAGACAGAAACTTTCCCTGTCCTATGGCATGCCAAAACTGCTGTACTTTTCTACAATACCACAAACAATGTGTAAGACTACCAATTTCTATTTTACACTTGGGGCACAATGGAGATGCATTAGGGTTGTATTTATGATGTTGAAAGGGAGATATATGGGCCCTGTGTAGGAGCT